TTAAGATTTCTTATTAAAAATGCAAAGGTTTATAAACAAATTAACTCTAAAACATATTACAAAACATCAAAATATTTGATAAATTCTTGATAAACAATAGTTCAATACTTATTGGTCCTTATTAGAAAACAACCTTTTAAAACAGTTTGAGTATATTATATAATTAAAATTATTTAACTTTAAATATGTAATTCATAAAAATAAATAATTTTGTAATACATACTGACTTATTGTATACCTATAGGTATTTCCAAATTTCTTTATTGGAATAAACCAAAAGGCTTATGCCTAAAATGTTTAATGCCATAATTAGACTAATAAGTAATAACAAACCATACTCTTATAATTTTTAGGAATTATGATTATAATTTGTTTTTAAAATAAGCACAATACTGTAGTTTTGTAAAATATAGAATTTTTGGCAAAAAGGAATTCCTACTTATCCAAAAATTAAATTACATTCTTTGGAATATTTAATTTTTAGTAAAATTGGTTTAATTAAAATTAATAATCAATAGAACCACTTAAATCTCAATGTTAAAAATATTGTTATTATGTATTTGGCAAAATTAAAATCTTTATGTATGATTTAACTTTCTGGTCAATATTAAGTATTAATTGTCTTTTTTCTTGTTCATGATTCATGGATTGAACCTGCGTCTTTTTCTTGATTCAATGAAGAATATTCAACTGCAATTAATATTTTCTATGTTCTTTTGCAAAGAAGTTTGATAAATTCAAGTCCTGTCTGCTTCTTCCACAAACCCAAACCTGAAATCAATACCAATTTTAAAATCAATTTAAATTGTAAAACAATTGATATTACCTAATAATTTTTAAAATAAAATAAAAATAATGTATCAATATTTATGCTACTTATTTATGCTAAAGGTAATTGTTTTACCAGCATAAAAATAATTGAATGGTTTATTGTAAAAATAAGCTAAGTAACTAACTAAGTATGATTTTGTTTATTTTTTAATTTAAAAATCTTATAAAAACTAATAATGGTTAACTTGTGCTGTTTTAACATGAAAATATCCTTTTTTAATATCCTAATAAAAATCCTAAATAAAATATTTCTGCCTCAAAATAATAATTTAAAGCAGAAGTGTATGTAATATAAAAATGTCAGATTGCTTGTTTTAACAATAAACAATTTAATTATATTTGGAGTAAATACTAAAAGTGTACTTTCTTTTACTTTTTTTATATTTGGATTGTAACTATGGATGTGTGAATATTGAATTCAAGAATTGAATGTTTCAAATTTTTAAATGGTTCAATTAGAAAATTAAAATTTTCCAATAGTAATTGAAGAAATTGAACATTGGAATTGTAATTTAAAATTTATTTTGAAATAAAAAGAATTTTATTTACTTGTCATTAACCCTTAATTAACTTATTTGAATAGATTATGATTGTAATTATTGAACTATTCAAATAATTCAAACTATTTATGTAGTTTAAATATTTAATTTTAAGTTTGAATTAAATATTACTACTTAATTTATTTGGTAAAAATATTCACACACCACCAATTGTAACTAAAAATGTATTCTAAATTTAAAAAAATATATCTACCTATTATTAAAAAAATTTGGTCAAATATTTCTGTTTGGGATTGACGAGTAAAGCTTTCATTCTTTTTCTTCATGCAGGATAAATCTTGTCTAATTCTTCCATTATTGCAGAAGCTAAAATTAATTATATTAAATTAAAATCAATTTATATTGTAGCAAAAAATAATTGAATTAAAAACTTTAAAAATAATTCTTTAAAAGGTTTGCTTATGAATTGTCTAGTTATTTATGTACATTAAAAATGTCAGACTTTCAGATAGAACAAATGAAGGGGTCAATGCAAGAATTCTTGCACTTAAGTGCCTAAGTCGCATTTTCAATTAAATTTACATTGTGGCTTCATCTAAGAGTGTTTCATGTAAGGTTTCAGGTGGTATTTTCAAAGTGGCAGAAATATGTGCCCAAGTGCCTTAGTTTGCATTTACTTCAATAGGAGTTTGCCTGGTTTTCAACTTATGTGAAAACTCTTGGATGAAGCCACAATAACAATTTAATTGAAAATGTGACTTAGACACTTCTTGCATTGACCCCTTCAAATAAAATAACTATAAAAATACTGTAAAAGATTATCACCCTGTAGTTCAAAATGCTATATTTATGTAAAAAAAAAACATGGAAAGCACAAAACATTTGTAATATAATCAAGTTTTGAACTGTATGCTTACAAGTGTTTAATATGACCTCTTCCAGCTGCAAACATCTTGTAGATACTCGGCAGTTCCAATTCGTGTATTTAGCTTTTACAAATCTTGGGGCTCATAAACGTTATCTTTTATAAAGCCCCAGAGAAAGAAGTCGCACACTGTGATATCGGTTGAACGTGTTGACCATACATGAAGTGCCAAATTGTTGGGCCCTTTACGTCCGATCCACCGATGAGGGGGCTGTTCGTTCAATAACCTCCGCTCCACCAAATGCCAATGTAGTGGGGCCCTGGACCCAGGTCCAGTTTTCGCGTAGCTACATCAAATAATTTTAACAAAAACATACATTTTGACAAAGATTATAGGTATATTTAACATTTTGTATAACAGCAACTAGTGTCAAGAAAAAAAAACGTTAAAAACTGTTTTGATTGAAAGTTTTGAATCAAAACGCTTTAAAACTATTTAAATTCTATCAAAACTTGCATTAGTTAAACAACCCATAAGCAAAGAGTCTTTACTCTTTGCCATAGGTTTCATTACATAAAAAGAATTTTATTAAATACATGTGTTTTCGGTAAACATAGAGAAAAAAACCGATACGGTTTATCACACGTATTTTCTTATTTTAAACGCGGTAATGATGCTACAACTAACTCAAACTTGACTAAAACACCTAATAAAATGTTAAAGCCGAAATTAACAAGTTTACTTACCTAAAACAAAGAAAATTTGGATTATAAAACTTAGTACACACCACTTCAACAACGCTGTCGGCCATTTGTAATTTCTCAAACCGAACATCAACGAACAAGTTGGAAAAGACCAATCACAACAAAGTAAGAATCACGTGGTTAATAACTGGGGTTTGTCAAAAACAACTTGGGTTTCAACGCATGCTAGATTTATTTTACTGTTGCCTGTTGTCAAATTCCCCTTATACCCCCCTGGTGTCTGTGCATTTTAAAAAGGATTTTAAGGTAGGAATAGGAATTATTTAATATTTAAATAATATTAATAATATTAAATATAAATATAAATTATATTATTATTCCTATAGGCCCTACAATATAACTTGTATAATAATCCAAATGGACTACATAAAGAAGGTTTCAAACAATTTAAGGAACTCCTTACTGCAACATTTGGTAAGTTATCGATGGCTGACAATGTATTTCTATAATATATAAATTATATATAATTATATATAATATATATTTGCGTTTTTACTGTGTAATGTATATTTCAGTTTTTAATATATTTTAATCTTCTTGTAAAAGTTCTGTCATTTTCCTGTGTTTTTCTACTTCTGTTTTTTGTGGCACCAATTAAAAGCATTCCATAATAGTAAGTATATATTATAAGATATGAAACGAAAAAAATAACAATTTTAAAGCAACTTTAATGAGTACTTCAGGAAAATAAAAGTTTCGCCGTCCGACCTATCATTCTCAAAAAAACATAATATTAATGAATTTTAAAAAATACCTGTTTTGAGAACGAAAAGTCAAGCGGCAAAACTTATTTTCCTGAAGTAGCTCATCAAAAGTATTTTTGGACAGGGTGTATACACGGGGCGACAGAGCTACATATACAAAGAATAGTATATTTACGTTCAATTCGAGTGAGACAAATGCCATGTGTAAGCAGAGTTTAAGCACAATACACAGCTACTGTGCATCCGATAACACACATACTTTGTGTATATGTTAATGTGGTATTGTGGCTACATTGTGAGGCGGACGTTTAACCATTGTGCATACGTGTGTGTATACCATGTGTAAACGTAGCACGTTTACATCGTAGAATTGTGTAACCCTGTGTCTGCATCTAGATACATCGTCACAATGCGAACACATCGTAATTGTGATTTGGTGTGCTGTATGGGAAGTTAATGGATTTATTTTGATAATTTCGTGAAAAAACGTTTTAAAACAAGGAAATTGTTACAGTTCTTGATAAACAATACGCAAATGAATGATTTCTTTTTAATAACACATCAGAATTACGCCTTAAAAAAGCAAATTTAACGGCAGTAACTTTACAATTCAAAGTTGGTAATGCTGACGTCATTATATCTCATTGATGACGTGCACCCATATAGATTTGGCCGTGACTATATGATCATACATAATTATATATAATTATATATGATTATATATAATTTTTTTTTCCCGGGTATGCAGTATGATTTTAATTGACATCCGCTGTTATTGCTATTGCAACTCGCAGGATGTCACAAATTTTAGACAAAACACTTCTTCTTACTTTTGCAGCCTGTGTGTGCTAAAATAAAAATTAAAATGTCTACCATAGCATCGTGACAAAAGAGTCAACCTACATTTAAAAAAATATCATCAAAATCAGATTAGCGGTTCGCGAGGAAATCAACTTTAAAATTGCTGCTCATTCCTGGTGGCAGTTTTTTTGCCAATAGTTAATAAACTATATACCTAAAACAGATTTGTAAATTCGTTTTTATTCCCCGAGCGTTATAAAATTAATGTTAAGCTGGATGGCTCAGATATAAGGGCGGTCGCTTGGCATGTGAGAGGTTCGATACTACTAGAAATTGTCGAACTTTTTTTATTTTTTTATTTTATAAATTTGTTGTTCCTTTGTTAAAAAGTGTTGGGTTGGTTGCTTTGTTTTAGTTTTATCGTAACATAACAAATTATGACGTCACTCGGGACTGAACTTAATTACCGCCCCGGGACGGGAGCCACATCGTTTTATTTATCATTTTAAACTTAAAATAAAATAAAAGTATAACAATTATTCATTTGTTTATTTATATCATATATCATATAGTATACATTTATTATTTTTAGCCAATAATTATATAAGTTTATAAATGACCATGGTCAATGCATTGCAATATTGTGTTAACACCTTAATGACTATATTATATTTTGCAAACATTTTAGAAAAAGTTTAAATCATAATTTCTTAAATCGGTCGTATTTGACCATGCAGGTTGAGCAGCACCATCCATTTCAGGAGCAAATGTGTTGTCGTCACGTAGGCGATGACTTCCGCCGCCGATGGTGGCGCCACACTCGTTGCACTTGCTCTCGACCATCGCGCCCCCGCAGTCGCCAATAGCATAGACATGCCCGTTGGGGCACTTGAACCAGTGTCCCCTAGTCATGCCCATAGCTTCCACAATACTTCGACGCTCAGCATCGGTTATTTCCACGTTGGAGGCCACCTGTTTGTTTAATTCTTTAAGGTAATCCATAATTCTGTCATCCAGTACACTTGAGTATCTGAAATATTAATTAATATTGTTAACCTAGCTAGCATAAATATGAAGAGGTCTTGGGTTTTAATTGGGTAAATTTATTAGTTTATTATTTTTTTGCTAAATTTTTCCAGTAGTCTCTTTGATAAAGGTTTTAGAAAGTACAACATGGTGGTACAAATAAACTATAGTTATATAAAATTGAAGAACAATTATTAGAAAACAACAATCTTTAAACTAAATAAAAAATTATCATTCTATAGATACAGAATATAAACCATTGTTCTATATTTTACACTTAATTTACAATCTAACCTAATAATTAATGATAAGGATTACACAGATGGTTGTCTTTTTGGTCCAAAATTTTTCGAATTCATATAAAATATGCAAATTATTTAAACGCCAAAAAATAGTTATTTATTGTAAGTAGAAAAAATATATATAAATAAATAAATACGAGTAAATTCTGACTCATTTTGTTTTATTAATTGTCAAAAAGTTGTATGGAAAAATAAATAGTTGGGAAAAAAATTTTAAAAATTAATTTTAATTAAACATAAAAATAGAAAGAAAAGAAAAAGTTAAATTAAAATAAAATAGCAAACTTGTTTTTTTCTTAAAAAACTTAAAATTTAAAAAAATTGACACCTTTTTTTAAGTACATTAAGTACATTAAATTAAAAAAAATTCTATTATAATCCCAGTCATGTATTGGAAACCGATTTCAATACAAACAATTGTTGGCGAAAGCGCCACGGAAAGTGGAGGGGGAAAACTCGTCGTGTATAATCTGGTCACACTGAATGCATAGCTTACCTTACTTTTCTAAACAAACTATTTTCGATGATCCTCACATGTACGGCTACTTTAGTTTTGACAGAAGCATAATGCGGAGATGCGATGATTCGTTCGAACTGCATAATGCGCTGTAGCCTCGTCAATTCCTGATTTATGTCCTCGATTTCCTGATTGGAGATCCGATCGTCCTGGTCGTTTTCCAGCACTTTTATTATCATTTTCACTTGATTTATTACCCATTTATCCTCACTAAGGTAACTTTTATTATTGACCCTTGCCTGGCCAAATATCTGCCTTAAAACATCACGTTCATCACCTTCGACCTGACAAAGTATTACAATGTGCTCTAAAATTTGTATTTTGGCTTGAATTGCATTCAATTCTGACGCTAGAGGCCTATTGCGACTTTTTTCGTTTGGAGTGATGCGCTTCAATAAGGCTTGCATGAACGGTTTAATCAATGGGGTTCCTAAAAAATACGGTGGGTATAATTAATAACATTTTTTTCTTAAGCTGTTTAAAGGGTTTGGCAAAAAGAAAAACGCCTGAATAAATGCGAAAACTGTCTTACGGTATACTCACTTTCTTCGACTTTTAAATATAAATTTGATAATAAAGAAAACAACTCCAATGTTTTCGTTTCGTTGTCATCTTTCGTTCCATTGACTTTAGACTTGACCTTTTCGACGTCCAACATCGCCTGTTTGAGGTAGTCGCTGAATCGCAAAGTTTTTATGACTGGTGACTTACACTTCGGACAAGCTTTCACCTGAATTTCACTGTCGGTCTTCATAAACCAGCGATTCAGGCCTTCGCTTTCCAACACGTGTCCGCAGTCTTTGAGCTGCACGAATCGTGCATCCGGTTCGTCTTCGTCTCCTAAAAACACGAAAAAGAAAAAAAAGGTTTTAATAATTCAAAAAAGGAGCCCAAAAAATGCTGATCTGTGCTTACCGAACAATATTTCGGTGAGTTCCTCTTGATCGCATATGCGGCACAAAGTTGGACACGGATCTCCGCAGAACCCGACGCAGGGGTGTCCGCATTTAAGCCTTTTATCGCAAGGCTCTTCGCAGGGAGGCACCGAACAAATTTCTCCGCAGTTTTTGGTGCACTGCTGATGTTTGCATTTTCTATCGCAACGATGTGCACAAGGAGTACACACCTAAAAGAAAAATCCAAGCAATTTTAAAATTGTTAATATTTTTCGCAAAAATGAATTATTAACAAAAAAACTGATTATATAAGAAACACTTTTATGAAAAATAATTATACCGTACCTTCATTTGCAAGTTATACATAGGGAAAATACATTGTAGGTGGAACAGACAAGTCGAAGTCGGCGCGGTCAGCGCGAAACGAAAATGTCCCCAGAAATTATTTTGACGAGTGGATGAGTAGACTAACATGCGACGTAACAGGTGACCTTGTTTACTGGCGATTAAAATTTTATTACGTCCAAATAATTTCTGAGAACTTTTTCGCTTTGCGCTGACTTTAACTTGTTTGGTCCACCTACAATGTATTTTCCCTATGTATAGCTTGCAAATGAAGGTACGGTATGTTGCAAAAAAGTCATGTAAAAATTTGTTACAAACCTCTCCGCACTTTCTGCTGCATTTGCTATGCGGACAACGGTATATGCACTTTTTCTGGCAGGGTTTGCACGCCTGCCGGCACGGAACCGTGCACTCGTGGTTGCATACCAGCGGAACGCCGCATTTTTCCGCACACTTGGCGTGTATGCGACCTTGGTAACATGCGCCGCACGAACCCAGGCACTTGTGATCACATTTCAGCGTCGCACCGCACGGTACCTTGCAAAAATCAAGCAAGTCCACATCGGTTGAGCCACGCGTCACTAAAACGTCAATAAAATATGAATTATGTTTATTTTAGGTGATTTTTTGGTCACCTTTTGTATTTATATAACACGGCATTTGTTTTATGACGTGTCCGCAAGGCGAATTCACCTCGCATGCGACAATTTCTTTGCATTCGGTGGTGCAAGGCTCCTTGCACCTTTTTGTGCACGTATGTCCGCATGGTAACTGTCTCGGACATTTTCCCAAGCAAAATTTTCTAACGGCTTCTTCATGACAGGCTACCTTTATTTTGTGACCACAATCGGGAACAACTTTATCAACCTGGAACACAAACGAACTAATTAAACAAATAGAACAATTGCGTTTGGTGTGATAAAATATTGCTTGGTTTGAAGAAAACGCCGAATGATGAGTAGCAAGCTCGACTTAAAAGTTTAATTACTTTTTAAATTTTTATAATTTCAGACTGATTTAATTCGAAAAATAAAATTTCTGTCGTCATTGCTGGTCACATACATTCACTGATCTGAAATTGATGTAATACCTTGTAAGTGCACAATCCGCAGGGCTCCCAGCACTTGTTCTTGCACTTGTGACCGCATTGCACCGTTTTGGTGCACGGTTTCTCGCAAACGATCTGATCCACGTCGTAATTGCAAGCGACCCTGTAAAAGTGGGGGCAAACGGTTCGGGACTTCTGGACTTCCAGAAGACACGGCTCGCACTCCTCGAAACAAAGTTTGCGACAACGGTGGTGATCGGCTTTGGTCGTGCAGTCTTTCCTGAACTTCGGGCAGGGCTGTCTGCATTGGTACTACAACAAAAAGCGTATAAATCGTACATTAATGCGTCTTTTTAATTTGTACGATTAATTTTGGCAACATTTTTTCATTACTTACCTCCAAGTGATCTGGATCGTATTTGACGTGACATTTTTTCATGCAGGCGTGTCCGCACGGCTCCACGCGCACATCGCACGGAAGCGGACACCGGAAGTTATCGACGTCCATGTGGCACGGCTTGTCGGCTTCGTGGCCGCAGGGCAGTTTCGTCTTGACCGGTTCGCGGCACTTGTAGTTCGTGTGGTCGATGTGGCACTCGAGCGACACCTGGTGGCCGCAGTCCAAATCGCGCAGCACGCGGTACGTGCACGGACCGCAATCCCTGTAGCATTCTTGGCGACATTTGTGAAACGGGTTTGAGTCGCACAGCAACCTGTTGATATCGTAGAATGATTATATTGAATTGCTTTCTGATAAACAGTTTATCATAAACTTATTAATAATTTATTTAACTAAGTCAATGTGTCACTTAAGTGACACATTGACTTAGTTAAATATGACAATAGGGCACAGTTTGACAAATAAAAAACCTAAAGAAAAATGTCTTAGCTAGCAGTGTAGCTACTTACTTTGTGCACGGTTCCAAGCAACGCGATTTAGCGTGGTCTCTATCTTGCACGTGGCAAAGCATTTTGCAAATGTGTCCACATGGTAACGAACCATTACATTGCAAATCGCAGCCACCTTCTCTAACTTTCAAGAAATCTTCTCTACATTTGACGAACGTTTTCTTATAGGGATGAACCTGGCACACCAAGGGCAAGCTTTCTCCAATGGCTTGTTGATTTACCAGCGTTTCTTTTACTTTCGGCCAAATCTAACAAAAAAAGAGATCACCCAACAATTTCGTTTGTAGAACATCAATGGCCTTTGATTAAAAAAGGCCAAGGCGCAATCAAATAAACACCACTGACCTCGCTATTTGCGGCCAGCAACTCCATGTTACCGATGATGTATAGACCGTTTCTGGCTCTGGAAAGGGCCACGCACACTCTGTTCTCGATTTTCAAGAACCCGACGGATTTGGCAGTGTTGGAGCGCACCAACGACAACAGAATTATGTCGCACTCTTCTCCTTGGTAGTTGTCCAAAACGGCAACTCTAACTTCGCTCAGAAGCAACGCGTCCGACTTCTTGAGCTTTATTATTTCGAACATTTGGCCCAAATACGCCGCCAAAATGGTTATTTGTTTGGCCTCGTATCCGTTCAGTATCAAATGTCTGGCGAGGTCCACCACAAATTCCGCCTCGTGTTTGTTTTTCTTGCTGGAGTCGTCGCACTGTGACTCCGGGTGCCTTAAACGAAGATTTACTTTGTCTTAAGATTTTAGTGAACATTTTAATAGGACCTATCTTGATTGTACATGAGTGAAAATAGGAAAGAAATTCGAAAAAATCCAAAATTCTTTTGGAAAAAGGAAGGAAAGAATGGGGCTAAAAAGTTTATGGTGGTAAAAAAGATGGTCCTTAAGATTTTATTATCAGATGAACCCCGCTCCAGTCGACCACTCGCCGAAAATCATAGAAAGAGTCTTCAACCATTTACAGAATGCCATATACAAGAAGAATATTGATGTTTGGGTCCCAAATGATTTAACAGTTAAAAATGTTACAGAGCAAATTTAATCAAATCTATTTGTTTTAATTTCTGCAAAACTCGCTCAGTGTTGTATAAGGTTGTCTTTAAAGAAGCCTGTAAAAATGACGCGGTTCAATTTCCGCCCAGAAACCACAGAAGTTCATTAGAAAAATCAGCAAATCAAAAAACAGCAGATTAACTTACCTGTGATCGATAAAAAACAGGTTCTTCTCTATGCCGTCGATCGGGGGTCGATTCTCCACGGAAACGTGGTTCACCAGGTCGGGATAAATGGTGGGGGCGACCAGGGCGGATATTTCCGGTCGCATCCGGTGCTGAACGTTCAACGTGTGGCACTCGATCTTATTGTTGATCATGCGCTCGAACAGGCTGATGCCCAGCTTAAATGTGGTCTCCATTTTGAAGTCTGCCGTGCTCGGTTTCAGTTGTTGATGATCGCCGATCAAAATTAGGTGCTGGCAGTGCCGTGTGAGGGCGCTGACGATGTGGGCCTCCAACACTTCCGCTGCCTCCTACGAAACCATCGAGTTTAAAGGGTTAACTTCATCTTACAACGTTTTGTAGTAAAGATAACCAAGAAGAATTTTAATTCATAGCATTAAGAATAACAAATTACCTCCACAATGACTATAGGGCACTTGAGAGCTTGGAGGGCGGAGTTCATACGGGCGGCGCCGGTGGTGGTCATGCCGATCACGAGCTGTTCCTTCATGATCTGAGCGTCCTCTATCGACCTGAGCTCGTTGTATTCCCTGTAGTTTTTGCGATACAATTCTGATAATCGATTCTTGTTGTTGATCAACTTAGATCTGAACTCCTGCACCCAAAGGAAATACAATTTCCAACGCATGTTCGGCGGCATCTCATCGGGTTGGTAGAAGTCGCATTCCTTCGGTTTTTTCACGTTGAAGTTTTGCTGCGAGCCCCAAGTCAATTTTTCCTAAAATAAAGAAAATGCACAAAACATTCAAATTATGGTCCACCATCTTACTTGTAAGAAATTGTAGTCGTTGGTCATTTCTTGGATTTCGTAATTTAGTCGAATAATTTCATCAATGACTTTTGGATCATCGTTGTTTTCATCTTTGCATACAGATTCGAAATGGAGTTTCCAGTTTCTAATGGTGTCGCAAAATTGTTTTAAATCTATTAACGGTTTGGAATCTGCCACCTTAAAATCTTCGTCAAATATATCGTCCATTACGTTGTTTTCCTCATTATTATTGTCTACGATTTCTTCAACGACTTCTTCATCATCTAGAGCAGGTTCCGTTTCGGGATCACGCTAAAATACACAGTTTTATCATGTTAAATAAATACCAGGGAGTGTTTTTCGAAATTTGCGACTTTATTGTCCATAGAAAAAGAGCTATGTAGAAAGCAATAAACCAATCTGAGTGCTGAAGAGAATGCTGTACTCTGATTGATTTCTATAGAGATCATTTTCTATATAAGTCTAAAATTTCAAGATGTGATATCTACCTGACTTATCTCCTGTTCCTGCACATGAAGAGCAGGCTTTGCTGCCATCAGCCATCCTCTTAAGTCGTCGTTGCTAGCTCTAGCAAACCAGGACAGCTCATAATTGGGAATAATATGTGCAAAATGTTCAAATGACATGACGTAATGAAACGACTCCACCTCTTCCAATAAATGATTATTTTGCTTGATTTCTCTAACAATGTCAGACACCACTCTCCGAATCTGGCCTACGGCGGCCGGCAGCGGACGCTTTTTCTTTCGAATGTTGAATTCGTTTAGCGCCTCGTTCTTAGACTGGCCGCCGATGCGCAGAATTTGCTGGGTACATGGAACTATGCCTTCCAGGAATTGGTCCAACGCGTGGTTCGTGTAGCAAATCAGCAAAATTGGGCTGCGTTTGTACCATGCATGGTGGTTATTGAGCAGCGTGTGGGCGATTTTGAGACCGAGATGGGTTTTACCGGTGCCCGGAGGACCCTGGATGATGGCCAGCTCTTTCGTAAGGGCCGCCTTTAAATAAGGAGAATTTAATTGAGGCGCTTTTTACCATAAAATCCACGGTTTCAATTTTGGACTAATACTGTTTTTGTAATATACATAATTATATAATTATCAACTTGTGTTAAAAAAGCTCATTCTTAAGTTTTTATTTCCCAAAGTTTTATTTAATACATAATTTTTTAAACCAAAATATGTTTACTTCCTTACCTTGAAAGCCTTCAACTGCGACTCGTTTAAATCGTAAAAGTTTTGCTCTGGAAAATTAAAAGGCCAGAATTGTTTGTTGTTTATTGTGTAATAGATAGGTACTTCATCATCCATAAGGTACTTAGGCATACGAACGTCGGATTCCACGTCGACCAAATACCTTTTCATCGGAAAATCGTCTATGTCCATTTGTTTGAGAACTGTTAGAACTTGATAGTACGGCTCAAAGTACACCGCACATTCTAACATAAGGTATGGGTGGTTATATTTGGGAACACCTGTAAAAATATTTTAATTTTTTAATTTTTCAGTCAGGTTCCAGCACTTGACAAGGCAAGACGCATTGTAGCAGCGAGAACTAGCTCTTAAAACGTAAAAGCTTTAAAGTTTAAAACAAACAAATAATTTTTCAAAAGTGCAAACCAATTATAGTGAAACAACTACAGTGAGTATAGACTACCCTACGGTCAAGAATGAGTTAAGAGTTAAGTGATAAGAAAGAGTTAAGTCACAAGTTTCAGCTACTGCACGCTTTTCACTAGACAAACAAAGAAGGTCAAACAAGAGGGGAAGTGGCTATCCGCAAAAATTGATAAGTAACCTGAAGCATATGCATGACCTAACACATAATTTGCAAAATTAAACACGACAGAGGCACACTGCTTAAACTCAATAAACAATAAATATCAGTAACAATAGAAACATTAGAAAGACAATACTAACCAAACACCATAAAATAATAAAGAAAAAAGACAAACAACAAAAAACAATCGAACTATCGCGGTGATACGCCAAAGCTGAATAGGACAATAAACCTGTAAACAACAAATGCGTACTACTGCGGCAATAAACAATAAAAAAACATCAAAAGCTACAAGTTACATATCCAACTACTGAACTATCCATTGTTGGTTTGCGGCTTCAAGACTAAAGACACATGTGCAGGAACAATCCTACTTGTACACGAACAAACGTAGACCAAGACGTAGGCTCCTGCAGCAAAATAACAACTCCCGAACTCCATACAGTAATCTCAAATGTTTAGAGTAATACTAATTAGCTGCCTGGTTTAGGGGGGTACCGCGTCGTACTTAGATTTGAGTCGGCGTAATTGTCCCCCAAACACCAAAATATCTATCCCTCCCGTCCTACCTCCATCATGACCCTACTGGGCGTATAGCATCGGCTCGGCGAACCCGGGAAAGGCTACTAAAACTATTGGCATTTCGCTCTCGAGCCCCAAATAGGGGACAGTACGGGACGCAATGGGCATTTGCAACCAGCAAACACGGGTGAAGGCGATAAGGCAATGGGGCCGGTTATACGTCTCTTATACTCATACTCATACTCATGTCATTTTTAATGTTTCACTGGGATATACTAATTTGAATGGACTATACATACCGGACTCCATGCCAACAATCAGTTGTCCCTTGTCTAGATCCTTGATGTCTCTTTGCGCCACCTTGCCGAAAAGTACGGTCTTGAAGTTGTCTTGCGTGAAGCACAGCAGCGAGCCGAACATGAATCTCTTCGACTGCGCATAGTTCACCTTTCTCTTCTGCTTGCCCGTCTGGAAATCGAACTGCAACCTGAAACATTGCGCCTCGTTCACGGACTCCATGTTCAGGAACTGCACGTTCTGGTAAAACTTGACCGTGGTGATTTTCTCGCCCTTCTGCTCCAGGTAGCTGCAAACGGCCTCGCGCAGCGGGGCGACGAAGTCTTCGCGCAGAAGTCTGAAATGCACGTCGAGGTACTCGCTCACGCTTTCGTACTTTCCCACGGAGCGGTTCTTGTTCAGGAAGAAGGTTCTGCGGTTGTTCGTGATCTCCTCGCCGCTGGGGTACACGTTTATGTCGCGGTAATCCTGGGAGAGAAAATATTGATATACCACCAAATAAGTTGTCATCCTTTAAGGGGATGATAGTACACGCCAAAATAAGAAAGCTTTTCCTCTATCATTTTTGCATTAGCACCATTCAAAGCTGTCGGTAACTGAATTAAAATAATTGAAAAATTGTAATAGAATTACTTTAATTCGATTACTGAGAAAAAATGGTAATTATAATTGATTTTAAAATTGTAATTGATATTTTATTTTAACAATTTTTGGGTAATTCAATTACCTTCAGAGTGATTAAATTACTTAAGTAAGGAGCTTTGTAACAATATAAAGAAAAAACGTTGAAAAGAATAACTCTTAGAAGGTCTAGAATCTAGAAGAGTATTTTTGCAAGGGATTTAAAAATATTTTACGAGTGTAGACCAACATGGAAAAAGGATAACATTTGTTTTCGCTTTTAAGACGACTTAAATTCTATAACCCAATAAACCCATAAATGTACCATATATAGGATATATAGGATAGGTCAGTGTCAAACAAATTTTTTATTAAAAAACAGTAGCTCCAATACAAAAATGAGGAAATACTTTCTTGTTTTGCTTGTACTATCATTCCCCCAAAGGATGACAATTTATTAGGTAACACCCCGTATAGTTTTAACTAGCTGTAGCGGCGTCGTCTAAAAGTATCCTGCGTGTACTTACATCAGGTGGAGGCACATACTCTTCCTCATAGTTTGGGTCTGCTTTCAACAGTTCTTTCACTTGTTTTTTGCTTTCGATCTCTTTGATTTGTTCCTCGATAGTGTCGCTCAATTTTTCAACGTTCGTTTTGATCAAATCGGAAATGTGGATCTTATGCTCCTCCTCGACTCGCGGAATGCTTTTCTTCAATGTCTTCAACAGTTTTGGCGTCACATCGCATGCCGTTGACGGTGATATCTGGTGATTAAAAGTTGGTTATATATTTTTTAATACAGTACTTTAGTTATTACCTCAAACAAAACCCGACACACAGCGGTGACTTCCTGCCAAAACCTGTCGGACTCTTTCCAAAATTCATCGTTAAATCGTTTATCCTTATTATCTTGATTTTCAATTGTGACAATATAATTTGTAAGTTGTTTCACAAACGATCTTATCGTCATATATTTGATTAATTGTCTTTTTGTGCTACTCTCAGCAATTTTGTTTAAAACTCTGACAATAAAAACCACCCACACAGAACACGCTATCCAATGGATATCCAATGGCTATCCCAATGTCCATATAACATCCATGCCTTTTACGATATCCATTGGATATCCAATGGATATCCATACTGGATGTTCAAAAAAAAACAAAAACATTAAAAATATTTTTTTCTTTTTTAAAATAGCCCCTTATAGGATAAATTTATGTAATGATTAATAAATATGATTTAAATCGTTATTAACCCAATTTCAACAAAGTATCTCTAATATATATCCAATGGATAACTAATGTATGTCCAAAGTATATCCACTGTACATCTAATGTATATCCACTGGATATCCACTGGATATCCGATGGATATCCATACTGGATGTTCAAAAAAAAACAATAACATTAAAAATATTTTTTTCTTTTTTAAAATAGCCCCTTATAGGATAAATTTATGTAATGATTAATAAATATGATTTAAATCGTTATTAACCCAATTTTAACAAAGTATCTCTAATATATATCCAATGGATAACTAATGTATGTCCAAAGTATATCCACTGTACATCTAATGTATATCCACTGGATATCCACTGGATATCCAATGGATATCCATACTGGATGTTCAAAAAAAAAACAAAAACATTAAAAATATTTTTTTCTTTTTTAAAATAGCCCCTTATAGGATAAATTTATGTAATGATTAATAAATATGATTTAAATCGTTATTAACCCAATTTTAACAAAGTATCTCTAATATATATCCAATGGATAACTAATGTATGTCCAAAGTATATCCACTGTACATCTAATGTATATCCAATGGATATCCACTGGATATCCGGTGGATAACTGATATGGATACTTGTATGTATACATGTGGGATTTTGTGATGGTTTAAACTAGCATATGTAAAAAAACGACTTTACGTTAAATTGATTTTTTGCCAAGAGCTACGAAATTTTTAATGTTGAAATGTTCACTTTACCCAGATAATAATATTTATATATTAATAATATTATTTCTGTTAATAATATGACTATGACAGTCTGCAATACAATAAAAAATTACTTAAAAAAGTCCTTTTTGTTTATTATTGTATTTCATATATGTACTACGCACGCGCTGAATTTGAGAATCTTCAGTGTTGCCGGTTATAAGCAAAATAACTAAACGAAATATATTTCCGTACTTTATTAAGTTTTAATAAATAAATTAAATAAATTTAAAATAATTATTCACCACATTTATGTCAAATAGGTATACTAGGTATACTAATTAATTAAGTATTAAAGATTTAATAATATAACCGCCATTTTGATGAGCTTTCTGAAATTATTTAAACGTCTGACAACACTGCCGGCGAACACAGAAGATAAATGTCACCATATTACCTTGCCGCTGCATCTCGCCGCTGTCCAGGTCGCCCAACTAGTATATAGGTGGGCGGTTGCTTGGCTTGAAGCGTGTCTCTCGGCACCAACTGCCTGACACTGATGAGACCCAACAGGTCGAAACAGTCTGTCTGTCAGTGTTGGTGGGCATGGTACATTAGTCATTGTGCCATGTTAAACAAATGGGCTGATGGATTGGCCAAATTTTGGGGATCATAAGGAGACAGGTGAAATAGGCCCTAAATGATTAGGCTGATAAAAAGGCAAATGACAGCTGGAGGAGTGATGGCAAGCACTTCTTTAGTTTATATGTAGTTTTCTGTTCTATTTTATGTTTTCATAAAAATAAATATTTAAATTAAAGAATAAGACTTTTATTTTAAAACCCAATGTTATTTATTGAAAAGTAAATATCCATTGATTCACCATATCCAATACAGATGACAACCATATTGCATACAATACTATATCCACTGGGTATCCATTGGATATCCACACTATGTCCAGGAGGGTCGGACATTTATATATCCAATGGTTATCCATTGGATATCCATACAATCTCCATATTGAATACAGATTACAACCATATTGCATACAATACTATATCCACTGGGTATCCATTGGATATCCACACTATGTCCAGGAGGGTCGGACATTTATATATCCAATGGTTATCCATTGGATATCCCGGATATCCTATGTATATCCTGGATATCCATAAAAGAAATCCATTGGATATCCATTGGATGTAATTGTTCCGTGTGGGCATAACATCCGGTTTAATGCTTTCCGATTCGAGAAGTTTCGTAAACCCTTTCTTTGAATCAGAGATAATCAAGATTATTGCTTCAATATCATCCAACTCTAGAAGAGATTTAAGACCTGGGTATCCCATGGTTCTGGGCCCATTATTTCTTCGATCTCTGTTTTGAGAATCGTATTGGTCTCTCCTATCGTTTGGTCTATCAGTAAACTGGTTGTTTCTTATATGATTTTTGTTTTGGGAATCGTATTGGTCCCTCCTATCGTTTGGTCTATCAGTAAACTGGTTGTTTCTTATATGATTTTTGTTTTGGGAATCGTATTGGTCCCTCCTATCGTTTGGTCTATCAGTAAACTGGTTGTTCCTTATATGATTTTTGTTTTGGGAGTCATATTGGTCCCTCCTATCGTTTCTGTCGATAAAGGGGTTGTTCCTCCCATTGTTTCTGTTTTGGGAGTTTCCACGATTGAATTTTTCAGATTGAGAACGTCGATCTGGGTAAGAACTAGAGTTGGAGCGTCTATCTCTCCAACTTCCACCTCTATCTCTTTCTCTACCTCTGCCTCTACCAAGAGGTCTATTAGAACCATCTTCATCTAAACACAATAATAATAATAATAATAATAATAATAAAACTTTTATGAAAAGAATTTGGTGCCCCAGCAAAGGCCTATATAGTTAATTAAAGGCACGTTTATAAAGGGCCATTGTAAAACCTTTACGGTTGTGTTTGCTGGGTACCTTATAATAATATATACTACCTAGACTTGGTTTACTTTTACTTTTGTAATAGGCATTGTCCAAAATGCCTAGAAGCGATAGAAAATAATTCACGAAAAAAATAAAATACATTCTACAATAGATTACAAAGATCTAGATCTGATTAACTTCCTGAATAATTATAATTGAAAGATAATAAACAATTATTATAAATTTTTATGCAAATGTTTCTAAAAACAAAAAAAATTATTTAAAACCAAATTAAAGCAAATTTCTTCATGTGGCAACAAATAATTAAACGATTGGATTTTTCGCATAGAAATGACCCTTATATAAAATTAAAAAAGGTATTTAAAATTTAGGTAGGTAGATAACTAAGATAGCAAAATTTTATCATTGTTATTAGCGTAAAGTGAATCAATCACACTAACAATTGATTTGATAAGAACACTTTTAAAATTTGATTTTATCGGAATAGCATATTATTATTTTGAAATTTATGTTCCTCTTTATTATAATATAAATTTATATATTTAAATAAATATGAATCAACCTACAATTAAAAAAAAAATCATTAAAATCGGATAAGCGATTATAATACATAGGTAAAAGCTTTTAAATTAACCTTAATGTAAATTGGTATTTTATTATTATTAAATTTAAACAGGAAATTAGTACAAAAGTTTTGTTTAAATAAAATGCTTTAAAAACTTTAAGGGCACTTTCTACTTTGGAAAATAAAAAAATGATTTCATTTTTTAATACACTAAAACAAAAATCTTTACTGTTTTATTTTTAAATCCCTTAGAGCAGTATGTTAACAATCCTAATGTTACTATAGTATACTACTACTATAGTACTATATTAATATTTGTAGTAACTATCGTTAATCAATAAATATATTTATATTTACCCTCTCTGTAAAGAATTCTTCCACTCATTCTTTTTTCACCACAAATACCTAAATGCCTAGGATAGGGGTATTTATTCAATCTAAAAAACAACAAAAGGTTACCTAAAATATCTGATAAGCTAATTAATTAATAATCCAATTTATTATATTATCAATTAATGTAAACATGCATTAATTTTTTGAAAATAAATCTAATATATTATATTTTTTTTAAGAATAAAAAAATACATAAATAATCTGACTTAATAATACTCTAAATCCTGACTTATAACAAAAATTATAAAATGTTTATAATAAAGATTGTTAAATCCAAGAGGATTTAAGGGTTTTATTAATTTAATAATAAAAATTTCACCAAGGTTTAGTTAAATTAACAGATATATAGATAGTAAGGTATAAAAATCTATTCTTTAAATTACTTACTTACAATATATTATAATATTTAACCAAATACCTAATTACTTTTAATTATTAATTAAAGATTATTAATTATTTTTAATTCATATATTTATTAATTATTGTTCTATATATTTAATAACACGTCTTGTCACTTGCACAAACAAACCTCAATAAAAAATTATATTTCGTTTATGACCTTATATACTTGTTTAAATTGTCCTGTGATTTCCCTAGATATACAATAGTCTGTAGTTAAGTACATGATTCCCCATAATAAAACGTGTTTCCGGTGTTGCCATTTTGTATTGTCTTTGCGTCGAAATCCCACTTTAGCAAAATTTTGTACGTAAACATAATTTTTATTAAAAATCGGATACTGTTTACGTGTGACAGGTCGGCTGAACGTAATATTAATTATTATTTTAAAAATTAAGTACAGTTTTCTTTTTTCAACGGTCGTTTATTTACAATATTTATTTTATCACTTATGTACGTAAATATTTTTACCAAAAGTAAGGGCTCTTCGCTTCATGTTGACCGCGATTACCATAAAGAAGGTACTTTCTCTATGGTGATTACACACAAAAATTATGTTTACGTATTTCAAATTTCCCGCCTTATAAATAAATGTTAATTGAATAATATTCATTTGTGTTGTATTTGACAATTTTTAGCTTTGCTTTGCTTTATGTAGTAAAAAGTGGTCTACGATTTTTACAGATTAAAAACGATGATTTTTTGTTTCCAGTAGGATTATTGTTTATTCGTAAGTTGGCAACACTGGGCCAGGAGGCTTCTATAGAAAATTCGGAAAACTGTGGTTTAATAATTTTGTTCACATCACTCAGGGATGTGATATTGTCCTATTGTAGGAAACTTAAATCTACAGAAATTTTGGTGAATTTTTGAGCTGGCAACACTGGCCAAGTTGTCAAAAGGTGAAGTGTGGTGTAGCCGCCGGTTTATCTCTGGCCGCCGGTGAAATAAATGATTGGAAAACCCGGGTTTTGGCCAATATTTAGCTGTTTTTTTTGCTGTGATTTAAAAAAAACTAATTAGTAGGTATTGTTATTTGTATACTCCTGTTAAATTATTGCCAAAATCAATTTTTTTTCAGAAAAATCCCATTATACTATTTTATGGCAAGGGGAATCACAGGAATCATAGGACTTGAGTTATTACTGATAACTTATCAGGTGATATCTAAACGATATACAATTTTTAATTGTTGTGAGTTTGTGCAAGAGGTAACTATAATTTATAAAATTAAAAGAATAAATAATTATTAATTCATAAATAAATTAAAAGTAATTTTTTGGTTAAATATAAATTTATATTAATTAATTAATTAATCCTGGTGAGATAATCCTACCACATAATAGATATCTAGATTCAAGCTTGAATATTCATATAAATCATATTGGTCAGAAGTACAACATAATGCTAACATATCTTCTATTTATTTAAAATGACTATTTCCCTCGTCTTAATTTCCACCAATCACAAACGCGCAATTTTAAATTACTAATGGTTTCTAGGTGGAAAAACTGTATGGCAGCACCTGTCAGCAGTTTTTTCGAGTTTATCCGCGGCAAAACTTGACAGCTGTTGTCACCAAAAATTGCAATTTATATTTTAATTGTTAACTGTTACTCATGAAATAGTCTTGTCGAATACCATTCGGGCATCTAATTTTTCCTGTGAAAAAAATCGAAAAAACACAATGCTAAGTAATATTTTTTAACAAAATGCATTCGTGCAGGTGCAAAAATCCTCCTCTTCGACTCGGATTTTTGTTGCCACCAGCACTCATGCTTGTTAAAATATTCCCAGCAAGCACAAACATCCTCAGGACGTCCTTGGACCAGCCTAAATGTCCCAGAATGGGATGATCCTATAAGGACTTCCTGAGGACGTCCATAGGTTGACCTTATCGGACATTAGATCTTTTGAAGGTCCCATTTTGGGATATCCTAGGAACGTCATTTAAGGATGTCGTTAGGACCTAATAATATCCTAATTAAAGCCCAAAATGGGCTGATCATAGGACTAATCCCAGAGACATCCTCAGAATGTCCCGTTAGGTTTTGGTAAACATTTTTTCTATAAGAAAATTTTATCCATATAATTAATAATACCTACATTTTTTTACATAATTTATTTTGCATAGGCACATCTTAAAAATGTTAATCAATATAATTATAATATTATATTATATAGATTTTTTTAAGTTTATAAACTATATTTTTTCTACGACAATCACAAAAATTAAATAACTTTCAACAATTATATATAAATAATTATTTATAAAACCTGACATCGACCAGTCTATTCTTACCTCACTTTTTAGACCCTTTATTTTGATGGTCATTGTTTCGCAGTTGACAACTGCAATTAACTTCAACCCATGACTAAAAAGTCCGAATGCCATTGCTGCCAACTTCAGCCCGTGACTAAAACGCCATAAAGCCACAACTTGTCAATGTGTATTTAAAATATCATGGAAACATGTACGATAATCGGCGTTTTAAAGGCGGGAGTTTAAAAACAATATTATATTTTGTGTAGGTATTTGTTATATGACCACAAAATATATTTTGTATACAACTGGATAGCAGCCAACTTAATACGCATGCGCAGAAATGACGGCTGGTAATTAATAATTGTTCAAACACCTTGTTTGTACTGAAACATTTAGAGTTTTATAAATAATAAATAAGGGAGTAAGCGTCAGTTAACCTTAAAAATGTAATTACAAACGCTATCTATAACTTATTTAATAGTTTGTGTTACCGATTGTTTTAAATTTGCCGCCATACGTTATGGTGGTAACTATAGTTACAATATATTGTCTATGGTGGTAACACTGGATGGAGAGAAAGCTAAGATGTCGTATAGCCATGATACAAAGTATCATGTCGTATAGCGTCCTTTAGTTGTTTGGGGTCTTTTTGTTAGAAAGAATCATAGATAACACTGTGAAAGGAATTCTTTGTCTGTGCCGTGAATTCTTTTTCTGTGTCGTGAACCTGGTTTAAGGCCGTGAATCTCGTGTGTTTGTTATAATATAATATTATTATCATGTTGGATATTTCAACAACAATCAGAAAGTTCCAGTGCTTATTAATTGTTTATTTTTAAGTTTAGGGTAGTTATGCAATAATAATTTTTTGTTCCATATTAAGTTGTCTTAAATGTTATTTTTGTAATTACTTCAGAAATCTGATGTTCAATTGTTATTCTGTCTTAACCATTTTAATCAGAAGAAAAAATGCCACTAATTTGCTAATTTAACCGACTTTGTAGCTGCAATAATAATGGAGTTAAAATGGTGAGCAGATAACTTTGGACACTTTGTATATATAAATAATATAACTATTATATTTATTTAGAATTATTATTTATTTTATTTTTATAATAGGTGTTTATTTTTTATTTTATATAATTGGCTGTGTAAAATTATATATATGTATACAGAATTAAAATAATATATTTTATAAAGTAATAAAATGGTATTTGATTGTTTAAAATGTATCCCCAACAAATAACAAGGCCATTCAGAGGATGTCCTCAGGACATTCCATTCCTGGTCCTATATGGACCTAGGGATATCCCTAGGATATCCTAAAGGCCATTTGCGGGACGTCTGTAGGCTGGCCTTTTTTGCACCACTAGGCCATGGTTGGGATGTCCTGAGGAGGTCTAAGGACGTCCTAGGATATCCTTGGGATATCCCAATATCCTGTAAGGCTTTCCTTAGGATGTCCTTAGGACAGACTTGTGCTAGCTGGGTTACTTAGCAACGTGTTTTTTCGATTTTTTTCACAGGAAAAATTAGATGCCCTTATGATATTACTTACGACAAATTTTGCGTATATTATAGGTCATTGATATACAACTCTTTATTTTTAAATTTATACCAAGTAATTTAATTTTAAGGAATATATTCTTCATATACATATATATATGTATATGAAGAATATACTATATATAGTTTATGTAGGTATACCTATATATTGGTTTTATATATACGAAGTACCTAAATTTGGCTTATCATTTAATTAAAATTAACTATATCAATATTTTAATATGTTTTTGTTGTTTTTTTTAGATTAAATACCCATTTTGATATTTATGGTGAAAATAGAATATGAGTGGAAGATTTCATCACAGAGAGGGTAAATATAAAATGTATACCTATACATATTAACAATAGATATTATAGTATTATATATTATACCTTAGCCTGTAGAATTTTCAACTTAAATTTAAAAAAAAATGAAAATTAATTTTAATTAATTAATTGACATCACTAGGGGTGGTACATTTTGTGACTTCCTGTGGAGGAGGGGGGAGATCAAAAATCGCGTGACGTAGTTTGTGAATGTTCCCTAACAAAGTAGAAAGTCCCTTTTATGTTTTTAAAGCCTTGTTTTTGAAAATGCATGCAGCATTTTTTTTTAAATATATAAATGTTGAAGCTAAACAAATATTGTACATCTCAACATTTCCAGGTTAGACAACTGATTTTTGTTTGAATAGAATAGGTATATAATAGTTTAAATTAAAATTTTTATTATATGGAACCAATAATCATGTATTTTTACTTAATTTGCAAATTTAAGTTTAAAATAAATACAGTTAACCCCAGTAGCACAAAATATTGGTCCTATATGGGGCGCATATATGCCCAATATTTTATCTGGGACCAATATTGGATTTATTTAGCCGATGTTGGCCCTATATTGGCATAAAATGGTTATTTAATATATCTTTCCAATGTTTATCCAATGTTGGTCCTATATTGGCATATCATTTTACGCCAATATATCATAAAACATATTTATCCAAGATCGGTCCAATATTGGCATATCATTTTAAGCCAATATATCATTAAACATATTTAGCCGATGTTGGTCCTATATTGGCATATCATTTTACGCCAATATATCATTAAAAATATTTATCCAAGGTTGGTCCCATATTGGCATATCATTTTACGCCAATATATCATTAAACATATTTATCCAAGATCGGTCCAATATTGGCATATCATTTTAAGCCAATATATCATTAAACATATTTATCCAAGGTTGGTCCTATATTGGCATATCATTTTAAGCCAATATATCATTAAAAATATTTATCCAAGGTTGGTCCTATATTAGCATATCATTTTACGCCAATATATCATTAAACATATTTATCCAAGGTTGGTCCTATATTGGCATATCATTTTAAGCCAATATATCATTAAACATATTTATCCAAGGTTGGTCCTATATTGGCATATCATTTTACGCCAATATATCATTAAAAATATTTATTCAAGGTTGGCCCTATATTCGCGTAACATGATTATCCAATATATCATAGTCGATGTGTGTGCTATGTTGGCCCCATATTGGCGTAAAATGATTATCCAATATATCAATGAAAATGGTTGTCCAAGGTTAATCTAATATTACTCCTACATTATCGTAAAATGATTTTCCAATATATCAGTGTCAATGTTTGTCCAAGGTTGGAATTAAATGATAATTCAAAATTTCCAACGTTTATACACTGTTGGCCTTATATTGGTGTAAAATGGTTATTCAATTTTTATTATAAATTATATTATTATACCAATGCTTATATATAAATATAGCAACAACATGAGATTATGCAACATACCTCAAAGAGTTTTTCATAGAATTTGGAGGGTACATTTTATATCAAGTAACTCCCCTCTCCCCCTTATCATTTGGGTGAGCATTGTTACCCGGCCCCCCGCTCCTACGCCCTTAAATACTATAAACATTTCCTAAAAACAAACGTGTCCCCAGTAGCACAAAATATTGGCCTAATGTATTAACTACATTGGTAAAATATTGTTTATTGGCCCAATATTGGCAATATTTAGCCAATATTGGTAATTTATTGGCATTACCATCTTCTCATTCATTTGATTTTCATATTAACCCAATATTGGGCCAATGTTTATGAAAAAATATTTCTTTATGTGCTTAAATTTAATTTACTTATGGAGTAAAATCTAACCAAGTTCAAACTAAATACATAGATTCTCTTTTTAACCATTAAAAGGGATTATATATAATGTCCTTTTTTCCAATATTGGACCTATATTGGGTATATATTGCGTAGGGAAAATTTTGTAGCACAGACAACACTCCTACAAAGCCAATACAACGAAGTGTCAAACACCGTATTTGTCACGTGTTTAAAAGTTTTTCTTTGTGATATATGTATATTTATCGACTGCAAATAAATAAAATTTGGATCCTGGGCAAAGTAAATGTAAGTACCTATACAATTTAATATATTATATAAATACTATTATTATAAATAAATGAGCAAAATATTCCATCAGGCGTCTTTCATAAATTTTTTCAAGCTAACAATCTATTTTCTATTTTAATAGTTTGGCTGTAGATAAAAACTTTACCCGCAAAGTGCCCGTACTAGAGTATCTAATGCTTTAGTTATAATAACTGGCAAGTTTAAAGTTACCATATTTTTTATCAAAATAAAATACAAAATGGGAATGTTGGTCCAATATTGGGCAAATATTTGTTGTTTTTCAACATTGGGCAAATAATGGCTAAATATATGTTTTATTTTAAGTTCCCGACCGGTTTCATCTTAGGCAATGTTCAGGGGACTACATCTATAATATAGTTTACAGACCATAATATGGTAGTACGAACAGTGGCGGATCCAGGGGGTCTTTAGGGTCGTGACCTCTCAATACGAATTTATTAATCAAAAAATTATATCGAACATTCATTACCAACATTATTATACATTAAATCTTTGATAAGTTTTAATATAATAAAGTTAAATATATTAAATTGTTGCTAAAATTAAGTATTATATTTTACGTTTTATTCGGTAGATACGCAAAATGGAAAAAAAGTATAGTGCAAAATATAGAAGCATTAAAAGATCATTGGAAGAATTAATTATTGCAAGTCCTCTTCAAAACAAACAACAAAAAACTGAAGTTCATATTTTTTGTGAAAGTAAAAACTGCGAGAAAAGCTATGTCAAACGTGACGAAATTGATACTTCAAATTTAGCTGGAAGCTATACAGATATATTAGATACATCCGAACTAACATCTGAAGAAATTGTTCCAGAAATAGATTCTACCAATCAGGCAGACACAACTCCAAGTGAAAATTTAAGACAATTTTTATGTTCATGGGCTAAAGACTATTCTGTAAACCATACTCAACTAAATCACTTGCTTAAAGGTTTAAATGAACATTTACACTTAAAATTACCCTGTGATGCAAGGACAATATTAGGTACAGTGCGCCAAACTAATATTAAACATAATATTATGACAACTACATCGGGAAAGACTGGAGAATTTTGTTACATTGGAATTGCAGAAAATTTAAAAAAACTCCTAACATCTCAGGTTATTTTGTCAAAAATTAAAAATGAATTACAACTTATTTTTAATATTGATGGTGTGCCACTCAGTAAAAGTTCAAATCGACAATTTTGGCCAGTATTAGGAAAAATTTATATAAGTAATTTTAATATATATCCATTCCCAGTTGCCATTTTTTGCGGAGATGGTAAGCCTAACTTGGACTCTTTTTTCTCTGAATTTATTAATGAAATCAATGTGATGCTAGAGTCTGGGTTACAACATAATGGTACCTTATATTCGATAAAAATTTTATGCTTTACGTGTGATGCTCCAGCAAGGGCTTACGTTAAGTGCGTGAAGGGCCATAATGGAAAATATGGGTGCGAAAGATGCAATCAGCCAGGATTGCACCACCAAGGCAGAATGTTATTTAAAGAAACTACTGCTACATTAAGAACCGATGAAAGTTTTAGTACCCAGGAACAACCAGAACACCATCATGCTGTCACACCCCTCTTACAGATTACAAATTTTAAATGTATAACTTTTTTTGTACTCGATTCCATGCATTTATGTTTTCTTGGAGTCATGAAAAAACTAATTAAATACTGGTATTCAAATCCTGCAACTAAACTACATTTACGAGGACGCTCAAAAATATCAGAATACTTGGAGTATACCGGAAAATTTATACCAGAAGAATTTAATAGAAAGTCGAGAGGACTTCACGAGTTAGACCACTGGAAAGCCACAGAATTTCGATTATTTGCATTATACACGGGTGTGGTAGTTTTAAAAAACATATTACCATCTGCGTTTTACCATCATTTTCTGTTATATAATTCTGCTTTAAGGATACTATTTTCTAATGATCTTTCCAGTCATAACTTAAACTGTGCTAGGAAATTGCTTTTATCTTTTGTAAGCGATTTTGAAAAAAACTATGGTGTTAACTCATTAATTTATAATGTACATAGTATTTTACATATTACTGACGATGTCCAAAATTTAAAACTTAATTTAAATGATTCAAGCTGTTTTTCATTTGAAAGTTATTTAGGAAAACTGGTAAAATTAGTTAAAACACCTAACAAGCCTTTAGCTCAAGTGGTAAGACGCCTGTCGGAAAATCAAAAAATGTTTTATAGTAAGAAAGGAACTCAATTTGAAAAATATTTTTTCTCATCAAATAACTTTAAGGATTCATTTATACTAACAACAAATAATAAAATTGGAAAAATTAAGTCCGTTTATAATAATGATATAACTGTTTTAAAATGTTTAGGACAAAAAGATTATTTCAACTATCCATTTCCATCAGGAAATATTGGCATATTTAAGTTTCTTCAGATAAGCAATAACGAGATTACATGCAAAATTTCAGATATAAAAAATAAGTTGCTTGTAATTAAAGAATTAAATAAAAATTCATATGTAGCTTTTGAAATCTTACACACAAGTTAATTAACATAATTTTTTTCTAAATTATTTATTATATATTTTAAAGAATATAGAAATAAAATATTAAAACTTTCTAATGCCTTTAAATATTTACTAATATGAGTTACCTTAAAGAATATATACTAATAGGTTAATAATTATTAAAAATATTATATAAAAATATTATATTATAAAATATTATATATAATAAAGTACCTACATAGTTTAATTTTTACAACCTAAATGTTTATATTATCGCAAATTTGATTTATTTTACTGATTTTTGTATTATGTATTATCACGTGATTTCCAGAATAAATTTTAAATATGTTGTCCTGGGACCTGGTTTTTTGGGCAAATAAGGAATGTGTCGATTACATTCCATCAATCTGGGCTGTTGATAACGAAACTTACAAGTGGCCGCAAGGAGTGTCTCAAGATGTGCGGCAAGCTTTAATTGATGCTTGCGACCCTTTAAAGTCAATAAAGTATCGCATACACAAAGGAAGACCAACGATAATGAACATAAGAGACTTAAAAAAAGCCAAAAAACTATGTGAAAGAGCGCTTTACACTTCTTGTGTTGAAACTACCGACGTTGAAATACCTGTATCTCAACAATCGGATAATACTGATAGTGACAATGAAGACATGCAGTCTGTTATTAGTAAGTAATCTAAATAAAAATAAAAAATATTTTATATAAATCGGTTAGTAACAAGTCTTTTTGTTGTTTTAAAACCCATAGTGCATTCAAAAACTACCTCAATAAAATGCCAAACTAGTTTTGATATGCGTAAATTTGTAATTGTATTTTAGCCTTTACACCACCAAAAACATCAAGTAGTATAAATCCAAACAAAAGTAACAAAACGCTTAACGCCATATCTTTTAACAATCACAGTAGTGATGATGATTTGCCATCGATTAAAGAAATTGCTCGTAAGTATATTTTATAACGTTAAAATAATAACTACTTTACTAATAATTTTCTTAATATTTTTAGATTCTAGTAGATCCAAAAATAAATTGCATGTGACCGCTGGTCTGTATTATACATACAACTACAACTAAACATAATATATTATATTCTATTTGATATTTTTAATGTTAATGTAAAAATGTGTTTTATTTCCAGAATCTACACCTTCATTTACTAGAAAGTCTCTTGAAGACAATACAAGTTTTAAAAGGCAAAAACTGGATTTTACTAAATCACCATCACTCCTTAATTATGCAGAACCGACCAATCATACAGAGCCAATTAACTTGACAGGTACATGGGTTAAGAAATTGTATTGTTTGTTTTATCTATTTACAGCTAAGTACTTTAAACTTTTAATTATATTTTTAGATTCTGAAAGATTGATGTTGAAAGAAATTAAAAAACTAAACTGGGAAATAGGGGATTTAAAAAGAAATGTTAACAAAATTCATGATATGTTAGTTGTAAATAATTCACTTAGTATTCAAAGTTCCAATGAAGGACCTTGGCAGCTCCCTATTGAAACCCAGGCTTCACTTGATCAGCTAGAACTGCACTTGAAAGAAGAAAAGAATTCTGAAATGCTGGTAAGAATTATGTTAAAAGTTCGATACAAATTATAATGCTGTTTATTTTATAAAAACCGTATAGGGTCACCGGTTGTACCTTTGTGGCGGGGACACTGTCCACAAGGCAGTTTTTCTAATATTGAAAAAACTATTATCAAGAGAAGTGGCTGTCCTATACTCAGGGTCTGGAAAAAAAGGAAAGTTATCCTTTCAAAAATTATTTTGTTATTTGGCTGTAATAAGTAAGTTTTTTTAAATTTATTGAGTTACAAAGTAAATTATTATTTATTTTTCTTTATAGAAGCTATCCGTAAGCGCTTCCCAACCGCCACTGATTCAGAATTAAACAAATCCATCTCCCTGTATTTGGCAGGAGCGTCAGATAGAGGGGGTGGACGCAAAAACCGATAATGATGATAGTTGATGTATCATGGTCTATGTATGTTTTTGAATGTTTATTTTTTATGTAATATAGACCAATAAAATATATTTTCGTTATTTAAAATTTAATTATAAATATCTATTTTTTTCTACTTCTCAAATTTATATATCCTTTACAATTTTTTTTCCATCTACTCCGAAAACATTGGCATTATTTTTGCTTGAAGATGAAAAGATTAAGAAATTCCTATGTTATTAACGTCCAAAAGCCAAAAAGGATATTATAAAGTTCTAAATAAAAACCATCTTAAAGCAGATAATGAAAAGTTTTGTGGCTTTTTTTGACTTAATAAAGAGCAATTGGATTTTGTTTTAACTCCTATTTGTAAAGATATCAAAAAGCAGTCCACAAATAGTGTAAAAATTCCAATTTGTCCGAAGGAAAAACTTGATTTAACACTTATAATTATATTAATATTTCGTCATCAACATTAGTACAATTTTTGGACATTTTCACTAATAAATTTACTATTATAACATTTATTTCTCTCTCCATAAATTTAAACTGGAGGCCGCGGCGGGCCGCGAACGCTGGACGTCGCAACGAAATCCCACCTTTAGACGTCTAACTCGCAGCAGAGCAGCAATAGCAGCGTTTTGTTGACGAAACATATCGGCAAAGAAATATCAATAACTAAAATCCGTAATAATTAAAAGTGTGTGCCCAACACAGAAAATTTATATTGGTCCTATATTTACAAACTAAAATTGTAAAATATATATCACTTATATTGGGTAAATATTGTATGTCAATATTGGATCATTATTAAATAAAAATATAGGTCCTATAATTGCCAACTAAAATGGTAAAATATATGGCACAAATATTGGGTAAATATTGCATTTAAATATTGGATCATTATTAAATAAAAATATAGGTCCTATATTTTCCAACTAAATTGGTAAAATATATATCACCTATATTGAGTAAATATTGTATGTCAATATTGGATCATTATTAAATAAAAATATAGGTCCTATAATTGCCAACTAAAATGGTTAAATATATGGCACAAATATTGGGTAAATATTGCATTTAAATATTGGATCATTATTAAATATAAATATGGGACCATTAAAATACAATCTGACGTTTCCATCATTGGGCCAATATGCAAAAATAATATTCTACCAATATTGGTGTGCTACTGGGGAATTTTCTTATCATTTGTGATTCACTTTACACTGATAAAAATGATACATTTGAGCAACATAAGTGGGTATCCTAACTAAATTTATAAATAAATTATTCTTCAAAGAATAGATCTATTAATGTTATGTAAAAATCATACCATATCAAAGAAAAGTTTATAAATCAATTGGTTTTAAATTATAATTTTAAACATTTCCTTATATATTTACAATTATCTTAAATAGTTCATAATAATTTTCCCAATATTATTAGGGGCCATTAACTACGTGACGTCACGTTAGACTTATTCAAATTTTTATTTGTGACGTCAATATTGGGGGTGGGGTCGAAAAAGGTCAAAATCGCGTAACGAAATATGTGAAAGGTACTATTATCTTATTATTTTATTTTATTGGGAAAAGTAATTAAAAAAGTTTAAAATTAAAAAAAATCTCCGAGTTTTGTATTGTATTTAAAAAGCGGTAGGCCATAGAAAACCCCGAAGGGTAAGCGTTGAAAATGTCTTATACTCAAGGTAAAGTTCCTTTGAACATACAGTACATGGATATAACCTTAAAGCATATATATGCTTTAAGGTTATATCCATGTACTCAGTACATTGTACTGTATGTATTATATAATAATATAATTTTAAATTGTTAAATATTTAAAAAAAATTTAATTATATTATATGCATTGCGTTTTATTAATATTCTGTTCATATGAAGATGGTTCTAACAAACCCAGTTACCAATATAGAGGTAGAGGTAGAGGTAGAGGTGAAATTGAAAATTGGAGAGATAGAAGCTCCAACTCCAATGCTAACCAAGATCGACGATCTCAACCTGAAAGACCCAATCGTGGAAACTCCCAAAACAGAAATTATGGGAGAAAAAACTCATCTATAGATGGGCAAAATGATAGAAGGGACCAATATGACTCCCAAAACAGAGATCAAAGACCCATGGGATACCCAGTTCTTAAATCTATTCTCGAGTTGGGCGATATTGATGAAATAATTTTGATGATCTCTGATTCCAAGAAAGGGTTTACGAATCTTCTCGAATCGGATAACATAACATCGGACGTTATGGTGTTAATTGTCAGACTTTTGAGCAAAATTGCTAGGAGTCCCAGAAAACAGCATCTAATAAAGTATATGATGATAGGATCGTTTGTGCATCAACTTACAAAGTATGTTGTCTCAATTGAACTTCAAGAGGAGAAGGATAAGCGATTTAACGATGAATTTTGGAAGAATTCCGACAGGTTTTGGCAGGAAGTCACCACTGTGTGCCAGGTTTTGTTTGAGGTAACTACTAGGTAGTAGTATAATTAAAAACCTAATAGAATTTTATTCAACAGATATCACCGTCAACAGCATGCAATATGACGCCAAAACTGTTGAAGACATTGAAAAAAAGCATTCCGCGAGTCGAGGAGGAGCATAAGATCCACATTTCCGATTCGATCAAAGTAAACATCGAAAGTTTGATCGACACTATCGACGAACGAATAAAGGAGATCGAAAACAAAAAACAAGTGAGAGAACTGTTGAAAGCGGACCCGACCTATGAGGAAGTGTATGTGCCTCCACCTGATGTAAGTAAAACCTTGGTTTTTTTAAATAAACAATTTCGGGTATTTTTTTGTAACAGTTACTGCTTACCAATATTATAATGCGAAATTGTGTTTGTCAGTTTGTTTTATTTTCACGCAGCAACGGACAGGATAAAATTGGTTTGTAGATTGGTTTAGTGTTAAAACAACCCCTAATTTTGCTTTAAAACCACGGGAGAGAATCCGTGGGTATTCAGCTAGTTCAAAATAAGTTTCAATTTTTTCTACCAGGATTACCGCGATATAAACATCTACCCCAGCGGCGAGGAGATCACGAACCCCCGCAGAACCTTCTTCCTGAACAAGAACCGTTCCGTGGGAAAGTTCGGAAGCGTGCGCGAGTACCTGGACGTGCAGTTCCGACTTCTGCGCGAAGACTTCGTTGCCCCGCTGCGCGAAGCCGTTTGCAGCTACCTGGAGCAGAAGGGCGAGAAAATCACCGCGGTCAAGTTTTACAAGGACGTGCAGTTCCTGAACGCGGAGTCGGTGACCGAGGCGCACTGTTACAGGTTGCAGTTCGATTTCCAGACGGGCAAACAGAAGAGAAGGGTGGATTATGCGCAGTCGAAGAGATTCATGTTCGGCTCGTTGCTGTGCTTCACGCAAGACAACTTCAAGACCGTACTTTTCGGCAAGGTGGCGCAGAGAGAACTCAAGGATCTGTTCTGGGGCCAACTGATTGTTGGCATGGAGTCCGGTATGTATACTCCATTCAAATTGGTATATTCCAGTGAAAAATTAAATAATTACATGAGAAACATTTTTACAGGTGTTCCCAACAATAGGCCATACCTTATGTTAGAATGCACCGTGTACTTCGAGCCGTATTACCAAGTTCTAACAGTTCTCCAACAAATGAACATACACGATTTTCCGATGAAAAGGTTTTTGGTCGATGTGGAACCCGACGTTGGTACGCCTAATTACGTTCCAGGGGATCGTTATAAACAGCTCCTCTTTTATAATGATTATGATGATTATAATGATTATGATGATGATTATGATGATTATAATAGCATATACAATGAAAACTACACAACATTTTGGCCTTTAAATTTTCCAGAACAAAATGTACACAATTTAAACGAGTCGCAGCTGAAGGCTTATAAGGTAAGGAAGTAAAAATATTTTTTACCAAGTCCTTCATTACATTTAAGGCCGCTGCACAATAGCCCTGTAACGGGAACTGGAACGCGAACGGGAAAGTTGGCCAAGTTTTAGTTACATTGAAGAAATGATATTTAAAATAGAGTTTTATTTTCTTTCATTTTAATTTTGCAAGAATATTTATAACACAATTTTCTATTTTAGAATCTAAAGTTAAAACTTTTGAATAATAAAAAATAGTGTAAGATCCTAACCTATAGTTCCAACTTTTTAGTGCAATTTAACCTAACATCAAATTTCCCTTTTTTTAAATTTTTACATCGTTTTTGCCTTCTTTAGATTTTTTGTTTAATTGCCTTAACCTTGCCTGAATTCTTAACTATAATGCCTAAATGCTTGCCTAGAATAGAAAATGTACTTAATGCCTTTTTAATTCGGACCAGAATCGGCGAAAAACCGCCAAAAACACAATTTAGAACTTTTTGCAATTGAGCATTTCAAAGTTTATTTTCTTAAAAAAACATTAAAAAGTTATACGCTAAAGAAGTATCGCTAGTAGCGCCACCACTCGGCTGTTATCATCATAACAAAAGTATAACTTTTAATAATCAGCTGTCAAACGCTTATGTTAAAAAATATCGGAAAAAAACCGTGGCTCGATTTGTTGTGTTGTTGGGTGTATACAAATATATTTCGAGAGGAATTCCTGGGTTAAGTTTTTACCGGTTTTCCAATAAACAGTGTTAATCTGAATGAAGAAATAAATTGCATACAGTCTCTGTAATTATAAATTTTACCTATTAGATACAATAAATACACATTTTAGTAGTGATTAACGTGAAAAAACATTTCAATTCAGTAAAAATCGTCAAACAAATTAGTCGTCTAAATTTAAACAGCATTTAGCATTATTAAAAGCGTTGATTAAGTCTCCACTCAACGGTAAAATACCATTATATTATGTATTATATATAATATTATGTTGCCATGAATTCGTAGGTATATTTTTTTGTTTAAATTGCAGTTGTCGGCGTTCTTTAGAGAACTCAAATATAAAAATGGTTGATTTTAAGGTTTTTTTATAATTTCCAAAAAATTTCCAAACTTAAATATAAATTGCACCAAAAAATGTACTTACCAAATTGGATCCTTTGGCAAAACATGAAAATGCAACGATTTAGTTCTTGAATTTTATTTGCAATTAAAAACACAATAATTCACCATGATCCCTTTGATAAAATACACACTAACTTAGGATTTAAGCATTGAGTTTCTTAATTAATGATATAAGGAATAATCAATCGAAATCAAGTAGTAATTTTTTCCTTGCAACGTAAAACACAAATAACGTGCGCGATTTAGCTGTGCAATTGAACAAAATTTGTCGAGTAAGACTTCTGCCTTCCTCTCTTTTGTAAAAAAAACTACCTATTTATTTAAAAATGATGTGCAGTTCGTGTACTGTTGACAATTCTTAAATTCACGCAATACATTCGAAGTCCACCAGATGGCGCGCGCGTTGCGAAAACCCGAGACTTCTTTAGCGTATACGTTAAAGAAGTATCGAACTTATAAAGATGGTTTATCTATTTATAATTTTATACTTAAAAAACAAAATCAACAACAAATCTACTATTTTTATAAATAAATGATATTCGAAAATAATAAATAAAATCTGACATCTTTCAAATGTTAACCTCACTTTTAACCAATTTTAACAATTTTTACTTTTACAAGATTTTTATAAATAAACCAGTATAAAATTTCCGCTACTGATCCAATTAAATTTAAATTTTAGGACTATTAATATATATATAACTAGTCAGACATAGGTTGATCACTCTTACAAATTTTATGATTTTTTTATTTTTACCAATACCAAGTATAAATTAGCGGTTTTAAACCATCGTTTAAATTATAACAGAAAAACTATAAATATTTATTTAAATTTAAATAAATATTTATAGTTTTTCTGTTATAATTTGTTTAAAACCGCTAATTTCTACTTGGTATTGGATTAATCCAACCGATTTTTTACCATATTATGGTAAACATTCAGGAATTTGCACACATACATATTTGTCTCCCTTTTTAAAGGCGGCCCTTAAAAAAGAGTTGGCCATCATCCAGGGTCCACCGGGCACCGGAAAAACCTTTGTCGGTCGCAAAATCGTCCACAGCCTGCTAGAAAATCACCGTGATTGGTACAATCGCAGCCCGATTCTGCTGATTTGCTACACGAACCACGCGTTGGACCAATTTCTCGAAGGCATAGTTCCATTTACCCATCAAGTTATGCGCATCGGCGGCCAGTCTAAGAACGAGGCGCTGAACGAATTCAACATTACCAACAAAAAAAGGATTCATAGACTTCAAAACAAAAAACGCAAGCTGCCGGACGTTGTGGGCGGGACAAGGATATATTTGGCCAACAATGCTAAAATAATTCAGCAAAAGAATGCTCTATTGAAAGAGGTGGAGTCGTTCAATAACGTCATTTCATTTGAATATTTTAAAGATATTATTCCTAATTATGAGGAATCATGGTTTGCTACTGCCAGCAACAATGATTTAAGAAGATGGCTGATGGAAGCAAAGCCTTCTCTTTATGTGGAGGAACTTGGAAAAAATCAGGTAGATATGCTATAATTGAATTATTGCTTTCTATATATACAGGGTGTTTCATAATATATGCGCAGGACTTCAGGATGTGATAGCTCATCCAAAAAGATGAAAAAAGTCGTTATTAACTTACCCTCTAAAATTCACAATTTTCGAGATACAGGGTGTTGAAATTTTAGAAAAAAAATCGTTTTTTTCGAATATCTCCGGAACCGTTTATCGTACAAAAAACAGCTTTTGTAAGCATTTTTTACTCATAATAAGCTAAAAAAAATTTTTATTCTCATAATTGGTGGAGATTTTGAAGAGGTAGCGGGTGCCCCTGAAAAAAGTACGGCTTTGAGAAACCTATTCGAACCGCCAATGTTTTCTATACAAAAAAGGTACTCTTGGTCATAAGCTCTAAAGTTGACCGTTTTCGAGAAAAATCAACTTTTATGTTTAAAAACATTTTTGTTTTACCAATTATACAAAATTTATGTTAACTTTAGAACAAATAACAAAACCAAACGATATATGCAAAATTAAAAAAACAAAAAAAATGATTCAAAAGTTGTCTTTGCAAAATTCTCCAAACCGTAAAGGTTCGCACATTTCAGCATTTGTGTAAAAAAAATTTTCGAATATCTCCGGAACCGTTTATCGTACAAAAAACAGCTTTTGTAAGCATTTTTTACTCATAATAAGCTAAAAAAAATTTTTGTTCTCATAATTGGTGGAGATTTTGAAGAGGTAGCGGGTGCCCCTGAAAAAAGTACGGTTTTGAGAAACCCATTCGAACCGCCAATGTTTTCTATACAAAAAAGGTACTCTTGGTCATAAGCTCTAAAGTTGACCGTTTTCGAGAAAAATCAATTTTTATGTTTAAAAACATTTTTGTTTTACCAATTATACAAAATTTATTTAACTTTCGAACAAATAACAAAACCAAACGATATATGCAAAATTAAAAACAAAAAAAAATGATTCAAAAGTTGTCTTTGCAAAATTCTCCAAACCGTAAAGGTTCGCACATTTCAGCATTTGTGTAAAAAATCATTTTTTATTTTTTTTTAATTTTGCAATTATCGTTTGGTTTTGTTACTTGTTCTAACGTTAAAATAAATTTTGTTTAATTGGTAAACAAAATTGATCATGTTTTTAAACATAAAAGTTGATTTTTCTCGAAAACGGTCAACTTTAGAGCTTATGACCAGTACCTTTTTTGTGTAGAAAACATTGACGGTTCGAATGGGCCTCTCAAAACCGTACTTTTTTCAGGGGCGTAGAAGTTGAGGAGAAAAACACCCGCTACCCCTTCAAAATCTCCACCAATTATAAGTAAAAAAAAAAATTTTCTGGCACAAAATATAGCTTATTATGAGTAGAAAATGCTTACAAAAGCTGTTTTTTTTACGATAAACGGTTCCGGAGATATTTTTCTAAAATTTCAACACCCTGTATCTCGAAAATTGTGCATTTTAGAGGGTAAGTTAATGACGACTTTTTTCATCTTTTTGGTTGAGCTATCACATCCTGAAGTCCTGCGCATATATTATGAAACACCCTGTAGAGATCGTTTTTTATAAAAAGTAAAATTGCATGTATCATAATAAAATGTATTTTTAGCTTGGTCCACAAACGGAACCTGCTCTAGATAATGAAGTTTTAGAAGAAATCATGGTCATGATGATGAATGATGAGGAAAACAAATTATGGGAAGATATTTTTAATACATATTACAAGAAGGAAGATTCAAAACGGTTAATAGATTTAAAAAAGTTTCGTGACATCATTGAAAAATGGAAGTTCGATTTAGAATCTCTAGTTAAAAATCAAAACAACGATGATCCAAAAATCGACGATGAAATTAATCGACTTAACTACGAAATCGAAGAAATGACCAACGACTACAATTTTTTGCAAGTGGGTTGATGTACTATAATTTGAATGTTTTGTGCATTTTCTTTATTTTAGGAAAAATTGACTTGGGGCTCGCAGCAAAACTTCAACGTGAAAAAACCGGAGGAATGCGACTTCTATCCACCAGATGAGACGCCACCCAATTTGCGTTGGGACTTGTATTTCCATTGGGTGCAGGAGTTCAGAGCAAAGCTGATCAGAGAATTGGACTTACATGCGGAATGGTATCGCGATATGTACAGGGAATACATCGGGCTTAGGTCGATAGAGGACGCTAAGGTAATGAGGGAACAGCTCGTCATCGGCATGACCACCACCGGCGCCGCCCGTATGAACTCCGCCCTTCAAGCTATCCAGTGTCCTATAGTCATTGTGGAGGTAATTCATTATTCTTACTGCTATGAATTAAAATTCTAAAACGTTAGTTATCTTTACTACAAAACGTGGCAAAATGAAGTCAACCCATTAAACTCGTTGGTTTCGTAGGAGGCAGCGGAAGTGTTGGAAGCCCACATCGTCAGCGCCCTCACTCGGCACTGCAAGCACCTAATTTTGATCGGCGATCATCAACAACTGAAGCCGAGCACGGCCGACTTCAAAATGGAGACCAAATTCAAGCTGGGCATCAGCCTGTTCGAGCGCATGATCAACAATAAGATCGAGTGCCACACGTTGAACGTGCAGCACCGGATGCGACCGGAAATATCCGCCCTGGTCGCCCCCACCATTTATCCCGACCTGGTGAACCACGTTTCCGTGCAGAATCGACCCTCGATCGACGGCATAGAGAAGAACGTGTTTTTTATCGATCACAGGTAAGCAAATATGCTGTTTTTCGACATCCTTGAATTTTCTAATGAACTTCTGTGGTTTCTGGGCGGAAATGAACCGCGTGATTTTTACAGGCTTCTTTAAAGACAACCTTATACAACACTAAGAGAGTTTTGCAGAGATTAAAACAAATAGATTTGATTAAATTTGCTCTGTAACATTTTTAATCGTTAAATCATTTGGCACCCAAACATCAATATTCTTCTTGTATATGGTTGAAAACTCTTTCTATGATTTTCGGCGAGTGGTCGACTAGAGCGGGGCTCATCTGATAATAAAATCTTAAGGACCATATTTTTTATCACCATAAACTTTTTAGCCCCATTCTTTCCTTCCTTTTTCCAAAAGAATTTTTGATTTTTTCGAAGTTCTTTCCTATTTTTACTCATGTATACTCAAGATAGGTCCTGTTAAAATGTTGACTAAAATCTTAAGACAAAGTAAATCTTCGTTTAAGGCACCCGGAGTCACAGTGCGACGACTCCAGCAAGAAGAACAAACACGAGGCGGAATTTGTGTTGGCCCTTGCCAAATATTTGATACTCAACGGCTACAAGGCCGAACAAATAACCATATTGGCGGCGTATATGGGCCAAATGTTCGAAATAATAAAGCTTAGGGAAAAGGACGGGTTGTATCTTCTAAGTGACATAAGAGTTGCCGTTTTGGACAACTACCAAGGAGAAGAGTGCGACATAATCCTGTTGTCGTTGGTGCGCTCCAACACTGCCAATTCCGTCGGGTTCTTGAAAATCGAGAACAGAGTATGCGTGGCCCTTTCCAGAGCCAGAAACGGTCTATACATCATCGGTAACATGGAGTTGCTGGCTGCAAATAGCGAGGTCAGTGCACACCATGGTGTTTATTTGATTGCGCCATGGCCTTTTTTAATCAAAGGCCTACAAACGAAATTGTTGGATGATCTCTTTTTTGTTAGATTTGGCCGAAAGTAAAAGAAACGCTGGTAAATCAAGAAGCCATTGGTGAAAGCTTGCCCTTGGTGTGCCAGGTTCATCCCGATAAGAAAACGCTCGTCAATTGTAGAGAAGATTTTGAACAAGTCAGAGAAGGTGGCTGCGATTTGCAATGTAATGGTTCGTGGCCGTGTGGACACATTTGCAAAATGATTTGTCACGTGATAAATAGAGACCACGCTGTATCGCGTTGCTTGGAACCGTGCACAAAGTAAGTAGCTACACTGCTAGCTAAGACATTTTTCTTTGGGTTTTTTTGTCAAATTGTACCTTATTGTCATATGTAACTAAGTCAATGTGTCACTTGTTGATAAGTTGCTCTGAAAGCAATTCAAAATCGTCATTCTACGATATCAACAGGTTGCTGTGTGACTCGAACCCAGAGCACAAATGTCGCCGAGAATGCTACAGGGATTGCGGTCCGTGCACGTACCGCGTGCTGCGCGATTTGGACTGCGGCCACCAGGTGTCGCTCGAGTGCCACGTCGACCACACGAACTACAAGTGCCGCGAACCGGTCAAGACGAAGCTGCGCTGCGGCCACGAAGTCGACAAGCCATGTCACATCGATGTCGATAAGTTCGAATGTCCGCTTCCGTGCGATGTGCTCGTCAAGTCGTGCGGACACGCCTGCACTCAAAATTGCCACGTCAAAAACGATCCCGACCACTTGAAGGTAAGTTAACAGGGTTATGTTTAAAAATGTTAGCAAAAATAGTACCCATTGAGATTTGTCGGAGGGAAGAGACTTTAAATGATCATATCGGTACTTTTAGTGGATTAGAACATTCCTAATGCAGATTTAAAGGCCGTGTGGTATTAAAAAGTAGCAGTTTGCTTCTTAAACATCATTACAATACAATTTAAAAATAACCCATTCTGTTGTAGTACCAATGCAAACAACCCTGTCCGAAGTTCAAGAAAGACTGCACGACCAAAGCCGATCACCACCGTTGCCGCAATTATTGTTTCGAGAAGTGCGATCCGTGTCTTGTGGAAGTCCAGAAGGCCCGAACCGTTTGCCCCCACTTTTACAGGGTCGCTTGCAATTCCGACGTGGATCAAATCGTTTGCGAGAAACCGTGCACCAAAACGGTGCAATGCGGTCACAAGTGCAAGAACAAGTGCTCGGAGCCCTGCGGATTGTGCACTTACAAGGTATTACATCAATTTCAGATCAGTGAATATACAGTGCTTGCAAATCCAAGTCCGACCGGTTTGAGAAGGACGCGTGAAAATAACAAGGATAGAACGCCAAACAGAAGGCGCTTACAATACGCACGCCTGACGCTCTGACTAATCAAATTCTGTTTGGCATTCTATCCTTATTCTTTTCACGCGGGTATTGAACAACCGTCCTTCCCAAGGCGGTCGGACTTGGATTTGCAAGCACTGTATGTGACCCGCAATGACGAAAGAAATTTAATTTCTTGAATTAAATTAGTCCGAAACTATAAAAATTCAAAAAGTAATTAAACATTTAAGTCGAGCTTGCTACTCATCATTCGGCGTTTTCTTCATATCAAGCAATATTTTATCACACCAAACGCAATTCTTCTATTTGTTCAATAAGTTCGTTTGTGTTCTAGGTTGACAAAGTTGTTCCTGATTGTGGTCACAAAATAAAGGTAGCCTGTCATGAAGAAGCCGATAGGAAATTTTGCTTGGGACAATGTCCGAGACAGTTACCATGCGGACATACGTGCACAAAAAGGTGCAAGGAGCCTTGCACCACCGAATGCAAAGAAATTGTCGCATGCGAGGTGAATTCGCCTTGCGGACACGTCGTAAAACAAATGCCGTGTTTTATATACACAAAAGGTGACCAAAAACTCACCTAAAATAAACATAATTCATATTTTATCGACGTTTTAGTAACGCGTGGCTCAACCGATGTGGACTTGTATGATTTTTGCAAGGAACCGTGCGGTGCGACGCTGAAATGTGATCACAAGTGCCTCGGTACGTGCAGCGCATGTTACCAAGGTCGCATACACGCCAAGTGTGCTGAAAAATGCGGCGTTCCGCTGGTATGCAACCACGAGTGCACGGATCCGTGCCGGCAGGCGTGCAAACCCTGCCAGAAAAAGTGCATATATCGTTGTCCGCATGACAGATGCGACAGAAAGTGCGGACAGGTTTGTACAAAAGTTTTTAACAGGGTTTTTTTAATAAAATCAGTTTTTTAGTGAAATAACATTTTTACTTGACTATTTTGCAAAATATAATTATTTTTCATACAAGTTTTTCTTATGTGAGAAATATTAAGTATTTTACAAAACATAATTATTACTATGTAAACATGGGGTGTTTTAAAATTATTTGTATTTTGCTTTTAGGAGTGTACTCCTTGTGCACATCCTTGCGATAGAAACTGCGACCATCAGCAGTGCGCCAAAAAATGCGGAGAAATTTGCACGGTGCCTCCCTGCGAAGAGCCTTGCGATAAAAGGCTTAAATGCGGACACCCCTGCGTCGGGTTCTGCGGAGATCCGTGTCCAACTTTGTGCCGCATATGCGATCAAGAGGAGCTCACCGAAATATTTTTCGGTACGCACAGATCAGCATTTTTTGGGTTCCTTTTTTGAATTATAAAAACTGTTTTTCTTCGTTTTTGTGTTTTTAGGAGACGAAGACGAACCGGATGCACGATTCGTGCAACTCAAAGACTGCGGACACGTGTTGGAGAGCAAAGGCCTGAACAGCTGGTTTATGCAGACCGACAATGAGATACAGGTGAAGGCTTGTCCGAAGTGTAAGTCACCAGTTATCGAAACTTTGCGATTCAGCGACTACCTGAAACAGGCGATGTTGGACGTCGAAAAGGTCAAGCGGAAGCTCAACGGAACATACAATGACAACGAAATGAAGAGATTGGAACTACATAAAAAATTATCAAATATAAATTTGAAAGTCAAAGAAAGTAAGTATTCTCTGTAAAGGATAGTTTTCGCATTTATTTGGGCGTTTTTTTTGCAAAACCCTTTAAATAGCTTGAGAAAAAATTGTTATTAATTATACCTACCCCACTTTTTAGGAACCCCATTGATTAAACCGTTCATGCAAGCCTTATTGAAGCGCATCACTCGTCTACCCTCGGCGTCAGAATTGAATGCAATTCAAGCCAAGATACAAATTTTGGAGCACATTGCAAAACTTTGTCAGGTCGATAATAACGATGATTTTTTCAAGGAGATATTTGGCTTGACAAGGGTCAATAATATTAGTTACCTTATTGAGGGTAAAAGGGTAATCAATCAGGTCAAAATGATAATGAATGTGCTGGAAAACGACCGGGATGATCGAATCTCCGACCAGGAAATCGACGACATAAATCAGGAATTGACGAGGCTACAGCGCATTGTGCAGTTCGAACGAATCGTCGCTTCTAAGCACTATGCGCAAGTCAAAACTATAGTAGCCGAACATGTGCGCATCATCGAAAACAATTTGTTTTCCAAACTAAGGTAAGCTATGGAATATAAATGTGATATCAAAAATATATTTTAGTAAAACCTGATATATTTCGTTCATTAAAGAGTTGTGTTAAAAAATAACTACCACAATATTCAAAATAATTGTGTTGTTGGACCATAAAAAGTTTCTTCAAAAAATAAATACTATTAACTGGATTGAACAAGAGACTCCAATTGGGTGTTTGTGTTTAGGTACACCAATGAAGTTGACGCCAATATAATGGAGAATCTAAAAGAACTAAACACTCAAGCGGCTTCGGAAGTGCAAATAACTGAAGCTGAGCGTCTCAACATAGTTCGTGCGATGGGCATGTACAAGGGACACTGGTTCAAGTGCCCCAAAGGGCATGTCTATGCTATTGAAGATTGCGGCGACGCGGCGACGCCGGGTAAATGTAACGAATGCGGTGCTTAAATTGGCGGGACCAATTAAATACTTAAGCGGGGAAAATGCCGGCGACCCTGCCTATCGCAATCGAAAACAGTATTGTTTTTTTTTCATTAATGGTTAGATTAGTTTTACAACGAAGTTGTTTTATTAAACGTTACGTTTATTTTTTGCTCCCCTTTTGCAACCCTCTAACTACAGTACATTTTTAGTTTTGTTTAGTTAATAATATAATATATAATCATAAACTTACAATAAACACATTAAGATTATTTACTGTTTTATTATGGACCTTAAGAAGAAGAAAATAAAAATATGCACACTGCTTTTTAAAATTTTGAGATACCAAATTTTATCTTCAATGAAATTAAATGAAGAGTGTTGGGATTTTTACTGATTTTTTATTTCAGCCAAGTCTAGAAATTTTCATGTTACATAAAAAAACGTGATATCGCTTTTTCCAGATCAAATCACAAACATGTTTCTCTTCAAACGAACTCAATAGAAGGAATTGTCAGAACCTGCCTACTAAATCGTACAAGTTACGTTTTATTTTTTCACCACTAGAGGCGCTGAGTTATATTATGCACTGACGTTTGCTGGTTTGGTACAAACCAAACAATAAACAGCACCCTCTTATTTTAGGAGTGTATTTTATGTGAAAAAATCCACTAATAGCGCACTATAGTGTTTTAAAATCAATTGCAAACCGAACGCGCACTCCAAACCACTTTATTGCTTCAAACTTTAGAAACAAGTGTTAAACTAATGTGGAAAAAGACTGGTAGTGTATGTTTAAAAAATAAAATTGTTCAAATATTAAAAATATTTTATTGCTACAAAGAAAAGTGTATACAATATTATGCCTAATAAACGATTAAATAACTTTAACAGACTTTTATTTTACGTTAAGTTTAATAGGATAAATAAAACAAATAAAATTGTATCGACGTTAAAAATATTAGTAAAAAATGTGATTTCAACGAGTTTTAATGGATCAATTAATAAAACGTATATTTATTGTTAATTATTTTAAAAATAGCCTTAAAATTACTTTAAATAATTTACTGTGGACAAATAAAAAAACGCCATGTGTAAAATTAATATTTCAAAATTATTGTTTTTTTTTTTAATATTTTTATGTATTTTTAAAGTCAATAAGAATTTAAGAAGGTTTTTCCCACATCTTAAAAATACACATATTTAACAAGATTTGGTTGTTACTGTAAAAACAAAATTTATTGAATAAAGGTCGCAAAAAATCGTAAAATCGACAAAAACTCGCTGCAACCGTACAAAAAATCTCATAAAAACATCAACGCCATCTATTGGCGTGGGGGCATGTAGCCGTGCTGCGGCGAGGGTTGCGTGTATCCTTTAGAGTAGGGGTTGGGTTGCGCCTGCGCGGAGTAGACCGCGCCGCCGGGCGCGTTGCCGTACTGCTGCTGCTGCGGCGGTTGCGTCGGATAAGGGTGCGCGGCCTGCCCCTGCGACACCGCCTGGCCAGGGCCGCTGTACCCGCCAGAACTGGCCACCTGGCCGCCGTCCATCACGTAGCTGCGTTATTAAATTGCGTTTTATCATGTAATTAACCCCCTAATTTTTTACTATTCAGTTTTAACGTTTTTTTTCAATATTTTAACCGTATTTTTATTTTTTTTACTATAAACCTGAACAGAGTTGCAAATAATGCATTATTTTTTAATGCATTAAAATATTGAGTAATGTGTTTAATTTTCATTATGCATTTCTATTTACATTACTCATTTTTAATTTGTAATAAGTATTTTGAAATTTTCAATTACAATTTTTTATGTTAATGAGTAATGTACTCACTTTACATTACTCATTTTTAGTGAGCAAGAAAGATATTTTATTGCATAACGTTTTTTACCAGTAACAGACGTTAAAAATTAATTATTGAATGAATAATGTATTCAAACTACATTACCATTAAAAAAATGACGATTGCAGTATTTTAACATTAACACTTTTGCAACTCTGAACCTGAAATGTTGGTCTTTGTTTCAGATGTGCTCCGCAACAGACACCGGCAGAGACTGTTTCGGTATTTTGGGCCTCATCAGTGTCGGGTAGCCGTGTCTCACATAACACAATATGTTTTAAAAATGTTGTCAGACCGTTTGTAGAACAATATTTATAATTAAAATGTTGATAAAATGTTGTACAAACATTCAGGGAAAAACATTTAGTACACGTCTTAATAAAAACTATTAAAAAAAAATATTTAAAATTTTTTTATTTTTTAAATATTTTTTATTATGACGTGTACTAATTTTTTTTGTATTTTTAGCGTGCAAAAAATAATTCTCCAGCTAAGATATTCCACTGTTTTATTATATCTAATATAAGAATAACACACCACATCTACTTTTTGCACTCCAAAACAAGAAAATTCAGTACACAAAAAGTATCACACAGCTTTTATGAATATAAAAGCAACATTTTATCAACATTTTTAAAATAAATATGCAATGAACTGTAAATATTTTGAAAATATTTACAGATATTTTTGTGATGTTGAGAAAACATTAATGAAATATTTGCATCTAAACATTTACAAAAATGTTTTAAAAGAAGCACCTGAAACTTTTTTTTCTAAATTCTAAAGAATAAAAATAATTTATAATAACGTTTATCCTACCAAAAAGTACGCAACTGATCGACTAGGAACTTTAGGCTAATCTGGTTGCCTAACTTAATTTATTATGTTATGGTTGGTAACAACCAGCGTTCCCAGATTCTGTCAAAAAAAGTTGTCAGATTTTGTTTAAATTTAGCTGAATTACAAAAATGACAAAATCAACATTGCAAATTGTTAATTTGGCGTTTTTATTAATTGTTGATTATGTCATTTTTGTAATGAAGGTAAATTCAAACAAAATCTGCCAACTTTTATGACAGAATCTAGTGCATTTCTTTCAAATTTTAGATTTTCCGCTCAAATTGTAAATATCTTAACTAAGGGAAGTGCTTTTGGATTTATTTATACCAACTGAATGTTGTTGAACTTGTCCTAATTTTGTGGTTATGGAGGTTTTTTTTGTATAAGAGCTTTAAGGGCATAAAAGTTTTAAATTTATTGAGTTTTTATTTATTTTTTGCAAGAACAATTTTAGTAACATTTTTTTACAACTCACAGAACACAAGTGCATAATGCATATTTTTTCTTTATCTTTGGAAAAATATTTTTTTTTAACTTTTTCCGTTACACCTTATGTCAAAATGTATTCAGTATTTTAATATATTAAAATAATAACATAACACCTTGTATATTTTATGTTATGTGTGGTAGTGTGGAACACATCTGAAACAAACTGCAGTTGTTGACGACGGAATTTCTTAGTATAAAAGTATAAAAACATTGAGAATGTTTTATGGTTTTTATTCCCATAAAACATTTTCAATGTCTACCGTTTTTTAAAATTAATAAAAAAAACTTCGTTTTTTATTAATTAAATTTCATAGCTATTAATATTTGTTCATCGCTTACCCTGAAGGATAGCTGTACTGGGGCTGGTAGGGCATGGAACTGTACTGCATTTGGGGGTAGCTGCTGGCCGCAGTGGTGCGGTTGAAGTAATCGCCGACGTGGCTGTTGTGATTGGCCGAGGTGGCCTGCGGCTGAGAAGTCATCGTAGGGGTGGGGGCGGGCATCGAAACTGACTGCGGCCTGCTGTTGGGTTCGCTGCCGGGCCGTTGCTGCTGCTGCTGCTGGTGTTGACTCGGCATCGGCGCTTCTTTTTTCTCGTCGGAGCCGTTTTGTTGGATTTTCTCTTGCAACGGATCGAACTCGCTGGAGTTTACCTTGTTTAGGGCTGCATTTGGCGGGGCTGATTCGGCGGAAGGTTCACCTTTAAGGGGTTACGTGCAGTTACAATTATAAATAAATCGATAATCTTTGCATTTTCTTTAAGTACAATTTTGAATGAATTTCAATGGCAAATAACTTTTTTATTTGATTTTGGATTTAAACAAATATTAAAGGATATTGTAGATACATTAATGGAGAATCGCTCACATTTTAAAAATTACTAAAAAATACACGTGCGTTTATAATATACAGGTTTAAACAAAAAGATGTTTTTTCTACCATAAGTTTAAGACACTCTGTAGAGTGGCAAAACCGTATATTGTTCTAAATTAAGTTTTAATTATCAAGTCACATCTATTTTTAACAGTTTTGTTTTTGGTTCACCTTGACATATTTATTTTTGTGGAAAATATGGATTTTTTTTTAAAAAACATTGCAATTTCCAATATTTTTCTGTATGAAGAACTAAGGTTCACGCCGGCACTGGCTGTATATGACATGTCCAATTATGGGATGATTCAACAAAAATGTCACTGTCATTCTTTATAGCCTATGGATGGACCTTGGCAACCTTAATTCTTCATACAGAAAAATATTGGAAATTGCAATGTTTTCTTAAAAAATCCATATTTTCCACAAAAATAAATATATCGAGGTGAACCAAAAACAAAACTGTTAAGAATAGATGTGACTTTATAAATAAAACTTAATTTAGAACAATATACGGTTTTGCCACTCTACAGAGTGTCTTAAACTTATGGTAAAAAACATATTTTTGTTTAAACCTGTATATTCCCTATTGAAAATGCCATATAGAACCCATATTGAATCCGATAAGGAAACGTATCTGGTTCTATATGGTTTTATAGGTCCTATATGGAAAGTCCTGGTTTACATTACGGATTCTATATGGTTGAATATGGATTTCCATTTTAAAAATTTTCATATTCAACCATATAGGGAAACCTATCTGGAAATACATATAGAACAGAAACCAGATAATTCCATATACAACCATATACATGTCTTTATAAAGACATGTATATGGATGTATATGGATTTATCTGGTTTCTGTTCTATATGTATTTCCAGATAGGTTTCCCTATCTGGTTCTATAGTGTTTTAGAGTGTTTTTATCTGGTTCTATAATGTAATCTTCTATCTGGTTCTATAGTGAAATGCCTGTTTCAAATACCTATATTGAACCAGATAGAAACCATATAGAATCCAGATATGTGTTTTTATATGGTTCTATATGGCATTTTCAATAGGGTTATAAACGTACGTGTATTTTTTAGTAATTTTTTTAAAATGTGAGCGATTCTCCATTAATGTATCTACAATATTCTTTAATATTTGTTTAAATCCGAAATCAAATAAAAAAGTTATTTGCGATTGAAATTCATCGAAAATTTGTGTGGATCGATTATTTTGCCTGAGTGTATAAAACTAAAAGAAGTTTGAAGTAAACTATTGAAAGATAGTTAAGGTAAGGTGGGGTAATTGCGATATGTTTTTTTACTAGTTGGGATTGTCTCTTGAATTAAAAGTAAGGAGTGATAAAACTAAACCAAACCCAAAGCTCATTATATAGCCCAACTACTCAAGAATTATATTCTAAAGTATAAAACGTTAGGAACTAAGGGCTAAAAAATTACATATTTTTTTTTAAACGTTCCTAACATATTGCATTTGCCCCAAAAAATGGGGCAAATGTGTTAGCGGCTAATTACATTACACTATTAATGCATTTGTAGTGGGTATGGGGCTAATGTAAAAGTGGAAAAAAATAGGATTATTTTGGTGTAAAATCGTGTGAATCCGTTAATAATCATAAGGTGTGCAATTTTTTTTTTATTTTTAATTTAAGAATTAACAGACTTCGCGGTTAATACAAAAAGGAAAAAACGATTTATTATTATGTACTTAAGTAACCAAGTGGTACTGCGCAGTAGTTGTCGGGATTTCTCTACTTAGATATGCAACCCAAGACAACAGCGTGCGTTTTTATTCGTTTGCTTTTATTTACTACTTCAAGTAAGAATTTTATCGCAAGATGTTACATTTACCCCAATCTTACAATTACCCCACCTTACCTTATTTATGCATCAAGGCAGTAAAGTCGTATTTTTCATCACGAATGTGGAAATTATAACCACGTGAGTGATTTTATGAAAGGGTCCAATCTACCTCCGCGACGGTGCTTTTTTTTTAAATGTTATTTAGTTGCTGCTGAGGAGCAGTATACACATCTTAAAATGTATAATGGGTTGCATACAATACTCGTATTAAATCGGCAGTAAAGTTTTACTTTACTGCCGATTTCTTTTACTTTACTGCCGATTGTTGACTACTTTACTACCGATTTCGGGTAAAATATTTTTTAAAATTTTTATTTCAAACCATAAAATTCGTACGTTTCAAAACTTTGTTTGCAAACAACATTCAAAGAGCTTTATTATTGTCAAACCTGTACTAACTTTTTATTTAATATTTAATACAAAATTTTAGATATTAAAAAGAGTATATTTTAGGTTATTGGATATTTTTCTGGTGTATAAAGTAAGTAAGTGATAGCTAATATAGAATTAGATTCATAAATTCAGCATATTTTAGGCCTGATCAAAGGATTCTTTTAAAACCAAAACAAATTTTTTTTAAAACAATTATTGAGCAATTTTTTTCCAAATTCATAAAAAATTCTCAAGGCTGCCATTATTTGGAATTTAAAAAAAACTTAAAACTATCAAATTACTTTTAACATGTCCACTTTCATTTTGATTTCCCTTTCCATCCAAGCTATCCAGAATCTTGTTGACTTCATCCCTAATGGATCTGAGCTGATTTTTAAGTTTTCCCACATTGGAATCTGAAATAGCAGCCGTACTTTCTGGTGTAACACTTGCTGGCAGCAAAATATGTAATTTTAATATCCTGCTGCATTGTATAGCAAATGATAAATCTGAACTATCAAATATAGTAATTAGGTCACCATCTGGAACAAACATAAACTACCTAATTAAATCAACATTCTTCAGAAGTCATGTTTAAAAATAATTATAAATTTAAATTTAAGATTGATTGATTTCTTAAAATGAGATTATATGACCAATAAAAAATATGTTTATTTAATTAATATAAAATATTAAACACAACAATGTAAAAATATTAAAATAATAGACAAAGGTTTATCTTTTTTATTACTTATCAAACTTGCCTTCATCTTTGTACTTCAAAGTAATTTCATCATTTGCAGTCAGTTTTCCCCTAAAAACTCTCTGCATCATCAAAACAAGTTCATCGTACGTAATTGCTTCATTATGAATTGGAATTCGCCTAATATCATCCCCTAATGATACTTTAATTATTAATTTTCCGCTTAAATCCATATCACTTTTTATGTCCATTTTGATTTTCTATCCTAAATATTTATTATCGTATAAAACCGAACAATAACCGAAATGTAAATTTATAAAATTGTAACAAAAACACAAAACAAGACGTTCTATAAACAAATTAACTTTTTATTTGACAACTCTATCGAAACCAAAAAAGTTCTGTCAGAAAATAAAATCCCCAGTTTTAACTGGAAACTTTCAAGTGGTTTTGTTGGCAGTCCGTGGTTTTGGTTGTAAACAACATAACCAAACATTTTTCGTTGTAGATATTCCGGACTATTTTGTTGTTTCTTTTATAAATAAATACATTATGAGTGCGGAAATATTGAAAAAATGTGAGTGCAATATTTATGCAAAGATAATTACTAATAAAGCGTTGTTTTAGCTCCTATAAAAATGAAAGATGAAACCGGCTCTGAACCATCGCACCCGATTACTAAAAAAGGGATTCTCACGTCGTTTAAGACAGGAAAACCCATGAACATTCCAGATTCTGATGTGGTAAGCAGTTTTTTAAATTATCTCCATGCAGAAAATAACTATTTATTTTAGCTGGGACGATGCAGATTTGTGTCCGAGTTTGAGAAACTAAATCGGATTGGGGAGGGTACCTATGGAATTGTTTGTACGTTTAAAAGAATTTTTGCCTTGAATTTGTTTATTTAAGATTTTTTTATAGATAGGGCAAAAGATACAGTGTCAGACAAAATTGTGGCCCTTAAAAAGGTAAGAATGGATTTGGAAAGAGATGGAATTCCAGTGAGTAGTTTGAGGGAGATACAAGTATTATTGAACTGTAGGCACGAAAATATTGTTCATCTTAAAGAAGTTGTGGTTGGGAAGAGTTTGGAAAGGTAGTAATAGGTTTAAAACCAACATACATAAAAATGTTGTATTTTTTTTATTGTAGTATATTTTTGGCCATGGAATATTGTGAACAAGACTTGGCATCCTTGCTTGACAATATGCAGGTGCCTTTTACTGAGTCTCAAGTAAAATGCATCATGTTACAAGTTTTGAGGGGGTTACGATATCTTCATCATAACTTTGTCGTTCACAGGGACTTAAAAGTCTCCAACTTACTTATGACTGATAAAGGGTGTGTTAAAATAGGTAAATATTAATGGGTGTATTTTTACCAAGCATAAAATGAGTGGTTTTTAGCTGATTTTGGCTTGGCCCGTTGGTTTGGTGTTCCTCTCAGAGCAATGACTCCCCACGTTGTCACTTTATGGTACAGAGCCCCGGAATTGCTATTGCAGGCCCCCACACAAACAACAAGTGTTGACATGTGGGCAGCCGGGTGTATTTTGGGCGAGTTATTGGGCCACAAACCTCTCCTACCTGGTCATTCGGAAATCCAACAGCTGGAGTTGATTGTGGATTTGTTGGGAACGCCTTCTGACGTTATTTGGCCTGGATTCAGCCAGTTGCCGGCCCTACAAAATTACTCGCTGAAACAGCAGCCGTACAACAACTTGAAGCAGAGGTTTCCGTGGCTGTCGGCTGCCGGTTTGAGGTTGCTGAATTTCTTGTTCATGTACGATCCGAAGAAACGCGCTACAGCGGAGGAATGCTTGCAAAGTAGCTATTTTAAGGAGCCCCCGCTACGTAAGAATGTTAAAACTCAAATTTGGTTCAATTTAAACGTTTTAATTTTTTTTAGCTTGTGATCCCAAGTTGATGCCCACATTCCCGCAACATAGAAACATTAAGGGCACAAAGAATCCCGCCGAATCCGCCAACACTGGGGCGGGAGATCAAACAAATAATTTGCCCGCAATTTCAGATTTGGTAAGAATGAATTTAAGCGTGTTTTTATTTTTTTTTTATTAATTTTTTTTAGCTTGGATCCATTGTGAAAAAAAGAAGAGTAGAATAATTTTATTTTGGTTTGTATGTTTAGGTCCCTTTACAAAGGAAGTTATGTTGTGTGTATGATGCACTTTGTATGTATGCAAGAATTTTATGGTTTAAATAAATACAGTCACATAAATAATTAATAACTTTTATTAACAAACTAAAACTAACAATTTTAAAAGTTTTAGAACAACATACATCACATATAGAATGATGAATACATCATTTACAGGTAAAGTGAGCAATATAAAGGTTACATTACAGTAGTCAAAAATTATCATGGAATTAATATTACAGTAAAAGGTTATATTAATTAATATAAATACTTGTATATAAAAGGAAGTTCTTACATAATAATATGTATGTAGATAAATAGGGATATACAGGATGTTCTGTAAATAATGAAAGAACATTGGCTGGTCCCATTATTAAAGTGACACCCTGTATAAAAAAGCCTAACAATTATTGTATAGCAGCATAATATAAACTGCGCGTCAAAATTAACGCATAATAAGTAATAAAAATTAACTCTAAAATGCAATCTTTATGAAATTTTGTATAAAAATACTTGTATCTCAGTTTACGTGTTTTTCAAAAAAAAAATTTATTTAATAATAAAAAAACGTTCGAAAAATAATTTTTAAGTGAATTAAAAATATGCTGTTAAAGGCCGTATTTTTGTTAGTATATCCTGAAAATTTTGTACAAATCAAACAAACAGTAACGAAGATACAGCGCTTCAAAGTCGGTAAATTATTTTGCTGAAAAGTCATTTTTGACTTGTATTTTCGTTACTGTCCGTTTAATTTGTACAACATTTTCTGGGTATACTAACAAAAATACGGTCTTTCACAGCGTATTTTTTATTTACTTCAAAAAAAATTATCTGTAAAAGTTTTTTTGAGCGTTTTTTATTATTAAATTAAAGGTCTTTAAGGATATTTTCTCGAAAAAACCTTGAACAAATGAGTTATGAGTTATAAGTTAAAGTATTTTTATCCAAAATTTTATAAAGATTGGTAAAGACTTTTTAGAGTTGTTTTTTTTACTTGTTATGCGTTAATTTTGACGCGCAGCGTAGCTACCAAGTTTTGTAAACATAGCTTACCTTAATAAATCTATACTTAATTAATAACTGGCAACATGTCATGCTTAATAATTCTTAAAAATGTGAAAATCTAATTTAACTATCAACTCGCCAGATTCCACCTGGTGTAGAATCAGTTTTTTGGTGATTGGACCATTGGTGTTTCTCGTTTCATTGTATATGTCCAGAATTTTTAATTCTGCTCTTCCCAAGAACTCTAAAACAATGAATAATCATGAAGTTCATTTTTTTATCTCGACTGCGGCAACGTTGCAAATTTAGGGTTTGGTTGGTAAATACAGTTGTCAAGTTGGCATTGATTAAAACAAACTAAGCTAGTTATAAATCTAATTGCGGTTATGTATAAATTATTCTAGGTTACATTGTGCAGTTGTCAAGTTGAGTTGTCGAAATTCGTAGTTAAAAATGCAATTAATTTGGCTTTGGTGGTGCTTGGATGAGTAAAATCATATAAAAAAGTAGTTAAATATAGGTTGCTTTACGGCCCAGAAGAGAGTATTCCTAGCGGATAATAATCTTCGCTTTGAAAAGAATTTATATAAAAGAAATTAAAATTTTTTGTGAACGTAAATGTTGTCCAATAGTAAAAATAATGTGTGATGTAATATTTATAAAACCAAATTCGTTACTTTTTTACTCCAAAAATGTCCATAAGGCTATGTACTTTTTCTTCCTTGTGGCATTTGGCATAATTTCATCAAAATGAAGTTTTGCCCTCAAAAGGGCTTTTACATTCGAATTCGTTGCTATTATTTTTGGCATAATTATCTTTTTATTTATAATGGACAAGTAAATTATCAATAATAAATATTATTGTTAATTTGACATTGTCAAAGTATTTAATTAAATTCTTTAGCAGAAGTACCATTTTTAAATACTAAAAATACTAAGTCAAACTGGCATAAGCCACCAACCTAACAAAAAAACACGATATTTATGTTTCCAAGCATGCGCATGCGAGTTAAAATCGCACCGCGCCATCTAGCGACGAAACGCCGAGTCGTAACTTACCGTCGGGGCTGTACAAATTTTGCTCGTAAACTATGAACATGAGCGTTTCTCTGTTGACGTCGCGCAGTTGGAACTGCATGCTGAAGTTCCACATCAAGACGGCTTCCGCGTTCTGCGCAGCGTTGCCGTTCAGCGACGAACATTTTCCCACCTCCGTTTGCTGCTCCTGGCAGCCCAGCGTCACTTTCGTGTACACGTTTTCTATGTGAGCCTTGCCTAAGAGAATTGGATAGTTTTAAAGAATATTTTGCTTTAATCTTTGAGGAACTGGTGCCGGCTGAAAAACCGTTGTCATGTAAACAGAAAATGTTGCAGACAGCGCCCTCTCCAACCTTAACATTATATTTTACAAGAAAATTAATTTTCTCTTCCTGAATTTTGTGCAACAAAGTTTTTTTAAAGTTATTTAATAAAATCGGTTATTATCAACTTTTGTCTCAGGCATATTTTTTTGTACAAAGCATAACAGGTGGTATTGTAAATTTCTTTAAAAAATATTATAGAAAGTAATGGATAATTCATTATCCTATATACATAATATTTATCTATACATGTAGGTATAGATAAATAAGTATTCATAAAACAATATAAAATTCAGTTTTAAAAACCTTAAACTTTTATTTATAACTTAAAAACTACTTATCAGTTTTTTGTAATTTTAAGCCGGCACTTTAATTTAAAACTACAGATACTTATTTAGTATAAAATAAACATTTTTAATGTGGTTTTCTACCTTTTTTGCTTTTACTCTTGCTGCGTTTCATTTCTTTGGTAACGATTTCCCGACCTTCTAGCAAGGTGACGGTCAACCATTTATTGCTAACAAAAACTGAAAAAACATGCAGAAAAAACGTCGATTAGACTTACCGGAAGTGATAAAGCGTTTGCCCTTTTGGATCAAGACAAGCAGACGTCCGCAAACGGGCCCACTTGGGACCACTGCACAAACAAAACACCCATTAAGCTACCATCCCCAATGTGTACATTAAGATTCAGTATTTATAAGAATTAAAAGAAATAATAACATTTAAAAAACAAAAGCTTGAAAGCCAAAACAAAGGTCACTTACGCGTTTTGGGTCTGCGCATCATCATCGTGTTCAGTTTCATGTAATTGTCCTGCGCAGTCTCGATGCGTTTCATCCACAGATTGCAGTCGTTGACGGAGGAAGCGAGAAGGCAGATTTTGTATTTCGATTTGGTGTCCGACAGTCTAACGACTCGGTTAGAGTCGGTGCCGTGTTCGACGTTTTCCGTGCTCTCTCGGCTCGCCTCCAGGTTTGGAATCAAAATCGGCTGAAAGTTATTAAGCATGTAACCACTGATATATGACCCTAGATAAAATACCACATAAATAAACCACGAATTTATTAAAAAAATAATAATCCCGAAACGATGAATTAAGCCAACTCTGGGCTTTTGGTGAAAGTTGTTCATACTTTTAACTTCAAACGAAAAAAAAACACTCACAGGCAAAATAATCGATCCACACAAATTTTCGATAAATTTCAATCGCAAATAACTTTCTTATTTGATGTCGGATTTAAACGAATAGAATAGATAAATTAATGGACAATCGCTCACATTTTAAAAAAATACTAAAAAATAGACGTACGTTTATAATATACAGGTTTAAACAAAAAGATGTTTTTTACCATAAGTTTAAGACACTCTGTAGAGTGGCAAAACCGTATATTGTTCTAAATTAAGTTTTATTTATCAAGTCACATCTATTCTTAACAGTTTTGTTTTTGGTTTACCTCCATATATTTATTTTTGTGGAAAATATGGAATTTTTAAAAAAAACATTGCAATTTCCAATATTTTTCTGTATGAAGAACTAAGGTTGCTATGGTCCATCCATAGGCTATGGAGAATGGCAGTGACAGTTTTGTTGAATCATCCCATACTTGGACATGTCATACACGGCTTTCAAAAGCTATCAAATTGTTTTTTGTAAATTAATGTGTTAATTTTGAGGTGTCTTCTTACTTTAAAAAATGTTTCCGACTGATGTTGCCCTTGTGACTTGATAATTAAAACTTAATTTTGAACAATATACGGTTTTGCCACTCTACAGAGTGTCTTAAACTTATGGTAAAAAACATCTTTTTGTTTAAACCTGTATATTATAAACGGACGTGTATTTTTTAGTAATTTTTAAAATGTGAGCGATTCTCCATTAACGTATCTACAATATTCTTTAATATTTGTTTAAATTCGAAATCAAATAAAAAAGTTATTTGCGATTGAAATTCATCGAAAATTTGTGTGGATCGATTATTTTGCCTGTGAGTGTATGATGGCAATTACCTCAATTTTTTTTGTCTTTTTTAGAAAAAAACAATTAAAAAAAATTGAGTGAATTCACTTAATTTTTCACATATTTTTTGTATGTGGTAAACATTTACCTACAATTTAAAAAAAAATTGTAACGATCGAAAAATTTTTGGTCAAGTTATCGCATTTTCAAGAAAAAATGTCGTAAAAAAAGATTTTTCAAAAAATTCTTACGGGTGAAAAAAGCAAATTCAGCAAAAAGAAAAATACGGGTCTGATCGATTTCGGTGGATAAACTGTAACAAAAATTTTGTTAAAATTTCGCCTACCTGTTTGTATGCTTTGTAGGTTATATTGCCGTTTCGCTGGAAGGAAAAATGGTTCGCCAGCGTTTTAGCAGGTTGCACCAACATGATAAAATCGTTGAACAAAAACCCGATCAACTCTTTGCCGGTTTTAACTTTGATGAGGGTGCCGTGGTGCAGTAGCTTTCTGGTGCCCATTTTGTTGGTGTTACCGTTGAAAACGATGTTCAGATCGCTTTGCACGTATTGCTGCAACCAATCCAAACGCTCTTGGTTCTCCTTTATGCGGATATTTTCGTTGACGCAGTTCAGGAACTTTTCCGCCAGTCTAAGGGACTCTTTGAGATATTGATAATCTGCAAAAAGTAAACAATAAAACTATACAACTTCAAACTATTTAACTTTTCGTACCATCGTGATTGTCGGGAGTGTTCTCGAGAATTTTCGCGATCAAAAGCGGGTATCTCGTGATACGTTGCATCGGTTTGATGAGGAAGGACGACAAAGGCAACCCTTTGACCGTGGGATCGTTCTGGCATTTTCTTATCAGTTCCCTGAAGGCGGTGTTGTTTTCCGTTAGATTTTGCAACAGCGCGGCGCTGTCCAGCTGCTTCCCGCAAAAAGTCACGTATGCGGTCATCAGGGGCAGCTACAAAAACAACACAGCCACATTAATACCCCTTAATATACACATGACCGTCTGCGCAAGACTTAGTAGCACTGAAGCATACTCACGTGTTTGCAGATGACGTCACCGATGGTGTGGCTGTTCGAGTTGCGTTTCGCGTGCAGGTCCCTGCAAAAGTTCTTGTTGCACTGCAGGATTTCGCGCCAGTTGACGAAAATCTCGTCGATTTCTTTTTTCTTCAGCAGACCGCTTTTCCGAAGAGGCGCCTCGAACACGTTGTACACCACCGACATGTCGTGCACGTACGCCTTTTCCGTGTCCACAAATTCTTTTATGCATTCGGCGCGTTTTCTGTCTTCGGCTAATTTTAAAACAAAATAAATCAGGTTGTTTTTTTGTATAAATTCTAAAATATAAAAATCGACTTTTTTTTTCTGAAATTTCGCACTGAAATATCTTCACGATACCAAAAAAAGACACCTGTGAAAAGCGAAGCTTTTAATTTTAATATTTAGAGGTCGCGCATCGACAATTTCTATTTCCCATTTAAATAACATGTGATTTTTTTTATTTATAATTTTCTAGCTCACAAACTAATTAACAGATTTTTATGCGCGATATATTTTTTGTGGGAAATAGAACGCCCTACAAAAAATGTCTCCAATCATTTTTCGATAAACCAACGAGTTCAAAAGTTCATTTTTACTTCAATTTTAGGCAAATTCATTAAAGTTATTATCAAATATAAAAAAAATCATTCAAAAAATCAATAACTATGTTCAATAAGTCCTTCCCTGATAGCATACTTTATTCTAAGAATGTTTTTAAAACTTTCCAGTGAGAATATTCTTAGGATCATGCTATATTTCTTCTAAAGAACATGCTTAAAAGACATATAGCATGATCCTAAGAATATTCTTACTGGCCTATAGGCAGGTTCTTAGAAGGTGCAAAGTTTTAGTGGTAAAAATTAGTCTACTCTAAACACATGCTTAGAATGTTAAGAAAGTAATTGCTATAGAAAGTTCATTTAGGAATATTCCTGTTTAGCATATTAAGTTCAGTTACCTATACTATAATAGTAAAATTTACCATAAAGGTATATACCTATACTTAAGTACCTAATTAGTAATTAGTAATAAATACTAAGTAAAAAACACAATCCAAAATATTTTTTTATAGTTATTTGTCAAATTAAAATAATATTCGATAACAAAAATACTTTTACTATAGGTATTTTATTTTATGTTAAAAATAAATATTTATAAATTTGTTTACCGATTTTTTATTTCTGAATTAACATTTTTATGTATAATAATCCAAACTATCTTCAACTTCAATCTAATCTGACTTATCCCACAAAATTTTCCAATTTTACTTTTTATGAAATAATGTCATACAACTTATGGTTTAGAGGTCAAATTGTTTATTTAATATTTTTAAATAAATATATATTAATATGTCGCAAAATTTTTTAATGGGACGACAAATACATTTCACTTTCATATTATGACAGTGATTTGTCGTCTCTTGAAGAATTTTACGAATGTAGAATACAACATATTAGAACGTGGGTATCTGACATATTTAGAAATATTCTCAAAAGCTTCCTAGAAGCTCCATAAGAAACCTTCTAAGAACATTCCAAAAACGTATTCTTAAAATGTTCTTGGGATGCTTTTTAGGAAGGTTTTAAGAAGCTTTTAAGAATCTAATTGCACCATTAAAAGGGTATCTATTGAATGTTTTAAAAGTCCCTAAGAACATTCTTAGCAATAAGGGAAGGTTCTAAGAATTTTCATTATTCCGGGTCATATCTTCTTAGAAGATTCTTAAAATCAAATTTTGCTATTAGGGTTTAAATTAATTCCACTGAAACACCTACTTTTTCTGGAAAGAATTCATTAAAAAGGATTTTAATCAATCAAAAAGGATTATTAGAGTTTCCGTTTCTGTGCGATAACTGCAAAATAAGTAAAAAACGCATAACGCAACCGGTATTACATCCACGTGTAATATGGTTTGCCTACATTTCTCAAAACCACGGGAGCAAAGCGTATGATATATGTATATATTTTTGTTAAAAAAATTAAAAAAACAGACAAAAAATATATTGCGACCTTATCCTTTTTTTATGTACCTAGTTTAAATTGGAAAAACTGTTTATCTATAAGGATTTAACTTTGGTTACCAATTTAAAATTATGAAAAATCTTCCAAATAATACATTTAAAACATTTTCATTAATAATAATTATTATATCTTACCTACGTTATATACCAAGGCGATTTTTTTCCAACATCGCCCCTAGATTTTTAGTTTATACCCTTACAAAAATTAGAAAACCAAGAAAAGTTCCTAATAATAATATTAAACTTTGCGGAAAACACGATACATTTGCCTTTAAATAACATGGGATTTTTTTTTACTTTCAACATTTAATCTTTTCTCTTAAACAAGGAAATAAACAAAAATATTCAATACACATTTTGTAGAAAATTAAACTCTCTCCAAAAAATCTATTTTACCAATTTACGATAAAATTACTTATTCAAAAGTCATTCACAGTCAAAGTTGAGTAAATTGAAGCAACAGGGTGTCAAAATTTGTGGTAAACCCACAACTTTTGACACCTGAGGTGTGACTATGAATTCAATTCCAAACTTTTGAAAAAATAATGTTATAATAGTATTAATAAGAAATCGTTTTTGTAGAGCATTCAATTTCATACAAAAATGTGTATGTAGCTATCTCTGCATGTTTTTATCTTTAACAGGAAAATAAAAAGTAAAATAAAATGTTTAAGGGCTTTGTTGGTAAATAACAGACATCTAGGATTATAAGCACAGGGTTTAAAATAAAACAATGTGATAAAATGTGTCATATATATGCTTTAATGCAATACCTTCTATCTTATAGAAACGAGTATTTTTAACAATATAATATAGAGCATAACCAACCAATAGAGGCAGTACAATTAATAATAAAAACAGTTTTTTACATCTTGACTTAATAATCTTAAAAATAATAATAATAATAAAATATAAATAAAAAGATTTTGCTTACATATATAACAATGCTAATAAAGTTGATATGATAGAAAGTGTTCAGTAGGGTGGTATTAATTTGAAAGTAAATTTAATAGAGGATTTCAAGAGAGTGACACAAAAAAGAAGGGTTAGTTTACAAACTGCCTTACCATCAAAACACCCACCCTACCAAACGACCTACTGAAATTACAATTAATATAAACACAACACAATTAACAAATGGCATGTGTGTACAATTTTGGAAAATAGAAATGACAAAACAAAAAGAGATACAAGTAAAAAATATTATGAATGGTACAGAGGGTCCCAAATGTAATGAATTGGGACGCCCTGTACATGCGGTATTGCAATAGATGATGATTATAGATTCAATAATTATTGTTCCTACACATAATGATAATAAGCGAAGTGAAAATGATTTAGATCGTATTAATTAACTTATTTATAATTTAAGTCGGTTAAAATGAACCTTGAGGATTATATTTTGTTCTAACTATTAATTTCTTCTTCATATTTTTACACAACATAAATTTCGTAATTTTATAGTGACAACAACAAACACAAAAATCGCTAGATTGATGATTAATAATTTTTTCGTTAATTTTAATTTTTTTCATTTTCTATCGATATCCAAACTAGGCAGCTTCATTAGGTAGGATGGGTGCATTGGTGCTATTAAGGGGTAGATGCTCATATTCCTATGAAACAAGACAATTCCGTCAAAAATACTCATTCGGCGCAAAAAATACAGTTTAATATTATGTCGTGTGTTTAGGTTGCAAAAGCAATATTATTCAGCAAAAGCGAGTTGAAATGAAAACATTGTATAGTACATAAAAAAGAATGGTAAAAAACAAAAAATCTACTTACATTGTTGCTGCAGTGGCGCCACGTAGTTGCTCGGGAAAAGTCCCGAAACACCGTTGAGTTCCCCCCTCCACCAGGCCTCCTCGTCGCGGGCAGTCACGCTGATTATCTCGTCTTTTGCGAAGCTCAGCTCGTCTGCGTTCATTGCGTTGTATGGAAATAAGGCGATTACTTTGTCTGCAATTAAATAAAAACGACCTAAAACGATAGCTAATGCTATAAAAAATACTATTACCGTAGGCTATTTAATAGCAAGATACGGTAATAAAAAACTCACCAAAAAATAAAAATTAAAATAATACAAATAATATAAAATGGTCACAATTCATACAAATTTTAAAAGTACCATAGGGGCGTAGCAAACGTTCCGATTATGGGGGGGGGGGGTTTAAAAAGATTTTGTACAAAATTTGATTTCCGGAAAAATTTCTTAAAAAAATTAATCTAGGTTGTAGAGGGCGCTGTCTTTGACACTTTGCATACCTTGAAGTGTTCACATCTTTTTTGCGCAATAGCGTATTCACGTTTTAATAAAAATATTACTTTATCATCTTTATTACGCCTTGTAAATGTCGCTCCAAGTAACCTTTTTCGAGATATGTGCATGTGCGTTTACATTGTGATTAATTTGTATTTAAAATAAATATATAAAAAAATAATTTTTCTACTCCCACCTTTAAAACGCACATTATTAGTGACCTTTTAAATACACATTGACAAGTTGAGGCTTTGTGGCGCTTTAGTCAAGGGTTAAAGTTAGCAACAGGTTTTAGTCACGGGCTGAAGTTAGTTGACAGTTGTCAAATGTAAAAAATCGTTAAATTAAAGTACCTTTCTTGTAAAATACTAAATGTGAAAATTATTTTATTATCTCATCTCAATACAAAAATATTAAATAGTTTCTTAACGACAATATTCAAAAAGATTATATGAACGTTTGTACACTGACCTTTTGATTTCGCCGTAGTAGTTCAGTAAACTAGATTTAACTTATAAAGCGTTAAACATTTTGGGTACAGTGCCCATAAAATATTCTCTGCTCTTTTAATGTTCAAAACTGCTTCTATATTGATTGCTAGTATATTTTTAAGGGATAAATTTTGATTTACAGAGAAAAATTTGAAATTTTAACGCCGGTAGATTCTCAAGTTAGAAATTCTAACGGGAATTCCAATAAATCCAACTGTCACTTTTTGTACCTTTAACATTTCCCTTGTACGAATTTTTAATACTATGTGATAATAATTTGCAATTATAGTGATAAAAAATCAAAGGATAAAACATTTTCTTAACATAATCATATTTTGAAGTTATTTTAATATTTTAGTTTCAATATTTGTTCGAGTTTATTGGGATGGTTACTTTATTTTCGTAAATATGTCGCTTTATACAAATATTTAATTTAAATCATTTTTTAGAAAATATTAAGTATTTGTCGTAGAAAAAGTATAGTATGCAACTCGTTTATAAACTTTTCTTTCTATTTTAATTAATCACTAGCTCGCAAGCTCGCTCGTGCCTAAATTTAATTCGTGACTAAAATGGAGTTCATCAAACTTGATACATAGTCACGGGTTAAAGTTAGCTTTATTATAAATTGCGAAAAAGTGAGGTTAAATTTGCCAAATTTAGAATATTTATAAAATAAAATTGGCTTTAAATTCTTATTTCTGTTTGACGTAGATAAAGTATGGTATGCAACTGATTTTAGTTACGAGTTTAATTAAGCACGAGCGAAGCATGCGAGTGAGTGTTTAATAAAACGAGTATCTAGAGAATAACTTGATACATAATACAATATAAAATTTAGAAAGTATCCCTTTTTCACGTATAATAAAGCAAAAAATATGTGACCATTTAAGAAATTTAATTTTTGCAGCCTTCAAACCCCATCAATTGTGCAAAAACGACTTTGACAGCCTGTATCTTGGTTATTATCAAATTATAACAAAATTATTAAATTTCATTAGGTTTTGGTAATCCATTTTTAGCAAGGTTTATTTCTTTATTGCTTCCAAGCAAGGAAGTATACATTATTTAAAAATTAAACATAAAAATTATTAAAAATGTGAAAAATGCATTGAAAGAAATTGGGTAAAATTGTCCAGGTAATTTTAAAAATAGTAAATTGAATCTGTATTTTTCGGGATCAATAAAAGGATTATTATTATGATATTAAAAAAACAAAATTTATAAAAATTTAAAAAAAACAAAAAAAAAATCCAAATTTGCGGATATCAGAAGTGGTTAAACCAATTGGAGCACGGCATTCTCCACCGCACACTAGATTGCGACAGAGAATGCAGTGCTCTGATTTGTTTATCACTTTAATAAAATTTACTTGCTACAGAAAATAATTTGGTCACAAAAAAAAATTTACATAAATTTTAAAAATATTAAAATCCAATAAAAAGACGAAAATTGTGGTATAAATGTTGAAATTCATAAAAATTAAATTGTGAAGAAAAATTAAAAAAATCCTGTAGAAAAACGATGATAAAAATCCTTAAAATACCATTTGGAACCATATAAACTTATAAAAAATAATATTTTACCTAGGATAACTTCCTGCTGCATCCTGGTGGACGAGACGGGGGTGGTGCGGCCGCTGGCCCGTCCGCTGCTGTTCAGCACCTTGACGTAGCTGGCGGGGAACCAGCCGACCTGCCGCTTGCGGCCCTTGGCCTGCAGCTCGCCCTCCCACCACCCGGAATCGGTCTTCTTGCGGATCATGATCAGCTGGCCGCGCGCCAGCGACAGCTGCTCGGTGCTGGTCGCCTGGTACGGCGCTATCACCTGCGCTATCTCCGGTTTTTTGCTCTTCATGATCTGCGCGAACAGCACATTAAAAAAAATTGCATAACCGTTGCGAAATTAAAATAAAAGTTTTGACATTCTTTCAGAACTAATGGCAAGATTTGGGAGTCTTCTGGAAGAGTAATTCCCTATAATAGCGATAAAAATAAATATTCGGCATTATTCAGAGATGTTGTATTTTCTGTGTTGTTATTGGGGTTTTAAAGTATCGGAAAATTGTCATAATTAGGGTTGGGAAAATTTCACTTTTTGCTTGTACTTGAAATTTCACTTGAAATTTTCATGACATTTATGAAATTTATTAAAATTTCCTAAATTTCATGAAATTTATTGAAACTTTCAATAAATTTCAATCACTTTAAGTGTAATATATTAATATTGAAATAAGCCCACTCGGGGACCATGGCAAATTGCCTCTCTTACCTCCTACGCCTCTGTGGGCCCCTGCACCAATAATATAAATAGTAAATACCTATGTTTATCACAAATTTCTTGAGATTTCCTTTTAAAATTACTAAAACTAAAAGAGATATAGCACTTTTTGGTAAGCTAATAAGGTTGTGCCACTTTCATTGTTTTCTATTTATATATATTTATTATTTTTAAATATTTTACTGAAATTTTTCAAAAATTGAAGAAACTTCATGAAAATTTTATGAGCCAAAGGCATTTTTATCCGTTTTCCGATGCAATTATAGCAAAAGTAAAAGTGTAAATTAATCATGAATTTAAAAAAAAATGTAAAGTCTGATTTAATTTACAAATTAAATTAGTAACTGAATTAAATTATTTAAATTAATTTATGCATATAAGTAACAATAATTACTTATAGTGTATTCAAATCCAAGCCGAACTAAACAAAAACGCCCAGACGCTTGATAACTCTTATTGGTCGATTCGGAATCTGTTGTAAATTATTATTAAAGGTCCCAGGGGAGGCCGCATGTGAAATTTATGCGAAATTTTCAGTAAATTGCGAAACTTTCAATGAAATTTCTGAAACTTTCACAGGCAATGTTGAAATTTTCGGATTGAAAATTTCATTTGAAATTTTTAAAAATTACAATTTTCTAACTTACACTGCTATCGCTTCGACATTAAAACTAAATACAACATCTATGATGAATTCCGAATAATTTTTTTACCGCTAGACCACTTTTCTGCTGAAAGTTTTATTAAGTCGGAATAACTCTTCCAGAAGACTTCCAAATCTTGCAATCTTGAAAGTTTCTCAAAACTCTTATTTTTTCTTATCTTATCTTAAAAGTCGCCTTACAGCGTTGCAATTCTGAACTAGATATGCATGCGCAGTATCGTTTTGTAGCAACTGCGCATGTTAATAATTCAGACTTGCTTGCTGTCGCGGTTATTATTATAATTATTATTCAACTTGACAAACAACATTGAGTGAATCAGTTAATGGTGGTGGTCACAAACCTGCGCGTTGGCGGTAATGGAAGCGTCCAGCGGTTTTTGCTCGCCGGGCATCGACTTGTACTCGTTTATCTGCGACACCTCGCTGTCATCGCCCTGCACATTTTCCAGGGCGGAGGTGACGGCGTCGGCCGCCACGGCCGTCGACAGCGCCGAAACCGCCGACGGCGGCGCGTCGGCCGTTACAGCGGTAGCGGCGGCTGTTACAGCGGGAGCGAAGGCTGATGCAGCGGGAGCGGCTGCTGCTGCGGCATTGGCGGTGTTCTGTTTGTTTTTGTTTAAAGACAAAACAACACGGGTTAGTCAAGCGTCAAGCAAAACAAAAACACCAACAACTTTGGTGATATGTTAAACAAATATTATAAATATTCCCCAACACCAAAACAAAACACAAAGTGCTTAAAGGGTCGTTATTTTTCAAAAAATTTTTTTTTACAGTTTCCCTGCCGAAATCAAGGAGACCCGTATTTTTTCTCTTTGATTAAATTGTTTTGTTCACCCGTAGAAAATTTTTAAAAAGTGGCCAGACGAGCGAAATTTTTTCTTGAAAATGCGATAACGACCAAAAATGTTTCGAACCTTACAATTTTTGTTTAAAGTTGTTCATATTATTAACTTCAAACGAAAAAAATGTGGCAATGTCAAAATTTTGACCTCAATTTGTTTGTTGCCTTTTTTAGAAAAAACAATTTAAAAAAAAATAAGTGAAATGTATTGTATTAAACATTTATCTAAAATTTAAAAAAAATTGTAATAATCGAAACATTTTTGGCCAAAATATCGCATTTTCAAAAATGTCACTCGTAAAAAGAGAAAAATCGATGTTTCTGTCCATTTTTCAAGAGTTTCCTACAGATGTACACTACATATTTCTAATATTTGTCAAGCAAGATATGCGTTAAGATTCTTAACTTGTGAACGAAGTTTTAATAATTTTAGACGCAATTTACAAAAATCCATAACCCACACTCAAAAAGCATTGGCAGAAACCGCAAGCTCGAAAAGTATTCTTTCACTTACCACATCGACTTTCTGCACGTAGTTGCTGGGGAAGATGCCGACGCTGTTGCCGAGTTTCCCCGTCCACCAGTCGCCGTCCTTTTTGACGACGGCGATCATCTCCCCTGCGTTGAACGTCAAATCGCCCTGCTCTTGCGACTGATACGGATAATTCGAGATGTAGTACTCGACTTCTTCCGCTTCCGGAACCGCGGCCGCGGCAAAGGCCGGCTGCTCGACGACCTGCGCAGCCGCCGGTTCCGGGACCGCTTCGTGCACTTCCGGAACCTCGGCGATGTTCTCCAATCTGGAAGCTTCCGTTTCGGCGGCGGGAGGGGTCTGCGCGGGTGCGCTCTCCCGCACGCCGACGCCATCTATCGGCTCCACGTAGGACTCGGGGAACCACCCGGTGCGACCGCGAATCTCGCCGGCCAACCAGCCGGGCTCGCCGGTTTGTTCCAACGGCACCTGCGCACACGGTAAAGCTTAATTTTCATGTATTTGTTCGTTCGTTTTTCAATAAAATCGTCCGATAAGAAATGTTCTAATATTCATGAATTCGTTTTTAAATGACGTTTAACATATTGATTTGGCAGTATATTCACTTTACTAAATTTACCTAATGCTTAATTGTCATAGTTACAATTATGACAAGAATTGCAACTTTAACAGTTAGCTGTCTAATAAATTTAAAAGTAGGTAAATATACTATATAAAAAGAATATACTAGCATTAATATACATTAAAATGTATAGTTTTAAAAAAGTAGGTCTGGTTTTAATATTTTTTTTGTTTGTCTTTTCTTTTTTTCCGTTATTCTTATAAATAAATAAAAACATAAGAGTAGAACATTATATATTATATAAGTGGGATAAGAGCTTTATTAACGTACGCATGCGAAATTTGCCCAACGAGTGCGTAGCACGAGTTGGGCAATCGCAAAAGTACGTTAATAAAGCGTTATCACAAGTATATTGTACAAATTTTTATCTACGCCTCTAAATGAAAAAATAAACAGTAATTATTTTTGTCTAAGACTTAATTTAGGGTTATTTTGACATTTTGACTTTTTTATTTGATTGGTTAAAAGCAGAGAAAAACGCGTGCGTTAATGAACTTCTTATCTCACTCAAAATGAGTGGGATAAGAAGTTCTTATGTATAAGTACGAGTAAGACGTGTTTTGGTGTGCTCCGGTAAAAGTTAAAAATTTTGCTAGAAATAATCAATTAAACATAACAAATAGTAGTTATTGTAGTAAATCATACTTGTAAAGTGAAAATAAAACAAAAATGCTGACCAGGGAAGATAGAGAAGAAATAAAAACGATGATAAAAACTTCACTGACTTTTATAAAAAAAATTCCTGACTTTTACAGGTTTTTAAGGATTTCCAGGCAACTTTCCGCACGCTTGTAGAAAAAATGCTAAAAAGTTAAAAATTGAAACTAATAAAGAAAATTGCGAAATATGTAGAAAAATATTGTTCCTAAAACACTGCTTGCAGTAGCGTGCGGAAAACTATAATAATAATCATTTTATCAGTTTTCGTTCATATGTTTTTTCTCAAAAGTATTTGTTTCTATTGACTTTTACTTTTTAATTTATCGCCAAAAATACATTTATTTATCTACTCCTATGGCATAATCATGTTTTTTTTGTATATAATCATAAAAATTAATTCTCTGCTTGTAAAACAACCATAGACAATAAAAACTATGTGTTGCATATTTTGAGGGTTTGACATCAAGAATTAAATTTTCTTTCTTAATTATCTGACTGGCTTTTTTTTAAGAAGAACATTAAATAAAAACTGCAACTCACGTTAATCGTATCGCCAGGCTGGAAGGAGATCTCGTCGTTGTTCCTGGCCGAGAACTCGTACAGCGCCCTGTAGGGCACCGTTCCCGGAACGGCGGCGGCGGCGGCGGCGGCCGGCGCGGCCCAGTTGTCCACCGGCCACGCGTCGGCTTCCTCCGCGACGGCGGCGACCGGCTCCGAGCCCCACGCGTCCCGCCCCCCCGTCTGCGCCCAGCCCTGGCCGTAGTCGAACGACTTGTTCGAGTTCTTCATCTCGACCACCAGGGTGCGCTTGGTCTCGTACGCGCCGTACAGCCGCTCGCACTCCTCGATCAAGGTGCCGAGCTGCGATTTCAGGTCGGCCAGCGTCGAGTTGTTGTTCTCGATGTCGGACAGCTTCCCGTCGATCTGGCCCTGCATGTCCTCGATCCTCTCCCTGAGGTTCTTGATGGTGACCTCCTTGTTCTCGTACGCGATGCGCGTCTGCTCGTCCGACGCCGTGTTCATTTTGTTCTTCGCCTCCAATTTTGCCCGCTCTTGCGACAGCGCCAGCAGCTTGGCGTTCTGCTCCTTGAGTTTGTTCTTGAGCTGCGACATTTCTTGCATCTGGGTGTCGCGCGTGGTCCGCATGCCGTCGATTGTGCTCTTCACGTTTGAAACTCCGACGCGCGTGTCGCAGATTTTTTGCGACAGCCCCCTCACCTGCTCGTTGAAAGACGACAGCTCTATGGTCAGACTCTGATTTTTAGCTTTCAATTTGAGAACCGTCTCCTGCTCCCGTTGCCGCTGCTGTTGCAATTCCTGCAACCTACATCATAAGGTTGAAATGTGAAATGCAATAATCTGATTTTTTGTTTTGTTTTAACCATGTAACTAAAGTATAACTAGATAAAAAACAAACACTATTTTTTATGACACGCCGTCTTAGCATTTATTAGATAATGGTTTAAAGCACTATCCATATTTGATTTAGTAAATTTTCTTACTTTTAATATTAAAAAATAAGAAAAACAACCCTTTTAGGAAACAATAATAGCATATGGCAACAGCGCGGCATGCAGCCAGATACAAGGGCATGCAGTTTGATCTACTGTGTTTGTTTAGTAGCTTCGACGCTGTCGTAAGGAAATGTGTATAGTTTTTAAGAAATACATTTTCGCCATTAACTGGATTTTAATGGATTTTAAACAATACTTAGTTTTTATTTGCAGAAATGCATTAAAACAAAACAAACGAATTCGATAAAAATAAAACCTATAATGTCTCAAACAAAAATAATTCTAAAATAACGAAAATAACTTTTTTCTAAATTAAATGTTCAAATAGACCACCAGCAGCAGTTAAACAATACCTTAGCCTATCATAAAAATTCCTGAGCACGTTAAACAGCCCTACCACAGTGGGCGGGGTTTGGCACTTGTTTTATTTAAGTGTATCTATTCGTTTTAATACACACTTTATAATAAAACGGCGTGCCATAGTGGCAAAGAATCAATCAATTGTCAAATTAAATTAAAATAAATTAAGGAAACTCAAAAAACAATGTTTGTTTTTTATCTAGTCAAATATTAGTGACATCACTGACCTCTGTTTCTCCCACTCGAGCTGCCTCTGGCGCTCCATCTCCTTCCTGGCCGCCTCGCGCTGCTCGGCCTGCCTCTTCCTCTCCTCCTCCTTGAGCCGCTCCTGCTCCTGCTGCTCTCTCATCTGCTTCTCCAGCTCGTCCATTCGCTTGCGCTCCGCCTCCAGTCGGGCCTTTTCGCGCCTGTCGATCTCGTCGCGCTCCTTGCGCTCGCGCTCCTCCGCCTCTTTGCGCTGCTGGTCCATGAGGGTCTTGCGGCGCCGGTCCAGCTCCGCCTGGCCCTTCTCGAAGTTCTCTTTGCGCTTGTCTTCGAACGAATCTGAAGGAAACACCGCAAATTAGTTTTCTATTAACCATATTATTAGTATTGCACTATTTCGTATATTTCAATTTTTAGTACATTTATCCTATTTTAAACCTCATAATATTAATTATATCTACTGGACAATTAAATATATGTAGAACATTAAACTTATTTCTACTTTTAAAGCTTAAACAAAATTAATCTTTATTATTTTTTATAATACCTACCTAATTATTATTACAAGTTTTGTATTTTTTTTGTTTCCAATGTAACTAGGGCCGTTGTTTTAAAGATTTTTTTTTCTATAAATATATAAAGAGGATAGTTTGTTTAAACTTTATTTAAATTTACTTAAAAAATAAAAATATTTGAATTTTTAATAATAGTTTTATAAAAACATGCAAAAAAGTATAGTAATTGGACATTTTATATAGTTATTGGACACATGGACCATAGTTATTGGACAAACAATTTTTATAAACATAAATTGTTAAATATTTTTTAAAGATAAATTGCTGTTGGGTCATTCCACGTTACTCGGGGATTTTTGTCCCGCCCGTCACAATTAAAAATTGTGAGTAAAAACTATAGGTTATAAAATTTATTTTAAAATAGTGTTTTATTATGCTTTTATTGAGTTATAAGCACAATAAAAATAATATTATAAAATATTAATTTTATAACTTGTGGTTTTTACTCACAATTTTTAATTGTGACGGGCGGGACAAAAAATATTTTAAAATAGTGGTTTATTATGCTTTTATTGAGTTATAAGCACAATAAAAATAATATTATAAAATATTAATTTTATAACTTGTGGTTTTTACTCACAATTTTTAATTGTGACGGGCGGGACAAAAAATATTTTAAAATAGTGGTTTATTATGCTTTTAATGAGTTATAAGCACAATAAAAATAATATTTTAAAATATTAATTTTATAACTTTTGGTTTTTACTCACAATTTTTAATTGTGACGGGCGGGACAAAAATTACCGAGTAACGTGGAATGCCCCTGTTTTAGGTAATTTTTTCTATTTCGTTTTTGTAAATATCATATAATTCATATATTTCTTTCTCGGATTCCTCATCCCTTTTCTGGATTCTGAAGGTAACTACTAATTCTTTGGTCTGACTTCTGAAATAGTTCGTTAGGCCAGAACATATATCTAATATTTTTTTCGGGTGGTATGTTAAAAGTATTTTCCGAATTTATTAATTTTGTTGACATTAGTTTTTTATGCTCTCTATCATGCACTGTATTTAAATCACTGTTATTCTGCAAGATGTCCTGTGACGAAGAAATCGCCATATTACTTTCTCTCTAAAAATAAATTAGTCAAAAATGTCATGGCGAAAAAGCAGCCACTAATAATTCTCTTCAACAGCAATTTGTATCCAGGACATTTAGCAGTCAATTCCTATGAAATATTATTCGCTGAATCCGAAAATGTCGTCAAAAGTTATAAGAGTAGTACAGTTTTTGAAATATAATCAATTTTACATATAACATGGAATTTACTATATCTCAAAAACTGCTTAACTTTTATAGTTTTTGACGGTCTTTTCGGATTCAGGGGACAATTTTACATAAGAATTGGCTAGTAAATGTCCGGGATACAAATAGAGTATGATATTGGACGTAGGTCCAATAATAGAAATTTACATTTTTTACCAACCAGAAATTGGACATTAGCCATTATATTGTTTGTTTTCAGAATTAAAATTAAAACGCATAAAAGTGACCATGAGAAACACATTTATACCACACAGTGATCTGTACACTTTTTAGATATATTTTGTATTGTTATTTAAACACAGCCCTGCTCTTAACAAAAAAACAAAAATCTTAACACCAAAGTAACGTGCGAACTTTTTTGTCCTATATTGGACCCAAAATAAAGTAGCTCTATATTATTACCGACTGAGATAGTTATAATTGTATACAGCGTCATCTAATGATTTGACTTTAAGGTAACTATTTACATAACTCTTGTTTTTACAGTATTAATGTTAATTGTCCAATAACTATAAAGTGTCCGATAACTGTAAAGTAATTTAAGTTTATAAATAAATTAAAATTCAGTCAAATTACTTACAACCAGGGCCACCGCGTTGCCAACGCATTTAGCATGAAACTTTATCAAGCGAGAGCGAAAAGTGCGGTGTAGAAAGGGGTGTAGCAAGTGCCGCAAGCGTGACAGAACGGTAAGTCCAGCTGGATTGCTTGATGAGGGATACAGCAATTGCAATCCCTAGTCCCACCCTAATTATAGTAAAGGAAACGTTTTACTTACTTTGTAGAAGTGTGGAGGCGGGATCCTGGTCGACCGGTGCAGCGCTGCCTTGACTAGAAACCGAGGAGGTCCTGACTTTCCTGAACGATGGCGGTACGAGATCGAGCGGCAGCTTCGTCGGCGGCAAGTTTCCGGTGGCGGCCTGTTCGCACAGGTGCATGGCCAGAACGAACTCCTCGCAACCCAGGCGACCGTCCCCGTCCATGTCGGAAAGATTCCTAAGTAAATAAATTTCGAATAAGGAATCTTAAATTCCCAATTTTTTCCACCCACATGACACAATACTTTTTAAAAGTGTTGTCAGGCCGTTTGGAGAACAATATTAATAAATGAAAAGTTTATGAAATGTTGTACGAACATTCAGGGAAAAATATTTCTCTACGACTACTTAAGAATAGTAACATTCTAGTGTAATTTTTGATCATAGAAAGGATGTTTTTCTGCAATACTGTGCGAGAATATTCCTACTCTTGTTTAAGAATGGTCACAAGTAACGACATCTCCTGGCTGTTTACTAAACGTAAAAAATTTAAAAATATTTAAATATTACTGTATTATTTATTAATTAAAAAATAATAGCAGTTGTATAATTAAGGTTTAGGCACAAAAAATTAGTTATATTTATTGTTTTTCAAATATACAAATCAAAATTATAATAAATTTGATATTAAAATGATAAACCAGTTACCTACTATACCGGCTTTGCAGTTTTGACAGATTCAAAAAGTTAAAAAAAAAGACCTTTAAAATGTAGAAAAAGAATACTGCCCTACTATGGAGAACGGCAGTAACTGCTAAACAAGAAATTTGTGAAAAATTAGCATAAACTACATTTTTATAAAAAGCAGTACGTATTTAATTTATTTTTTAACTTATGAGATATTTGACTGCATTTCTGTGTTGAATTTGGTTACAAAATGTCCATAGCTTTACCATAGCACAAGAAAACGCATGTTGAATTTTTTTGCAGTTACTGCCTTTAAATTTATTATAATTTACATTATAAAATTGTGACGGCACAAAAGGGTTTGACAATACAAAAAACTTAAATGTCAAAAACTGCTTGGTTTCTTTTCTCTGTTTAAAATTATATAAGCGTTACTATTCTTACGTAGTCGTAGAGAAAATAATGTCTGAAACACGTTTGGAATAGCATATTCCACTCTCGTAAAACCGTCACACTCGCCTTCGGCTCGTGTGTCAAATTTTTCCTCGAGCGGAATATGCTGTATTCCAAACTTGTTACAGAATGTACTATTCTATATCTATAACGTTAATATTTCTGAAACATTCATAAATAGCACGTATGTAGGTAAATATTTTTCAACATTTATTTCGCTATTTTATGTAAATATTATTTCCTAAATATTGTTAAGTTTTTGAAAAGTTCATTAAAAGTTTTATAAGGCCCCTAAAGTCATCCACAAATCAGCGTCTGAGTGTTTTTCAAGTGCGACGCTAAGTTAAAATAATAAATTATCTAGATAATCCTTCCTGCTAGAGGTGTGCATTATATTTATTTTTTTTGTTTAGATTATTATTGCTATTTATAAATGGCAGTGTACTGAACCGCGGCGGTACCTTAAAATTTTATTGCCACCCTATTGAAGACGATTATTTTATCGGTAACAAAAAACGAACATTAACCTAATAAAATCGCTTAAAAAACCAACAATATTATTGTTTTTATCTTTAAAAACAAAAAAAGATTTACCCCGAAAAAATTAAATTCTTTTTAGCCTCCATGCGGAAAAGTCCAAAAACTGAAACTGCAACGGAAAATGAGATTTTACCGGAGTTACGACAATGGCCGGCTCAAGCTAAATTTAGAAAAAGTAGAAAAGAAACTTAAAAAAAACCAAGACAGTAGAAAGAAAAATATTCTTTTAATTCTGTAACTTCTTCCAAAGAATTTTTGTTTTACATATTTTACTTTTATTTCTATCGTTTTTTTTTAAATAAACTATTTTTTATTAAGACGTGTACTAAATTTTTTTGTATTTTTAGCGTGCAAAAAATAGATCTCCAGCTATGGAATTCCACTGTTTTAGTATTTCTTATATGAGAATACCATACCACATCTACTTTTTGCACTCCAAAACAAGAACATTCAGTACACAAAAAGTATCACATGGCTTTAATAAATAAAAAAGCAACATTTTATTAACATTTACAACATTTTTAAAATAAATATGCAAATATTGTAATGTATCTAAAACATATACAGAAATGTTTTAAAAATGTTATAAATATAAAAAGTGGGACATCTAAATGTTGTAAAAACATTTTAGATGACTAATGACTAATATTTCTAAAATATTTAGTTTATTTAGCAAAAATATTCATTCAATATTTTAAATATATTTGTGTGTTATGTGGGTATCACAAACTTACCATATTTGTGCCAGCAGATTCTGCGGCAGTTTCGTTTGCACCATGACGTTTCTAGCTTGAGCACCAGATAAATAACCCGATCGAGTTCTGTCGGTCGTGTTGAACATTTGCGTGTACTTTAGCTTAATATGGTGGGGAACTGCCCAATCGGCCATCCTATGAAAAACATTTTACAACCGAATTAAGAATGGAGAAGACAACTTACGGTGACTCAATGGATGGAGCACGTTCCAGACTAGTGACGCTCGCTCTTGGAGTGCTGGTGGCGCCAGGTCCGGCCGGTGCGGCGGCCACGTTCTGAACAGGCGAAGAAGCGGCAACTACGCCCATGGGGGCCGTTACATTCGATACTAGAGGAGCGGCAGGAACCACTAATAAAATGCATTAAACCGATTTTAGTTTTGGGGTACATTTTTTATCTTTTTGGTGGTTTTGTGATTTTAAATTTCATGCATGGGTAAAATTCAGTTGTAAACTACAAACCAAGGCCAAGTTCAAATTAATTAAGATAAAAATGTACGCAGATGTTGACAAGGCCATAAGTACCCAGGTAGCACACTGACGTCTGTTGACGTTTATATGACGTCATTTAAACGTCATATATACGTCAGCAAACGTCAGTGTGCTACCTGGGTACTCTAATTTAGGCTAAGAAATTGACATTTTAACTTAAAGTATACAAATATAGATGCATATTCGCTTAAAAGTTTTATTCACCTGGTGGTATATAGGGCGCAGCAACCGGCATTGTTGCCACATAGCCGGGCGCCATAGGTACCATTGGAGGCACTCCGGCAACTAGCGGTTGCATGTTGCTCTGCATTGGCGGCACAATGCCTGTGGGAATGTTATTTATTTGAGGCTGGGTCATGCCGGTAGGCATCACGGTTCCAACTTGTGGCATCACGCCAACGTTACCTAGATGACATAGTATAGTATACACGTGAAGAAAACGGTCAACGAAAATTATCGACGAGCATTCGTTTGACACACGAGCGAAGCGAGCGTGGCAAGAATGCGAGTTCACATAATATTTTTTCCCAAAATCAAATCAAAATTATCACTTTATGAACGAATCGTAGTGGTATTATTGACAGATGTGTTTTGGTTTTGAGGTTAAGTTTTTTTTAACATTTCTATGTTTTTTTATTATTTGCGTTTAAACTTAAATTTTGAATTAATTTAATACATAAACAATGTTTAAAACCATATTTTTAGGTAATTATGTATCATTTGTATGTAATAAAAAGCTCTAATATATTTCTTTTTCTGACGTTGTTTTACTAGTGGAACAAAATTTTTATTATTCAACTAGTATAACAATATCTTACTTTGTTTATTGTTTTTCAGCGTGTAATGTCAATTTAAAAATTGGATAAAAAACAAGCGGTTCTCAAATAATTTGAAAAAAACTAAAAAACTGTCAAAACCAAAGTAGAACTTAAGTAAGTTTAACATGTAAACATACAAAATTATCTACATTTTTATTTAATTTGTGATTTTTTTGCCTACTAGATTTTGAGATACCATCGCCATCTTTTGTTTTTCCTATGGCCGCAATATTAGAATTTTACATGGATATATTTAAAAAAATCAAGTTAATTTAAAATATTTGCTTCTTATATTTGCATTTTTTTGCTAAACACATTTTTAATTCGCTAAATTAAAAATATCATGGGATAAATTTTTAAATAGGAGATGAATGAATGAAATTAAAATATCTCCTATGATATTTTTAATGTATTTAAAAATTTCTTCTATGATATTTTTAATGTATTTAAAAATTTCTTCTATGATATTTTTAATTTAGCGAATTAAAAATCTATTAATGTGTTTTTCATCCTCAAATTTTGACAGTATACTCAAGAACCTTATACAAACATTTTGGGATTCCATTAAAAAATTATTTGTTAATAAAATTTTCATAAAAAAATAAAAACAAAATATATTAAAGATTTTTGTATGTAATTTTACATGGATATATATAAAAAAAATCAAGTTAATTTAAAATATTTGCTTCTTATATTTGTATTTTTTTGCTAAACACATTTTTAATTCGCTAAATTAAAAATATCATGGGATAAATATTTATATGTGTTAAAAATATCATAGGAGATGAATGAATGAAATTAAAATATCTCCTATGATATTTTTAATGTATTTAAAAATTTCTTCTATGATATTTTTAATTTAGCGAATTAAAAATCTATTACTGTGTTTTTTCATCCTCAAATTTTGACAGTATACTCAAGAACCTTATACAAACATTTTGGGATTCCATTAAAAAATTATTTGTTCATAAAATTTTCATAAAAAATAAAAACAAAATAAGTTAAAGATTTTTTTATGTAAACATCTACGCTTTTTGACAACAAACATTAGGAGTTCGTCAAATCTTTTTTTATTTACAAACGGCTGTATAAAGAATTATTTTTCTAGTTTTATAATTTAAAAAAATCATAACCATATAATTTGCATTTTTAAATAAACTGAAATAAAAGTTTAAAAACCAAATAATACATTAGATGAATCAAATCGGGCCGTATTGGTGGCCGAAATGTTAAATTAAACTTGCGGAGCATAACTCACCTTGTAGGGCTACAAGGGGCGGCTGTTGTCCCATCATCATGGCGGGTTGGGGCGGCACGATCGGGTGGGGCGGCGCGACCGCCGCGGGCGGCTGGGGGCGCGTCGGGGCGGTGGGCAGCGGCGGAATGGCGGGCGGCGCGCCCGCCTGCTGCAGGGAGGCTAGCAGAGAGGGCGGCAGCATTTTCGGCATGTCGAAGCCGCGCAGCTTCAGGTTGATCAGCTTGCACGCGATCGAGAACTCGTTTATGTCCATTTTGCCGTCCGAGTCGGTGTCGGCCAGGCTCCTAAGTCGAAACAAAAATACAATTGAATCGCTTATTTCACAGTTCAACACGATTTCCTCCCGTGAAAAATTTTAACACATTTTGAAAATAGAGGTTAAAAAATGTACCCGTGTCTCACCGTTTCACGAGATCACGTCATTTAATTTTCTATTATCTTATAAATCATTTTAGTCTTCAAATATTGTTTGTTTTTACATAATACAAAAATTAGAGTTAAAAAAATAATTTCAATTTTAAATTTTTGTATTTTTTTAAACAAAACAACAGATGTGTTAGAAAAAATCTTGGTCTTTTAGTTAGAAGACTATACATTGCTTTAGAATACCGTACCTTCATTTGCAAGGTATACATAGGGAAAATACATTGTAGGTGGAACAGACAAGTCGAAGTCAGCGCGGTCAGCGCGAAACGAAAATGTTCCCAGAAATTATTTTGACGAGTGGATGAGTAGACTAACATGCGACGTAACAGGTGACTTTGTTTACTGGCGATTAAAATTTTATCACGTCCAAATAATTTCTGAGAACTTTTTCGCTTTGCGCTGACTTTAACTTGTCTGGTCCACCTACAATGTATTTTCCCTGTGTATAGTGGTATCACAACCTAAAAAACACCACTTTTATAAAATTTATCTAAATTCAAAATGTAGCTTTAATGGTTGTCCATTTATTAAGTAATTTTTTTTTTTTAACTACAGTCTAGCTGTTATCGAAGCTGTTATATTATGTGCAGAATACCGTGGACAACATTTTATTAGATTGCATTAAAAAAAAACCGCCGAGACACGGGTATCATTTTTTTAAGTATAATTTTAAAATCTGTAGAAATTTTTTATGGAAGGGAAAAAAAACAAATTTTGCCGTGTTATTAAAAATAACATTTTGAGTTACATTTTTCTACTTAGGTACTAAAGTGGCCAAGAAAGATAGTTTGAAGATAAAATGATATAGTAGTAGATACCCACAAAATTTGTGTCATAGCCAAAGAGATATTGTTTGAACATTAATACTAACTTGGCACTTTAAATTTTTGATAGAATAGTTATGTAGACAGTTAGATAAATTAATCCATTTCAATAAAAAAGCTGATACTGAATATCGCATTTTTAAGCAGTAATAATAAAGTCAGTGGTGTGCTTTTTTATTTTCCTTTTAGATATTTTTTTTATTATGTTAATTTAAACTACAAGTTTCACTATTTTATTTAAATATGACAATTATTTCCCTACACAGTAGCATCTTCAGATCTGAAGATGCGAAACAATTGTCATACTTAAATAAAAAAGTGAAACTTTCAAAACATAGTTGTTTTTAAATTTACATATGTAGTTAATATGGAGTTTTATCAAGTAGGTAAAAGTCAAAACAATTATTTATATTTTTTTTATTTAAATTTATTAAACGCGTTCAAAAAAGCATTTAGTAAAGGTGTCTATCTACTCCTATTGCATAATATTGTTTTTTTTTCGTGAATTATGATAAACATTATAAATTCCCTGCCAAACAACGGGAATAATAAACTTATTATTCACGTTCTTGGGCATCAATGATTGGCCGATTTCAATATTTACTGTGATTTGAACCAATTGGGAGAAGGCGACTATAATAACATTTAATATTGGTAAAAAGTGAGGTTAACCAGTTGACAGATGTCAGATTCTATTAATTTATTTTTAAAAATTATTTAATTATCTTATTGAAGTAGATAAAGTAAAGTATTACACTCGAGATTATGACGCAAACCTAATCCTCGTGAATAATAGCCTGCATTATCACTCGTATAATAATATACTAATTTTTCTAAAAGCAACTGTAAATTTGATATAAAATAATACGTTGGTTGTGTTTTTTAAAACTTAATTTTATTTTCTACCTACTCCTGTTGTTCTCTTTTCATTGGCAATTATAAGAGGATATGTCCCCTCAAAGAAATATATTCTTTTCTACGTTTTTTTTCTAAATATTTTTTATAAGAATATAACTAGCCACTATAATATATAAATATCTACAGGGTAATATTAAATAAATTATTTAAATTTTAAGGACAAGTTATTGATTTAGTAAATATGAGTCATCTTGGAAAAACCAATGTCTAAGGGCTCCAATTTTTTTAAATACATTAAAGAGACAAAATAGGTATTAAATAATAAATAAGTAGGTAACACATTTTTGCCAAATTAAAATTCAAAATTAAGGTAGTTAAAAGACTTCATAAATTACAAATCATGGTGTATACATAATTAACATATAAGTTTTAAATGTGGAGCACTTACCATATTTGTCCTAAAACTAGAGGTGGCAATTGAGACTGAAGGAAAAATCCTTTAGCTTGATCGCCTGTCACCACTCCGTTTATTGGTTTCAGTGATCTAAATTGTTCCTCGTATCTGACTCTCTCCCTGGCCAAAATCAGCCAGGGATCTGTTGAAGGGGTTCCAGCAGCAGACAGCATATTCACTAAAAACATGAAATAATTTTTAAAAAATGTTTAGTATAAAAATAATAATTATCTTGTATCCGGTATTTATCACAATCATTTTAAGATTATTTAATCAACTTTTAAGTAAAACACATAATTGTGCTAATATTTACAGTTATTTTAAAGAATTTATTTGCATCAAAAATCAAATCGCCTGTATAGGCATAGTAACGTCATTGGACAAAAGAAAACAAAAACAATCAAATATTTACCTTGTATTGTCTATCAATAGGCTAGTTTTATCTAATATTTCATTTTATTTTGTTTAAAAACCAAGTTTTTGCTAAAAATCCACCCTCAAATATCGGACACCATTGCAGTAGCTCGTCACAATCAATAGGTCCGCGAATAACACTCGTTAAAGTAAACTCGCCCCAACGACTGGTTACGTTAAGGTCGCGAATCGCTTGTAGCGCGCTTATGACATTTCAATGGAAAGAAACGAGATATAATTCCTGGTAAAACAAACAGAGATGCCGATAACTTAAAAGATTTTATAAAAATGGTTACCAAATCAATTATGTTTAATGCAATGACGAAAAAAACATGAAAATGCATCGAATGTGTTCAAATATTTAGTCTTAAATTTCTAGAAACACCAAGTTAAAATAAATGTATTTTAAATTTAATTGAAAAATTACTTCAGACGCCTTTATCTCGTAAATCTCAACAAGACCAAATTAAAAAACACAATACAAAAATTGCTGTACAATCACAGAACATAAGTGTACAATTTTACAATTCCAATTTAAAAATAAACAAACACAGAACATAATAGAACTAAAAGTTCCTATTCTAATATTGGCAACAACGATTTTACAAGAGGTGGTCACGCTCTGGCCTACTTGATCTTAAGTTTTTCGATGCGGTTCCGTAGCCCGCGAAATTTGAATAGGTTATTATTTAAAAATACTTATTTTTGATTTAAAAAATACAAAATTATTTAAAATAAACATTTATTGGTACATATATACATAAATAGAAGGGCAATATAACCTAAATTAATGGTTTATTACACATAATGTAGTTAATTAACTACATTACATACTTTATATAAATTTGCCTGTTTAGATTTTATTGTAGTAAAATAAATAAGTTATTTTTAGATTTTCTGTAACAAAAATGAGATTTAATAATTACTTGAAGATAATATAAGTATTATATTAGTATATTTTAATACAATAAAACCTAAAGAGCCGAATTTCAACACATAAACTATTAATTGTTTAAAACAATTTGTTTTATACATTATAAAGACATTCAGTAACCTTTGAATAAAAATACATTGTAAGATATTATAAGTTTTTAAATAGGTACTTACTTAATTAGTATCAGGTAATATAATTTGATCATCGTTTGTGCACATTCATCAAAGAGTCTCTGATATAATGCTAAAAAAATACTTAATTAACATTTACAACAGTCAATTTTCTTAGTGACAAAAAATCTTATTTAATACATTTTTAATACCTTGTATATATTACACAAAAATAGCAACATTACAGTTAAATCTATTAACATAGGTTATATGTTATATATAAATAAGTATTTTGTTAGACTAAAAAGTGGAATCTCACATAAAAATATACTTAAAATAAACAATTGGGATCATCCATAAAGTATATCACACCTTTTTGGAGAATTTCAGACTCCCTCCCCTCATGTCCCACATAATTTCATTATTATGTTATCTTAATCAATGATGTTATAATATTTTCAGTCTTGACCCTGGTGGCAGGTCTGCCTTTCCCCTAAACATGTGACCTACTTTATGGACAACCCCTTGTTAATAACATATGCTAAAAACTAAAATAAGTACAAATAAATAAAAATATATATTAATACCTAGTTAAAATAAATATAAATTTATATTTATTTAAACCAATTATGAAGAATAATGATATATGAATTTGATTAGCATCTGCTACATTTTTCTATATTGTGGATCAAAAGTTAGAAAGTAAGCTGGATAGTTTTTAAGCAGGACCCCTCTGGCAAAACATTGACCAAAATATGGATAGTTTCATTCCAGAATAATTTCATTGGATATAACCTATAAAAATCTTATTTTAAAAACAATTTTAAATTTTAAAAATAAAATTTACCTTATTTATGTTTTAAGTGACGAGTTTACTCAATCCTTGTATCCTGTTTCTTCTTGGTTAGTCCTTAAACCATTTATTAAGGTGTGTTTCTTCACTCAACGCTTAAACAATTTCCAAATAAAATTAACCATCATTTAATAACTATTAAAAGTAATGTTTAGTTAAGTATGTATACCCAAAGATATTATTATTATCTTTGTGTATACCTACTTAACTAAACATTACTTTTAGCAAATGCGGTCTAATTTAGCAAAAGCCTGTTGTATTATGTGAACACTAGTGTAAAATAATATTAATAAATAAATAAAAACAGGCATAAATATTAAAATATGAACTCATTAACATGGAACAAATGTATGGTTCGATTTGAGCAAATAATCATACCTATTTGCAAAATTATAAGATGGATATGAAAGAAAAAATACTAATAAAACTGTTAATGAGAGGACAAGTTGCTCAAATCAAAGCCGGATTAACGCAAATATGACAAAACTACATTTATATAAATATACATGCATAGGTATGAAAACAAAAAACAAAGCATTAATTAAGTAATTTACGATTCAACAATTTGTTTCTATAACTAACTGAATGGTTTATTTAGTTTAGAAATTCAAAACTGGAGTTTTATAAAAGTTTATCACCTACCACAATAATTAAACTTACCTTAAAAAAACCAAAACAACACACAATTTCAAACAACAACATCGGCCATTGTTGAAAACTACATAACACACATAACAAACTGTCAAACTTTACGATGAGTCACACCGACAAGAATGATACGCGCATGAGCAAGATGGCAAAAGATAGATGTCGCTCAAAAATTTGTTGCCAATTTCCTTTAAAAAGCTGGCCCCCCATGTAAACAAATGACATAGGGCGCCGGCGCAGTTGTGGCGCGATACCAACGAACATCGACGCTTTTCAAAAGCACGATTTGATTGGCCCGTAGGACGTGCTCAGGCGTTGCCAAGTTCACGATTAATTGTTCGGTTCGGGGTAGGTCAATTTTTGCTTGCACAGTGGGGCAACTGTGAAGAATCGCGGTTTATAATAAAAAAACAAAAATAAATTTATTTTATTCTTATATATGTTTCAGGGCAATTTTTTAATTTAACAGACGTCATTTTAATAAAAAAAAATGGGTTAACCTCACAGACCTACATTAACCCACATTTTTAAAATTATTATTTTTTTATTTTAATGTTTTAAGAAAAATGTACTTATATTATTTTAATGTGGATATATTTTTTTATTAAATATTAAATAGAAAAGTGGTAAAAAAGCCTAGAAAATAATCATAAATTTGTGGAAAAATTATAAATTTTTCAAATATGGTTCACACTATCTATTTAATAAGTTAACTTAAATATGTTTAAATTATAATGTTAATTTGTTGTTATTTAAAAATTTACTACATATATTTTTGATTTGCAAACACAGAATTTAAATAAATCATCTGGCCATTTTTTTTTACTATTTTGAATCAAAATTTAACAGGATAACCTAAATTAAAACTATAACCTAAAACCTGTAAATGTCAAGCTGTCACAACTAGCGACTTAGCGGTAGTAGTGTGCAAAACAAGTAACGTCAAATATATTAATTAAAGCGGCGTGTCTATATGATTTAGGCGTATCTTGGGTCTATTCCTATATTTGTTATATGGTCTATTCCAACTCTTACTAAAAATACTAAATATCACTGCAACACTGCTCAGAGTTTAACGGCGGCCATTTTGTTGTTTAAAATTCTTGTGCTTTGTGTTTGTAATAATCGTTTTAAACGTTGTATTTCTTACAGAGGCACTATATGACTCTGTAAGAAGTCTTGTAAGCCTTAAAAGAGGCCTTAAAGTGCCAATAACAACCATTTTACTGCTTTTTGTAAAAAAAAATAATCCCTACTTTATCGGGGCTGTCATCAAACTGTCAAATGTCAATTCTGTGTGGATTGACAATAAAGTGACAATTATAGTTGTCAACTCTGACAATATGTTTATCTATTTATTATTGATATTAAATTTAAGAACCAAAAGAAAATATTAGATTTTCTTGCATGTAGTTAATAGTATATTATGTATCAAGTTTTATAAACGCCATTTTAGTTACGAGTTTAATTAAGCACGAGCGAAGCTTGCGAGCGAGTGTTTAATAAAACTCGTAACTAAAATGGCGTTTATAAAAACGAGTGTCTAGAGAAGTTTATAAACGAGTTGCATACTATACTTTATCTACGAGGACTACAAAACAGAATTTAAAGCCAATTTTATTTTTTAAAATTTTGACATCTGTCAACTGTCACCCGAATTTAACCTCACTTTTTCCCAATTTATAATAAAGCTAACTTCAGCCCGTGACGTAAAATGTCGAAAAGCCACTGTTGTTAACTTCAGCCCTTCAATAAAACGCCATAAAGTTACAGCTCGTCAATGTAGGAGTAGATAAAATAACATATACTTAAGTATGTAGTTAAAATACCATATAATCTAATGATATAATTTATGGAGTCTTATAACATAATGAAAAAATCCCTATTAAGTATTTCTAAAATTACCACACTGTGGGTGATATAAACAACGAAAACGAGTGGCAACTGTGTGCAATCGCATTGGCCGGCTGTCTCGTCGAACAAGACTTGTTCCCGATTTTCATTCGGCCGAAAAAGCGGCCAGCGATTGTCACTGCCGCGTCCGTAAGCTTCCGAAAAAAAAAACAAGACACGTCGGAAGTAAAAACGCGTGAAACAACCCAATTAACGGACTTTAAAACTCGAACGAATCAGTGGCAGAGAGCGTGATATGCCGGTATAGTGAGCTTTGACTGAAAACAAGTGAAAAAAACAAAAAAAAAACACCGGCGAAATGGCTTACGACGATATTATTCCGATCCTAGGCGACTTTGGCAGATATCAAAGGAGAATTTATTTTCTGTTGTGCCTTCCTGCGATCCTGTGTGCCTTTCATAAGTTGGGAAACGTGTTCCTAGTGGCAGAACCGAACTACAGGTAAATAAACAACGGGGGATGTTTCTTGAAATTACTTTACTTTTTGTATAGAAAGAAATAAACCAATGGCATTCCCCACAACACCACACTATAATGTAGTTGCGATGAAAAAAAAATGAAATATAACGAAAATAAAGCGATTTCAAGAGTTAAAAATGTTTAAAGCCTGATATATAGATTGCCTTCCTCCCTTCCTTACTTCCTCCCGTAGGAGGCAATCTATAAATCAGGCTTAATGGTTATTTATGGTAGTGTCAATTAAAGTAATTAATACACGCTTATACCTACACATGTACAATTAATATTTAAGTACCTACCTAATTGTTTTAAGGTTATTTTAAAAAACACGACTAGGTTTAACCCGGTAGGTAGTATAGTAGTATTTTGAACTCAAGTATACCGCATGACCCCGGATTGAGGAAAAAATATTTTAGATTTCTCAGGAAAATTAATTCTTCAACATTTTTCCTGCTTATTTTCAAACCCTAAAAACTATTTAAATATCTTAAACGGTTTATGAGAAAATTACGGTTTTCTTCAAAATTGGAAGATAATTTTTTGTCACAGTCATAACTTGATGTAATTTTTACGATAAATCTAAAGCAATCCAACCAACACAACTATTTTCAATAAGGAAAAATTTCTTTAATTAGGTTCATATTATATTATATTACCTTATGAGAAATAATCCAATATACAGGGTGTTCCGAAATTAGTGCACCATACTTTAACAGCAGATTCCACGTGCAAAAATAAGAAAAAAAGTCCCTATAAATATAGATCGAGAAATGCCTCCTAAGGGAGCTACAGCCCCCGAAAAGGGAGCCCCTGAATATGTTTTTTATCTAATATTTATAAAAAAGTATAAACACCCTGTCACTTACTACATGAAACTGTCACCTGTCTTGAATTATTCTATTTTTTCCTAAACATGGCAGTCGTATTCCAACCCAGCCAACAAAGTCAAGGTAGTGCTACTAGTAGCAGAGGGTAGCGCTACCCTCTGCTACTAGTACTACCTTGACTTTGTTGGCTGGGAAGGACCACGCGAGTCCATTACTATGGTTGTAATTTAATTGTGAATTTTTATGCCATACAAAATAATTTTCAAATCGATTTTAAGCGAAAACGGTGTATGTTAACGAAGTTCAACAAGATGACCTTTTTTATGTGCAAAACTCCAAAATTTCATAATCTGACATCAAATTCTGGTACAAGATACGTACAAAAAAGTTAAGGTGGTTTTAACCCCACTTCCTATCAATCTGACCCAAACTTCATGAAATTTTTTAAGTTGTTATTGTTACGTCTTATTGGTCATACAAAGTTTAATTAATTCCCTAAATTTCACTTTTCTATCTTTAACGGTTTTGGAGATATTAAATAAAAACCATCTTCAGGGGCTTTCCTTTTGGGGGCTGTAGCTCCCTTAAGAGGCATTTCTTGGCCTATGTTTATAGGGACTTTTTTTCTTATTTTTGCACATAGAATCTGCTGTTAAAGTATGGTGCACTAATTTCAGGACACCCTGTATTCAGGGCCGGGCCTAAGGGGGGTGTAGGGGGGGGAGTCACCCCCCCCAAAGTCTTGGCAGTTGGTTCCAAATCCAAACACGGTTGGCAAAATCTATAGTATTTGGGTCGGTTGGTTGGGTATACCTACCCTACCAACCAACCCATCACAATAAATAAAATGAAATATAATTTTTAAACTTTTCCTACATATTACAAAATTATAATTTTTAATCTATTGTAACCTCCTATAATCGTTACCGTCAAGAAAATTGTATTGGTCAACCTTATTTTTATTAAAGGACATTATATTTCACACAAGCGGCATGTACAAAGTCGGCACCGCCTCGCGGCTTTGCCTTTCTAAATTATTAATTAGTTGAAGCTTATCTAAGCTAAGTAAAACTAGTGTCAATAAATAGGAATTAATTTTTTTTAATATGAAAAAGAAAGCTAGACCGGGCCGAGTTCTAGTAAAATGCTCATTATGTGGACCTGTGTAACACAGGCTGTGTTTAACAAGGCTGTGTTTAACAAGGACTAGAAAAAAATGCACGAGGAAAATATTCACGGTTGAAATTTGGTTAAAATTAAAATTGATACTGTTCCGGATAATCCACTTACATTGGCAGCAAATAAAAAAAATAGAGACTTCAAAAGAGCATGCTAATGGCAGGTAAAGACATTCTTTATCTATACTTTACAACAGTATCGATAAAAAAATAAGTTGTTTTTTTTTATCGTCTCCACCCCCCCCAAAAAGTGTGCCTCGGTACGCCCCTGCCTGTATTACTGTAAAATTAAATATGTATGCTTTTTAGGGCGACATTGTATTATTCCGAAATGTAAATTCGGAACTGTAGACACTTCCTTATTTCGCAGAAAAATAGTTCCAATGACCTTTTGTTACAAATTTAATATGAGGATCTACCCACTTGATTTAAAAAAAAATAGTTTAAAATTTAGATTGAACATTTAAAATAAATATAAATAAACAATATAATATTAGGGATTCAAAATAATCGAATATTCTTTTTTACTTCCAACCCTAAAAAATTGTTTCTTAGGCACCTCTAAAAAGTGCTCACCAAATTTGAGCTCTTAATATTAATAGGAAGATCCTCCTCATCAGTTTTTCATTTTTTCTTTAGTCCCTTATAAAAAAGACCATATTTCATTATTAATTAATCGTTTATTCAAATCTTTATACATGTTTTTGTAGAAAATCGAATGCTCTACAAAAAATTACTATTATGTTAAACCATTTAAAAGATATTCAAGATCAAAGTTAGAAGAATTTATTAAATAATTTTGTAACTCATTGAAAAATAATTATTGTTAAATTAGTATGACATATTTTTGTAGTAAATTTAACGAGTTACAAAAAAGGTCTGATGTGTTTAATTAATTAGCAAGTCAAACACTCAACAGATCAGGGGCTGGGGAGGAAGCACATAAAATCAACAACAAATATAAACAAAATATTAAACATGGATTTTGTAATTTTTACAATAACTTGTATACGAAATTTCACCATAATTTTATGGGAAATGTCCTAGAACCTCAATTTAACACTCTTTTATATCCTTTGAAATGTATTTTTATCCTTCCCTTTATTTTTTAATAAACATTAAAGTACCTACTTGAATTGATATGATAAAATTAATTTTACAATGTACATATGTAAATAAATAATAGTGCAATAAAAGAAGTACTTATGGTTATTATGATTTTTTTTTAGATGCTTGTTGCCAAATGAACCAAGTAATGCGACTTATCACCTGCAAAACGAAACCTTAAAGAATATGATACCTTGGGATGGTCGCAACAAAAACAATATTTCTTCTTGCGAGTTCTTAAACGAAAATGGGACTAGGCAACACTGCGATCGTTATGTTTTCGACGATACATTGTATGGAAAAACTGCCGTTATAGAGGTAAAATGACTTTACAAACAAGTGTTTAAAAATTTGGGTTGATTTGGCGGGCTAATACAAAAGTTACGTTGACAATTTATGTCGCCGGATTTAACTCCGTTTGACTTTTTCGGGGATCAGAATCGGCCGAAGGTTTTTATTTACATTTAAAAGTAGAAATAATTCACTGTATTTTAGTAGGTACCTTATGTGCTTTTAGAATTTTAATTTTAAAAGCAGTGGGTAATAAATTAAATCATTGAACAATTTAAATGAATTTATTCCTTTTAATAAATAAAAAATACATGTACTAAATTGTCAAAGTATTTTGGCTATTCTACTTGAATACATTAGTAAAAAACTGTACGTTCATTTGACGTAACGATATCTGAATAAATCCATAAATAATAGCCCGCATTATAAAATATGTACTATGTTTGCCTCTTAAATAATTTAATAAGCACAAATGTTTCATTAATGCATCGGCGATGTCAATTAGTTGCAATAGAACTTACTTATCGATCGATTGCAGCAATTCGATTTTAATTATTTCTCATTATTTTCGCAACCAATGGTTAGTTGAATCGGTCATTTCGAAAAGTACCTAATTAACCCATTAACTAAGGATTAACAGTAAACAATTGTTGACAGTTTTTTTTGTAATTTCTAAAATGTTAAATATTTAAATTTTGTTTTGTACTATGGTCCTGTATCAGTAGCGCCATCTACCATCAAAAATTATTTTTTTTCCTTTTTTGTCCATTAATTATGGGGTACCTCGTAATACAAGGCCTATATATTTAGATATCAATAAAATGTTCAGTATGAATTTAAAATAAAAATTTTGTTATAGATAATTTAATTTAATATTTTATGCTACCCATGAACTACACCAATTGATATTTTTTATATGTTTCTATTTAATTTCATTTGTTTGCAACTTTATTAAATTTTTATTTTATCCTATTTATAAAAATAAATATAATTTAATATTACAGCAAATATTACTTATTTATTTACACCAAATAAAAACAATAATGCGATACTTTAATAATTAATAGTTTTTTATACTATAAGAGACAAATTATTTGTCTCTTATAGTATAAAAAACTATTGAAAAAAGAAATTATTGCTTTAAATTAAAAACACCATTATTAGTTAAAATTACCTTATCAGACCATTACATAGGTACATACGTGTAAAAAACGAACAAAATTGTAAATATAGTAAACATTTAGGCAGATTAAATTTTTTACTAAAATTAACAATACAATAGTGTTACATATGTTGAGTTTGGTTATACAGGGTGGCTCAAATAGAACGTTATGGTTAAACACCTAAAGTTTATTTTTTTATCTGGACTTGTGTTTTTTGTTAGGTTGGTGGCTTATGCCAGTTTGACTTAAAGAATTTAATTAAATACTTTGACACTGTCAAATTGACAATAATATTTATTATTGATAATTTACTTGTCAATTATAAATAAAAAGATAATTATGCCAAAAATAATAGCAACGAATTCGAATGTAAAAGCCCTTTGCCACAACGGAAGAAAAAGTACATCGCCTTATGGACATTTTTGGAGTAAAAAAGTAACGAATTTGGTTTTATAAATATTACATTACACATTATTTTCACATTATTCACCATTGGACAACATTTACGTTCACAAAAAATTTTAATTTCTTTTATATAAATTCTTTTCAAAGCGAAGATTATTATCCGCTAGGAATACTTTCTCTTCTGGGCCGTAAAGCCACCTATATTTAACTACTTTTTTATATGATTTTACTCATCCAAGCACCACCAAAGCCAAATTAATTGCATTTTTAACTACGAATTTCGACAACTCAACTTGACAACTGTATTTACCAACCAAAACCCTAAATTTGCAACGTTGCCGCAGTCCAGATAAAAAAAATGAACTTTAGAAATTAAAAAAAAGTGGTATCATGACATTGCCATGATGACAAGTATTGCCAGGCGGTTTTTTTTATTTAGTAAAAATTCCCTAGATTTCTCCGATTTTTTATATAATTTTCCTAGATTTTTCCAGATTTATTTTAGCTTGTTTATAAATTATTCATAAATTAAAAAGTTGTCATTTCAGGCAGATACAAATTTTATAATATAGCGCTTTCTGTAAACTATCAAATTAGTCCTAAAAATTGGAAAAACGTTTTGCATATGTCCTATCAGACCTACATAACCACATTTCTGGATACGTATCAAATATGGCGGATGAAAATACTCCCCTTTTTATGCAACCATTAAAAGAGAGACGAATGTATTCCCCACCACAATTCCCCCTATTCCCTTTCTAGGGTTTAATTCCCCGTATCTAGGGAAATTTTCCCAGACTTGGCAACACTGAGTTTAACCATATTTTCATTATATCTTAATAATTTATTAACATAAAAAATGCAGTCTAATTAACTTTCTGGTTTATATTTACTACGCAAAACAAAACAAAATTTTGTATCAATACTATTCGATAATTTTATTTATTTGTAATGTTGATTTCTATAATAATATTATGTTTTCTATAATTATGTAACATGCAATATATTTTACCAACGATTGTCGTTAACGAGCCGGCAACAACGCATTTATAAAATATTTTTTATGAGAAAATTTTAGCCTTATTTTATTAAAAACAAGTGGGTAACGCTAAATTTAAAATATCTTAAAGCGTACAGTGTTGCTAAATCGTAAACTACTATAGGTACATAGGGTGTCCCCGAATTTCATCAAAAAATATTAAGGGTCCATTCTACTGCGCGTAATATAAAAAAAATACTGAGAACATGCAAAAATGATTTATAAGGAAGCCCCTTTAAAGATGACACTTAATCTTCTTTATTATAAATATTTATGTATTACTGAAAATGGTACCTAAGGGTTTTATTGTTTTCGTATTTGGCAAATTTAAGTTGTCCTTGGAAACACACAGTAAAGGTTTAATTAAAAAAAATCCTAATTACTTTAGGATTGCGTTAAATAACTGTTAGTTAAATTTGTATATTTATGGTATTTTAAATAAGTACATGTCTGTGTGATAATTTTATTTATATATTTCATTCCCATACCTACATAGATAAAAACGTAAAAGTTTTAATCAACCAGTTTTGTTTTTTTGCAGCGATAATATTCTAATTGTAATAAAACGTTGAACTATTTAGGTTAAACAAAGATAAATCTCTCTTTGATAAAAAACCCTTTTGTTATTTAATGTAGGTCGAGCCTATTTATGTATACTTCTATTGTAGTGTAATTTGCCAATTGGCGTAAGAAATAATTGTCTTTTGAACAAATCAAATAATTTGGCCGGATAAATTATAAGATAGCGTGATGGACGTTGAAATTTAATTAAAAATATGCAAAAACGCAGAAAATCGCACCGTGGCTGATTTTATGCTTTTCAGGTCCACTGTGCCCCATAGATCATACATAAGCTGTACCCACGAAAATCAACAGGTATTATTAAGCTCGTTTCACACGTTCAGAAAGATGTTTCTGATCGCGTGAAGCAGCCTTTAGAAGGAAGAAATATTTCGTTTACTTAGGGTGTGAATCTGCAAAAAGAAGGATTTCGTTGGTAGCTGGCCAATTTATTTCAAAATTTATTAAAAATCATTAAATCATAGATCACTTGTCTATATGTCATATATAATACCAATCAAATTGCTAAGAATTGCTGATTGCAACCTAGGCGATGAATTATCATCTAAATAAATATATTAAAATTGTTGTAGGTACAATAAATATTTTCTTTTTTAGTTTGAGTTAACATGCAAAAAAACACATTTTATAGCAATTGGCCACTCACTGTTTATGTTTGGAGTCATGGTGGGTTCCATAGTTTTTGGAGAGTTATCTGATAGGTATTATTAATTTTACAACTTTTTTTTCTATAGATAATAATCTCTATGGAAAGCAATAAACCAATCATATCACAACATTCTCCTCAGCACACTAGGTGCGATGTATAATGACGTGCTCTGATTGGTTTATTGCAAATTTCAAGAAACACGTTTTTTTTATTATTCTTTTTTAGGTACGGTAGAAAATTGATTTTCTTTATATCCCTGGTTATACAAGTGGTGTCTGGTGTGATAGCGGCATTTTCTCCGGAATTTTGGTCATTCACAGTGGCCAGGTTTTTAATTGGGGCCACTACTTCAGGAGTGTTTCTCGTTGCGTACGTTATAGGTATATTTAAAACAATAACATTTAAATTTTTTTTCAATAAAGACGCGTGATTTGAAAAAGGAATGCAGTCAGTTTATGTAAGTTTAACGCTAAAGCCTGATTTATATATTGCCTTCCTCCCGTAAAACGAAAACCGTAGTGCTGTTTATAGATTACCGTACGGGAATCTATAAACAGCATTACGGTTTTCGTAACAATTGTTCATCTTTTTAAGTTATAAATATATAACTATATAAATACACAAAACATACATACAGTAAAAAAAGCAGTCAATAAAAACGATTAACTGAGAAACATAACCTCAATTATTAGACTGCATTCCTTATTTAAATGTCAAAATGGGACGTTTTGATGTAGGTAGTCTTTAACAAAAATTTTTTTGTGAATACTTTTCGTTATTAAGCTGTTTTAAATGTTTTAATAGTTTGTGTTTAAAATTGTTATTCCTGAAAATGTTGGCCTTTCAATATTTAAATTTGCATATAATATAATATTCTATTATTAGGACTGTGATAAAGTCAAGGTCCGAAAAAAATTAAAAAAATAAAATTTGATAACTGGCTACTGTTTGTTTGGTGAACATTGATTAGTAAATATTTAGTCCAATTGTTTTTGTTTTTCTATAGGACTTTTAAATTAAAACTTTGTTTTGTTGAGTTTGTTATTTAAGGTCATTAAAAATTGGGTTTCCTTAACAACACCAAGAATTTTTAACAAATTTAGAAAGGATGGTAACAGTTTGTTGGGCTAATTTTTTTCACATTTGACAATAATTGTATAAATACTAAATATTAAGGAATAAATCAAATTAACCTAATTTTTATTTAATAAGTATTTAACGTAATATATTAAATACTAAAAAATAATTAATTTAATTGTTTTAAATCCAGGGTTTGTCGGGCCAACAAATCTGAACTAACCATTGTGCACAATAAACGCAAATTATAATTTGCGACAAATTTATCCCAGATCAATATTTGTGTGGCAAAATAATCATTGAAAATCAAAAAATACAAAATTGCATTAATTAATTGTGGCTTTTTTATTTTAGCATTAGAAATGGTTGGACCGAAAAATAGAACCCTGGCGGGTACCATAATTCACATGTTTTTCTCTCTGGGTTACATGCTATTGGCTGTAATCGCCTATTACATAACAGAATGGAGAAGATTACAACTTGCACTTACACTACCAGGAGTCCTTTTCCTTTGCTATTGGTTGTAAGTACCAAACTTTAATATCTTTTTTCTTCAGATTAAGACATTATTTTTGTAGTATCATTCCAGAATCCACGCGGTGGTTGTTGAGCAAAAACCGTGTGAGCGAAGCCAAAAAATTGGTGAAATCGGCCGCAAAAGTGAACAAAGTCACCATCACCGAAGACGTTATGGACATATATTTAGTACCTGAGCATAAAGTACCTGAAGCCCACGAAAAACAAGCCTCCATCTTGGATATATTTAAGTACCCAAACTTGAGAAATCGCGCTCTAATTATTTTCTTTGATTGGTAAGAAAACATTCTATAATAAAAGTCATGTAAAATGAAACATATGTTATATACAGGTTGAGTTTTAAGTTGACGCGTTCCTTTTAACAGTGAGTAGAAATCAGCTAGACAAATAAATATTTTAAGTAACTTTTTTATCAAAACTCAAAAATAAAGAAGTTCTAGAGGCCGTATTACAGCCGGCAATTCTTTTGGCAATTGCAATGAAAATTGCCGTAGGCATGCGCGGTAGATACATTTCGACGAATCTCTTGCAATTGCCGAAAATCGGTCCGGATGGATTTTTATTGCCGTTTTACGGCAATTCTGGGGTGAAATCTGGTAACTTTTATGTTACCAACCCTACTACAAATTCCCTAGAGAAACGCTGTTTGGCTTAAACAGTTTAAGGTAATTTGTTTTATAATTGGCATTGGGTTCAAAGTTCTAGTATCCATTTCACTCATTAATTTTTAAATATCTCTACTAAATAACAAATAAACTTGGTGTTTACAAAGTCGTATATTTTTCTTCGGTTGGTAGCACGGTAATAAACAGCAAGTTTTCTTGCCATTGCTGACTGTAACAACATGCAAATTGCAATTTTTCTTGCAGCAATTTTTCTTGCCATCTAGTTTTCAAGGCCGTATTGCATGATGCAATACGGCCTTGAAAACTAGATGGCAAGAAAAATTGCTGCAAGAAGAATTGCCGGCTGTAATACGGCTTTAGCCCATCAAAGTTTAATTACATTTTAAGCCGGTCCTGGCTATTGTTAACGAAAAACATAACCATAAAAATATCAAAATAAACAATGCAAAATGTCATATTTGACAACAAACATAACCATTTAAATCAAATTGACATTTTGCAATAAAAAATGTCATTATTTACTTAAGTTGCAGCATTTGCATTTTGACGACACTCTCCATAAATTAGTAACATTTCCACTAATTCATTATTGCTATAATTATGAACCATTTTTAACAATAATTGAGGCATAAAAAACTGACATTTTTCATTGCTAAATGTCATTTTGATTTAAATGGTTATGTTTGTTGTCATAGATGACATTTTACATTGTTTATTTTGTTATTTTTATGGTTATGTTTTTTGTTAACAATAGCCAGGACCGGCTCAAAATTTAATTAAACTTGGAAGGCCTATAACTCTCATATTTTTGAGTTTTGTTAAAAAAGTAACTTAAAATATTTATTTGTTTATCTGATTTCTACACGCTGTTAAAAGGAACGCGTCAACTTAAAACTCACCCTGTATATATATTTTAATAAAGAACAATATTTATGAAGCAATTTCCCCTTTTTTCGTAAAGGCTGTCTCCTTTCTTTATAGGTTTGCTAATAATATAACCTACTATGGTTTATCCTGGAACACAAACAATCTAGCAGGGAATCCTTATTGGAACTTTGTAATATCCGGGGCGGTCGAGATACCCGCTTACACGTTTTTAATTTTGACCTTGAACCGATGGGGCAGGAAATTGGTCATGTGCGGCTGTATGATCCTAGCCGGCGTTGCTCTACTTTTGACAGCAATTCCACAAAGTAAACAATATGTTATTTTTTATTATGCCGCATTTAAAACAAAATAAATTGATTTGAATGATAAATATTATACAGAAAAAGATCATTTTTCGTACTATTATTGAAATACACTATTATTTAATATTTCTAGATCCTCAATGGCTCGTCATTACACTGGCTATGATCGGTAAACTTTCAATAACGGCCAGTTATGGGGCTGTCTATATTTTTTCGACTGAGCAGTTCCCAACTGTTATACGAAACGCTGGGCTTGGAGCTGGATCTACCTGTGCTAGATTGGGGTCCATTTTAGCCCCATATATAAATGTTCTAGTAAGTTTTTGATTTTTTTATATTCTTTTTATTCAAGAAATCATTACTTGAGATTTATGATTTTGGTACAAATGGGGTACCTAGTTAAATTTTTTCTGACCTATACTTTTTATGGTTTTATTCAAGGCGTTTTGTAATATTAAACATTTCTGTGAAATCAGAATTTCAATTGAGTTTACCGTTTTCCAGATATTTACAAAAAATATAAATTTTTATGACGTCACAAACCTCGCCATGTGACCAACATATGAATATGAATATGAATATGAATATTCTAAGATTTCTATTGGTTGAAAATTACCCTGTTGTCAAGTTGTCTTGTTAATGATTTCATTCGGTTATGTCAGAAAATACCCGAAGAGGTTATGTACAAATACTGTCACTGTCAGTTGAGTGAAATATGGTCACCAAATTCATTAAGTACCTATCTTCCTTATTACAAGGTATCATATTACTGTTTGATATTTTAGAGTCCAAGATATATCTAAAAGAATATAAAGAACTAGGCATTATACTAATGAAATGCATTTACGACAAAATATGATTATAATTATAGGTACTTACTTTATTTGTTTAAAAGCTTCAATGTTCAATGTAACCAACCATTCCACAAGATTCCTCTGCTTTGGAGTCCGTTATTAATAAATCACTTATCTAATATCAATTACAAATAACATAACAATAACATTGATTTTCAATAATCTAAATTTAAAAAAAACATAACCCGAAAAAAAGAAACGTCAAAAAATCAATTCTTCTTCTTCTTCTCAACTAAAATTATAGATGTGGTTTTAAAACTAAAATATTATAACGTGGCGCCATCTATCGTAAGAATCTTAAACTAAACACACTGGCAACCATAGAAAAAGCTGGCAATGTTGTCAATAGCCTAGTGACGTAATTAGGAGATTTTTTTTTGTAAATATCTCGAAAACGGTAAACTCAATTGAAATTCCGATTTCACAGAAATGTTTAAAATTACAAAACGCCTTGAATAAAACCATAAAAAGTATAGGTCAGAAAAAATTTAACTACCCCATTGTTTTTAACCATTTTCCAAATTAGAATTCTTGAATTAGAATTTTGTGTGTAGGTAAATATTGTATTATTTTCCAGAGCAAAGTATGGGTACCTTTACCCTTAATAACTTACGGCTTTTTGGCGTTATTCGGTGGTTGCCTATCTTTATTACTCCCAGAAACTTTGAACAAAAAACTACCGCAAACAATTGAAGAGGGCAACACGTTTGGAAGGTACACACAATCATTCGACTTCTAACCGTTTCTCTGTAATGTTTATTTTTTGTTTGCAGAAAAATTCGAGAGATTCCGGTGAATCCCGAGGAGGGCGTGGCCTTGAGCGCGAAACCGCTCGAAGGAAACGGCGAAGTGAAACCGGCCAATGGCGAGTGCAGCTGAACGTTTTAATTGTCAAAATAAGAATAAACTTTATGTAATTGTTGATACTTTTTTGCCGATTCCAGTGTATTTTAAAATGTACAATATTATTTTTTGTATTATTGTTTACTGTTTAGGATTTTATTATTATCAGTTAAGTTTTTAGGTTACACTGTGCCAAAGATTTATTTATGACTAAAACACTGAACCAGTGATGCTTAATTACCATTGTTTTAAAGATAATGGTCGAGATTTTAATAATTGATTTTATAGACATTTCTGTGAATATTTTACTGTTACATCACAATTTACTTTGCAGTATTTTATTAAAATAAGTCCAGTTTAATTACTTTTCTATCAAGTTGTTTTATTATTGTGCATTTACAATTTTATACCTATATTTTTAAATAAAATATTTCACAATTTTAATAGTGTACGTTTTTCTACCTTATTATCGCCGATTGTAAGAACATTTTTATCAAAAAACTATTGAAAAGGGTCCCATTGTAGCACTCCTAAAATAAAATTTAATTGTCAAATTTAGTGAATTTTCTTTATTGTTTGCTAAATATCCTGGGGAACGTTTCTTAAAATTTGCTACTACTTTTTATAAAAAGTGGTTTCCATCGGAAGTGATTAACCAATCAGAGCACAGTATTCTGTCGCAATCTAGTGTGCGGTGGAGAACATTCTTTTTCTATGGTGGAGAATGCCGCGTTCTGATTGGTTGAAGAGAATTTGCAAATCATGATTTCGCAAAAATTTGCAAGTCGCCATAAAAACAACTGTGAATGCCAAGTTGTCATTTTTCTATGCAATGGCGGTTGCATATGCTGAAAACAAAAGTTAAAAATAAAAAGCCCCCTGAATATTTCCTGTAATTTCCTAACCGCACAATAAAATTCAAAGACTGAATAAATGTGCGATTGGTTGATAGCGTGACGTCACTACGCATGGCCAGCGAATGACCTTCCCTATCAGAAAATCATCTCAAAGTCAGGTTAGATAATTTCTCCATAGGTTGGTTATAGTGTTTGCGACAATCTTGTGCTGTTTTTTTGTAGACCGAAAATGTTGCCTAGTTGCGTAAGATCCGTATGTAAGAAAGCAATCCCCAATAAAGTAAGTAACAGCGACTTATTGCGAACATTTTTAGACTAACCTGTTCAATTGTTCATCTTCACTGACATATTTAACGAAAATAAGAATAAACTCGCTAACATAATGGCTAGGAGGTACTCAGGGGGTATTATAAACGTAATTTTAACTCATAAAACCCACCATACAACAAACATTCTAACATGAGTATAATTTTTAGAAAGCATTGGGAATCTTGACTAAAAACAACTATGCCACCGAAGCAACCTTTGAAACTAAAGTAAGTGAACAAAGAAAAACATAAAATATCGCTACTCACCTGTTATTCTAGCCATACCGCCTCCACAAACTAGAAGAATCACCCTCAACGACAGTCACATTGACTAAAGAAGATGCCCTTAAATACTACGAACAACTGCACACCATCAGGAGGATGGAGACTTCAGCAGGCAACTTGTACAAGGAGAAAATCATCAGAGGCTTTTGCCATCTTTATTCTGGACAGGTAAATACAACACTTTAACCTCAAAACTGCCATATTACTTGTCATTTTGGGATTTGTGACTTTTAGCTGTCAAAATTGTCAATTTTGCATAGCCCTCTTCATGTTTAGACAATTTAATTTATAAATGGTTTTCTATACTTTTATCTGAATAAAACATAAATAAAATACGTTCTAATAAATGTTTTGTATTCAATGATATTCACATTTATATGCAATAATATTTATTTAGGAAGCTGTTGCTGTAGGCATCAAAGCCGCCTTGAGGCCACACGATGCCGTGATAACGGCTTACAGAGCCCACGGCTGGACCTACTTGATGGGTGTCACGCCAGAGGGCGTCCTGTGCGAACTCACCGGCAGGCAGCACGGTTGCTCCAGAGGCAAGGGAGGTTCGATGCACATGTACTGCAACAACTTTTACGGCGGTAATGGAATTGTCGGCGCGCAGATACCCCTGGGAGCCGGTATCGCCCTTGCAGCCAAATACAAAGGTATTATAATATAGCTTTGAATATATGTCCTAGAACTGCCTTAATTGTTCTAAAGTAACATTTATTACTCTATACGCTAAAGAAGTATCGATGGTAGCGCCACCACTCGGCTGTTATCATCGTAACAAAACTACAACTTTTAATAATCAGAAGATTATGTTACAAACAAATGTTTTTTAGAATAAAGGCGGAAAATGTTAAAAATGTTAAAAAATATCGGTTTTCCAATAAACAGTGTTAATCTGAATGAAGAAATAAATTGCATACAGTATGGCACGCCGTTTTAACATTTATTAAATAATTTTTAAAAATTTTATTGGTTTAAAATTGTCCTAACTAAAAATTTTAGGTTTACATTTATAAATTTATGATATTTTCAACTATCATGTATTGAAAGACAAAATTTACTAACCAACAGTTCACTTCTGTACTAAACAATATTATTTTCTATCAATTTTTGCTAAAATTTCTAACTATCATTTTTTAATAAAAATAATTTCTCAAGTATAATTTTTTTTTGGGTGGCATTTTGTTAATTTAAATAAATATTTTATAAAATTATTGAGATTAATTTGGTAAACTTAAAATTTTTAGTATTTAAAAATAGTATCAAGCCATTTAAAATAAAAACACATATATAAATGCCTGGTAGATTTGAGATGGAAAGGCCCCATAACAACTCATATTTCCGATTGGGGCTGATGATAATTGCGTTTTGTTAGGTACTGACGGGGTGTGCGTGTCGCTATACGGTGACGGCGCATCCAATCAGGGTCAAGCCTTCGAAGCCTACAACATTGCCAAGTTGCTGGACATTCCCGCCATCTTCGTGTGCGAAAACAACGGTTACGGCATGGGTACCAGTGCTGAACGTTCCTCGGCCAACACCGCTTTCTACACCCGCGGGGATTACGTTCCCGGCATCTGGGTCGACGGTATGGACGTTTTGGCCGTCAGGGAGGCTGCTCGGTACGCCGTGAACCACTGCTCAACCGGGAAGGGCCCGATTTTGTTGGAGTGCGCCACCTACAGGTACAATTTTTCTGTTTTAACGTTGGTAGAGGTTTAATCACAGGGTTCACAGCGAGTGCCCTAAAGTGCCCTATTTTTTTATCAATTTTTCGTTTATTTTTTAAATTGTGATATATAAAAATTTAAATGCTTGTAAATAAAATTTACACTAAATGTTAATTAAGTGCGAAAAATAGGGCATACAATCCTGGGACTTTCGGACAAAAAGTGGGATATTTCAAAAAAATAGGAAAGCAAAATTAATCACTTATTTAATTACATATCTACATCTTACAGTGGGAAATTTAAAAAAAAATCGGAAAGTAAAATTTATTACTTATTTAATTACATACATCTTACAGAACTGTAAGTTGTATGTAATTAAATAAGTGATTAATATTACTTAACTGTTGTTGTTCATATTTTTCCTTTATTTTCCAAATTGTTTATATAGAAAAGGGTTTCAAGTATTTAGTAATCATAAATTATTTAAAAAAAAAATGTTTTTTGTAATTTAAAAAAATCCCAAAAATCCCGGGATTTAAAAAATCCTAATTTTGTCCGGGATTGTATGCCCTAGTAATTAGGTATGTAAAAACAACGGTATAATTTGTTTATGTATAATATAAGGTAAATTATTCCAACAATTTCCTTAAATCGGCACTAATTTAGTGCCCTATGTTAAAAATAAAAGTGCCCTAAATTTTTGATTCATTCGCTGCGAACCCTGTAATCAGGGCTGGGTGCTCCCGTGTACGATTTTTGGTTCGTGCCGCGCATGACGTCACTTGATGAGTAGTTGCCGTGAGAATACACGAATAATAGTAATAATAGAAAATAGAGAAATACCTGGACATAGTGCGTTTTTATTAAACTTAACAAAGAAAGTGTTGTAATATGGATTATAGATGCTTTCAGTCCTTAATAACATTTAGGGCTGTAGTTTAAGCGTTGGTGTTTTAAATTAAACTTATAGTCACTGTCCAGAAAATGTTTATAGGAAACAGAAGCGGTCTTAACGTTAATATTGTCTATTCTTTTTTGTGGCATTTAACCACTGTTTGCACAAATCAAAGTTTTGAAATTTAATGTTTTTATTTAAAGGGTTTCTCTTGGACTGGTTGTCCGAATTGCATCCAAATATGCCACACCGCATTTTAATAAATGCAAATGGCACGACACAAACTGAAACACAAACAAAACAAGTAAACGCAACACAAAAACAATAATAAACAAACAGAACAGGTAAACACAACGCAATAACAATAATTTGAACACTGAAAAGTAATTCGAACCTTACCGAACGCAAAAATAAGAATTTTAGTAGCAGATAACGCACGTTAAAGATTTAAAAACACTCAACAAGTGACGTATTTAAGCCCCGCCCAACATGCGCACCATCCTATCTTAAGGTGTAGGTATGTTGAGGTTTAATAAATGTTTTAAAGGTATTCCGGCCACTCCATGTCGGATCCAGGCACGAGTTACCGCACCAGAGACGAAATTCAGGAGGTTAGACAGACTAGGGACCCCATTACGTCGTTCAAAGAAAAAATTACATCGACAAATTTGGTCGCCAACGACGAGATAAAGAAGATTGAAAGTGAAATTAGGCAGATAGTTGATGAGGCCACAAAGAAGGCCAAATCCGATAAGGAAATCGGTTTGGACGAATTAACCGCCGATATATGCTCGGAATTTTTGGAAGGTTCAGTAAGAAACATCGATGTCTTTTCCCCACTGCCGCACAAGAACATTGGCCCTGCCGTCAACAAGTAATTTTGTCAATAAAAACACTGCATTTTGCTGGCTGTAACATAAGATAATACGAAGTGTATAAAATTTTATCATATTTATTATTATAATTTACAAGTTACCACACAAAAGAGTTTTATTTAATACTATCTAAATACCTATCCCAGCAAACACATAAGTCTAATTATGTAATGACCCATTACAGAGTTTCATGGCTTAATTATGGCATTTTTAGCCAAAGCTTCCCTTGTACTGAGCCTTGTTGGACATATTTTAATAAAAATATTCATTTTGATAAAAGACTGTCGTGATAAGGTTATGGCCCTTTTCAGGTTAATATTTGTGTATTTTACCAAAAAAGACCCATATATGGCAATTTTCAATATCAAGTTAAAGTCCCATTAACTTGATATTGAAAATTGCCATATATGGATACCTAATAATCTTCGCTTTGAAAAGAATTTATATAAAAGAAATTAAAATTTTTTGTGAACGTAAAGGTTGTCCAATGGTGAATAATGTGAAAATAATCTGTTATGTAATATTTATAAAACCAAATTCGTTACTTTTTTACTCCAAAAATATTCATAAGGCGATGTATACTTTTTCTTCCATTGTGGCATTTGGCATAATTTCATCAAAATAAAGTTTTGCCCTCAAAAGGGCTTTTACATTCGAATTCGTTGCTATTATAATACATTATATATAAAATATATTTTTGCCATAATTATCTTTTTATTTATAATTGACAAGTAAATTATCAATAATAAATATTATTGTCAATTTGACAGTGTCGAAGTATTTAATTAAATTCTTTAGCAGAAGTACCATTTTTAAATACTAAAAATACCAAGTCAAACTGGCATAAGCCACCAACCTAACAAAAAAACACGAGTCCTGATAAAAAAAATGAACTGTACGATCGTACGATCGTTTACAATTTACAATATTGTATCCCTTATGTATAGTCTGTACATAAGGGATACAATATTGTAAATTGTAAACGATCGTTGCTGAAAAAAAAAGAAAAATGTACTTACTTTTTAAAATAATAATTAATATTACGTTCAACCCTAGAAGTTTTTTTTCTAAGCGTTCAGCCGACCTGATTCTTAATAAAAATTATGTCAACGTACAAAATTTTGCTTAAATGGGATTTCTACGCAAAGACAATACAAAATTCAAACGCAAGCATTTGTTTGCGACTCACCCCTGTAAAATCTTTATTTATTGTGCGAATCGCACAGTGCGATTTTAATCGGATTCGTTTTAAAGTGTAGATCTTGATAAACTGTATTTTTGGAGCAAAAAACGCCGTATTTGTACAAAATACAAGGACCACTATGTCAGTTTTTAAGAGTACATTTTTAGGAATTCATATTAGCGATTTTTTTAAACAAAATCAAAACGACTATATACTAAATTTTGTTGAAAAATTTTAAGTAGAAAAATGCACAATAATAACTACAAAAATTTGTAAAGTTATCCATGAAAAAAACATTAGTTTAATTTTATTTAATTGTTTTTTTTCATGGATAATTTGACAGAATAAATTTTTGTAGTTATTATTGTGCATTTCCGGACCTACGTTTACCTATTTAAACTTTTTTCTTATTTTTGGATGACGACTGACGTATGTATATTTGCATATGGAATTTAGTGATAATGAAAACGAGGAGAAATAATTTTAATTTTATTTATTTATACAAACCGTATTTATTAATTTACTAGTATCACTTTGGAGGCGTTATTTACGCCAACTTTTTCCTTAAATCTATATAACGCAAGCAATAATTTATAGCTTGAAGCAAAACCCCGGTGGTGGATTCTAAAATTAACATTTCGTTAGTCAGTATCAGGGTTCAATAAAATTATTTACTTACCACTTTTCAAGGATTCCAGCCACATAACCGTCTCATTTAAAAGCCCTTTCTTCCTAAAATTCTTACAAATCTTCCCAATCAAAACCAAAACGGTCGCCTTGTAATTCTCACTTGGTATTTTGTGTACCAAAGGCTTAAAATGTTTGTCCAACTTGTCCAAAACCCACTGGTCTGATTGGTGCTTACAGAAAAGTATTATAGATAAGTCCGTATTTCTCGAGGGATTTCCTATGAATAAATATGTTAATTTTTATTCTACAAAATAGTTTTTGAATATTACCAATGTAACTGTTAAAAATATCCTTAAAAACTGCATTACAATCCTGCCTCTCCTTGGGATAGCCATAAAAATAATGCAAAAGATCTCTTAAAGGGCACAAATTAAAACCAGGGGTGTTGCAAACTTTCAACTGAACCAACTGGACTAAAACCTTTGCCATGGGGCAATCTAAAATATACTTAGATACACTTTAAAACAGAAAAATGTAATTCACGTACCGTTTGATGCCTCATGTTTTGGCAAAACTTGCGTCCAGGAGGTCAAAACGTTGAAAAACACCGGCACAGCTAAATCTTCCATGAAATAAAAACACTCGCAGCAAAACTTCCTTATTCTGTCCATGTCCTTGCGGGCCTTGCATATCGCTATGTACATCCTGGACAGAGGATTGGCTTGTTGGACGTCTGCCACTTTGGAAAACATGACGATTTCGGTTTTCTTCAAGAAGTGCTCCTGAACGCTCTCGCATAGGGTTTTGTCCAGGCGCACCATGAAGCCAAAGAGAACCATTTGAGTTTCCGTTAGGGGGGGCGCGTAGTTGTTGTGGGTGTTGGAAGGCTTGTCGTAGATGTCTCTGGAGGCGATCTCAAGAACCAACCTTTATAAGGGGAAATTAAAGATTTTTACAAAATGAAACCAGCAATTTTTATTAAAACCCCGATTTGTATAATCGTTTACCAGACAACTTAAAAAATCTTCAATCGAAAAAATTCAAAATAAAAGTTAAAGAACTTATTTTAAAACATTGTTTTTACTCAGTAGAAGACTTTCTAAACTGTAAATTTTAAAAATGTGTTGTGCTACCCTGTATAACCCTGTATTACCTTATTTTTTTTGTATTTTTTTTATTTTTAGTAATGTTTTTAATCTTTTAGATTTTAAATTGTTGTGTTACATATTTATTTCTATATGTAATATTTTGAGACTTGTCAAAAACATTGTATGTAACTTGATCAAATAAACATTATTATTATTATTATTATGATACACGAAAACTAGACCCGCGCATGTGCGAACCAGATTCAAATGTTACAAACAGTTTTGCATAGGCATACGCTATGCACGGGTGTTTAGCTACGATTTATTTTGATTTTTTTAATTTTTATTGTGTTTTTAAAGCTTTGAGGCAATATTACTCAATTTAAGTAAATATTTTGTTAAATTAACCTCAAAAATTGACTTTTTAGTAAAACTTTTTTTAAAGTTATTTAATAAGTTTTATTTATGTTATTTTACCTATTTTAATTAACGCTTAAGTTTCAACACTTTATGGTATATATATATATATATATATATATATATATGTATGGTATTTTTTAGGGTTATTAGTGGTAATAAATAGTATTAATATTGACTTAACAAGGAAAAATAAGGTTAAAGTGAAAAATAATTTTTTTTTTCGGTCGCCCTAATGAGTTTTTTAAGATGGCATCCCTTACTTATCTAAACATTTATATAATATTTTTTCATAAATATTTTTCTAAAATATAATAAGGAAAGTTTTAGTTAAGTATTAAAAAATGATTAAAACTAAATGATTTTTAAAGGATTTTATAAAATTTTGTAGGTTTTAAGTTTTGTTGAATTTTTACCCAAACAATAATTTTTCTTAAAACCGTAAAATATTTAGAGGGCGTATAATTTTTAAGACGTATCGTGCCTATTTTTATCAATAAAATAATGTGCGCTTGAGTTTTAATGCAAAATATTATTAGTTTTGACAATTTAAGTTATATTTTTTAATTTTACTCTAGGGTGGTCTTTATTACTTTGTAAGTACCATTTTGTAAAATATAAATTAAAAGAACAGAGACATTACGAATGTCAATATTTTAGAAAGAGAGAGCAAACAGTTAGTAATTATTGCGTTATTTTTACGTAAATTTGTGGTATTTATATTGTTTTTATTACGTTATTCTCTTAGTACATCAAAAAGGTTATTATGTAGGTAAAATAACGAAATAAATCATTCCCCAAATTTGGTAATTTTTCGTATCGTTTCGTTACAAAACCGTTTTGGTTAACCGTAAAAAATACTTTAAAGTTGACTTGAAAGTAAATTTTTAGTTATTTAAACTTAAAATGCTGCTTGGGTTGTGTTGTTTGACTTAAGAACTATTTAAAATATTTACATGAAAAGTATCACACTGCTCTTATAAATATAAGAGCAACATTTACAACAACATTTTTAAAATAAACATGCAATGGACTGTAAATATTTTAAAAATATTTCCAGATATTTTTGTAATGTTGAGGAAACATTAATAAAATATAAGGTAATGTATCTAAAAGATTTAAAAAAATGTTTTAAAAATGTTGTATAAATATAAAAAGTGGGACATCTAAATGCTGTAAAAACATTTTAGAGGCATTTAAATGATAATGATTCAATATTTTAAATATATTTTTGTGTTATGTAGACTTACTGCGCAATATATTCCGGTTCCTCTGAAATAAATTGGCTCACAACCTCCTCAACCACTTTTTTTTCTTTGGAAAAGTTGATTAGTTTTTTGAACAGGAGGTCAACCTTGCCTAAAAAACATAAACAATAAAACACGGCACAACGAAAATATTAAATACTTACAAAGCGTCATTTTGGGAGGCTTCTCCAACGGTATAATCTTGGGGTCCTCGCAACTCGTCATCACTTCCGGTTCCGGTGATCTCAAGGAATCCCTTGAATCATCATTGTTTTTAATGCTACTGTTCGCAGATGGTTGTTGATTTGGAGATAAGGGAGTATCTACTTTATCAACATTATTATTCAATGGTAATTCTTCTGTAAGCATTGGAGTAGTGGAGGTTTTGGTGTTTTTCATCATTGACATAATTTCTCCCACTTTATCTACCGATTCCTTCTTTAAAACTGAAGGTGTGGGCTTTGAGAATATATTTTGTGCAACTGGTAGTTCTTTTTGCACAACTTCCGGGACTTTATGGACAACTTCCGGTGTTTCGTCATTGTCAATCATCTTCAAATAACTGCTAACCATGCGAGCTGATCTCCTCGGCTTACGTTGATTTGGACTAGTTTCACTTGTATTTTGTACATTCTTAAAATTACTATCACAATTGTCTTCCTTATTATTAATTGTTTCTATTGTATTACTATCAGAATTAATTTCTAATATTTCCTTATTTACTAATGTACTTCTAGGTCGACCCCGCTTCTTAGGGATGCTGTCCCCTACACTGGTACATTTTCTTTTGCCTCTAAGTCTTTCCAAAAGGCTTGATCTTGATGATTTTTTCTTTAAAGTACTTCTTGCTGCCCCCTTTTTAACTTCTTCTGTATTTCCCACATCATCCAGAGATTCGTTTGAAGAAAAAACGGCACTGTTACGACTTAATCTGACGGGTTTAATCTTCAATGGTCTTACATCTTCAACATCCAAATCTTGTTCAATCGTGTTTGTTGCTAAAGGAATTATTGGCGGCGTAGTTTCACTAAAGGAGAGTTTCTTACTAGGGCGCATTTTTGTTGGTGAGCCTTTCTTCAATATTGACTCCCTTTCATTTAAGGGGCTTAACAACGGTAGTGCGGAATACTTGGAGAAAATGTTTAATGGACTTATTGAGCCTTCACAATCTGCGCTTGGTGAAGATTCTTTATTGTTTTGTGGGAAAGACAGTCTTTCTTTTATTGCTTCTTTTTCATTTGGTGGTGAAGATGATATTAAATTATTTTCTTGGGTTGATCTTTTTTCTGTTGTCAATTTATTTGGCGTTGATGTAACTTTTTTGCCAATTTTCCTTACAGGACTTGCAATTCTGGACAAATTTTTGATACCAGTGGCATTATTTTTATTGGAAATTTCAAATATGGAACTCAATTGTTTCTCAAACAATTCTTTCATTTCCTGCCTTTTTTCGTAGTTGTATTCTCTTAATTTGACGTTTTCACTGGCCAAATCGATCAATTTCTGCAACTCTTCACTGTCCACGTCCAAACTTTCCTTTTCAGCTTTCTCAATGCTGTTGGCTTTCTGTAGAATATCGGTGAGGTAGTGAATCTTTTTATTCTCCTCGAGAGGTAACATTTGCCTCTCATTTTTGACGTTGAAAAATCCCAGCAACTGCTCCCCATCTTTCGTTTTATCGATGAGCATGAACGGAGTTCTGTCGGTTTGGCATTCCTTCAAGCAGCACTCGCTTTTTACGATGCGGCAGTCGCGCTCCCTCTTGAAACGCGCGGATTTCTGAACGCAGTGCATGCTCGGGTCGCATCGGCAGTTCTCGCTGGATATCGTGAAGCTCATGTTCGACTTTTTCAGGGCCAACATGGCGTCTAGGACGATGTCGCGCGGTTGGTGCGCGCAGCTTGCGCGCATGCGCCTCTTGCGATTGTTTTGGCCTCTTAGATGCACGTTCTTGATTCGGAACTCGTTGTAGTTGTTGAAATGCGACAGTAGCCTGCGTTTTTTCCTTAACAAGAGGGATCGCTTTTGTTTTTGGTCCCGCCAAAGTTTTCTTTTTTCCGATGTTTTATCGGTGTTTTGTTGAGTCGTTTCATGCTCAATTTCTGTAGTATTTTCGTCATGAATTTCGGTAATTATTTCTTTTTGGATTACAGACATTGAACTTTCGTTATCATGGTCTGAATTTAAAGTTTCTAAATTTGTAAGTTCTTCTATATCATTTGGAAGATTTTCAAAGTAACTTTCTGAAAAAAATATATAGGAGAACTTTATTACTATTTATTTTTTTCAGTGAAAGTTGGGAGCTAAATAAACCAAATAAAGAACATAATAATAATGTTTTAAAAGAATTACTAATTAAAAATCATTGTAAATTTATTTAATTAAATTAATTACAATGCATTTAAAACAGATTTAAAATTGATTTTATGTTTTATTATTTTAAGACCGCATATTTAATAACATAAATATGTTCCAATGACATTCCAAAAATAAAAAGTTTAAATTTGTTAATGAATTAATTTTTAGTTTAAATTTTAGAATTGTCTAGTATGACACGCCATTTCACTTTTTAATTGTAAATATTTTAGATGTAAAAGAAAATTGAAGTAGGTTGTTTTAAATTTTGGAATATATAATTTTTTATAATTTTAATTATGTCTGACATAATAATTATTAAATAAAATTATATCAAGCATAAATTTAATTCACATTTTACATATTATTTTGTTAGTTCAATTAATATTTGCGTCATTTAAATTTGGTCCATTTTTATTTTGTGTAAGGTTCTCTATTTTTTTAATTTGAAATTTATATTGGAAATATTGTTAGACTAAAAACATTGTTGAATTTTTTTTTTCAAACAAGAATTTTAAACTACTTTGGAGTTTCTTATTTATAACTCGACAATCATTTTTATTTTAGAAATAATTTAATTTGTACACGTATTAATACTTCTAATAAAAAATTATACAATTAATTTTATCTGTAGGTAAAGTTCTTTTTTTTATCTGGACTGCGGCAACGTTGCAAATTTAGGGTTTTGGTTGGTAGATACAGTTGTCAAGTTGGTCGCATTGATTAAAACAAACTAAGCTAGTTATAAATCTAATTGTGGTTATGTATAAATTATTGTAGGTTACATTGTGCAGTTGTCAAGTTGAGTTGTCGAAATTCGTAGTTAAAAATGCAATTAATTTGGCTTTGGTGGTGCTTGGATGAGTAAAATCATATAAAAAAAAGTAGTTAAATATAGGTTGCTTTACGGCCCAGAAGAGAAAGTATTCCTAGCGGATAATAATCTTCGCTTTGAAAAGAATTTATATAAAAGAAATTAAAATTTTTTGTGAACGTAAATGTTGTCCAATGGTGAATAATGCGAAAATAATGTGTGATGTAATATTTATAAAACCAAATTCGTTACTTTTTTACTCCAAAAATGTCCATAAGGCGATGTACTTTTTCTTCTATTGTGGCATTTGGCATAATTTCATCAAAATGAAGTTTTGCCCTCAAAGGGGCTTTTACATTCGAATTCGTTGCTACTAATTTTGGCGTAATTATCTTTTTATTTATAATTGACAAGTAAATTATCGTATATAATACCACTAGTGGTAAAATTTTACCGATAAAATTTTTGATTTTTATACGAATGTTTTTTTCTTGGAAATTTCGCAAGTGGCATTAATTTTTAAGACCACGAGCCGCTAGGCGAGTGGTTTGAAGTTAATGCCACGAGCGAAATTTCCAAGGAAAAATCTTGAGTAAATAAAAATCAAAAATTTTTTCAGGGAAAATTTTATCACGAGTGGTATTCGGCAAGACTATTTCACGAATATTTTTAACTGCTGATTTAATTTCTGTATGATTTTTTGGACCAAAACGCATATTTTTTAACATTTTAATTTTAAAATTAAAAACGTCAACAGTGACAATTATTTTTATCATAGCAACCAATTGGTTGTTATGCAACTTGTATAAACGAGTGGTTTTTTCACCTGAATAGTAGTTTTATCGCTGCAAAACTGAAAAAACCACTCGTTTTCTGAAATCTGATTGGTCCAAAAAGTAATGAGTGGAATAGTCGTAAGTAATATCATAAGGGCATTTAATTTTTCCGAAAAGAATCGAAAAAACACGTTGCTAAGTAATATTTTAACAAAAAGCATGAGTGCTGGTGGCAACAAAAATCCGAGTCGAAGAGGAGGATTTTTGCACCTGCACGAATGCATTTTGTTAAAAAATATTACTTAGCATTGTGTTTTTTCGATTTTTTTCACAGGAAAAATTAGATGCCCGAATGGTATTTGACAAGACTATTTCATGAGTAACAGTTAACAATTAAAATATAAATTGCAATTTTTGGTGACAACAGCTGTCAAGTTTTGCCGCGGGTAAACTCGAATAAACTGCTGACAGGTGCTGTCACACAGTTTTTTCACCTAGAAACCATTTGTAATTCAAAAATGCGCGTTTGTGATTGGTGGATATTAAGACGAGGGAAATAGTCAATAGTAAATATTATTGTCAATTTGACAGTGTCAAAGAATTTAATTAAATTCTTTAGCAGAAGTACCATTTTTAAATACTAAAAATACCAAGTCAAACTGGCATAAGCCACCAACCTAACAAAAAAACACGAGTCCAGATAAAAAAAGAACTGTACACATAAACATAAAATTAATTTGGCGCTTTGGGAATGCGGCAAGAAGTGGCAACTGCAGTAGTTCAAATGCGTAGTAGGTATTTATGCGTAAATTATCTAGGTCAACTTTGGCGCCAATATGCCGAAAAATTCGGGGCTTGTTCTTCTATTTATATAATTATAGAAATTATTTTTATGAATATAAATTAAAACTAGAAGGTTCTAGTTTTGTTATATAATGATATGCATTAATTTTATGTGTACCACACATAAAATTAATTGTATTATTTTTTTATTAAAATTAAAAATATTGCACCTAAAAGAATTAGGTACATTAAATAAATAATTCAAAATCTTAGATAGGTATATATTATGTATATAGATATACATTTTATCTGATAGTCTGAGAAAAAAAAATAGATAAATATTAAAATTGCATAAATAATATTGTGGAATTTAATTTTAAAATAAATAATATTTTTGAAACTTACCCTTGAGAGGACTTAATTTTTCTGGTACATTCATATCAAATAACATTTTATACAAGCAGTCTAAATCATGAACTAAAAACTCAGTTTGGACTGCAGAATTTTTAACTTCTTGTGACAAAGTTTCTGTTACCATCATTTTCGTCTGGGGATCCATTTTATTATTTTGTGATTTTAAATTATTATTTTCATCTACCAACATTTGTACCTCAAGTTCCAAACAATTCAGCTGATTTTTTAATTCTCCACACTGTGTACATTCAGTGATTTTTGGTTTCTTTGGTGAATTAACCTTCTAAAAAATAAATAAATATTAATTATACAAATAATCATAAATTAAAATATAGTAAACCTTTAATTTAATTATTTTAGATTGAAACTGATTCTTTTGGTCCTTTAAATCTGACTCAATCTGATTGATTTGCTGTTTTAACTCTGCTTGAACTAAATTGGCCTCCAACTTTAACGACTCCATTTCAGTTTTTAATTTTTCATTATCCAAAGTGAGTTTATATATTTTTTTCTGTAGCTCATTTTCCTTTGCTTTCAAATCTTTAATAATTTTGCCATTATTGTCGATATCTTGTGCAATTGGATCTAATGATTGAACTATTTTATTGTCTTTATTTATAAGAATATCTTGTTGGATTATTATTTTGGGGGGGTCCTTTTTGGGGTTTTTATGAGTGTCTAGTAACCTTAACCTTTCATTCTCTACAGTTAAACTATTAACTTGCCGTTTTTGAGCTGTTAATTGATTTTTATAAGTAGAACATTTTTCTTTCAATTCGGCTAACTTCAGTTCTAGGTTCATCTGCTGTTCATTTTTCAAATCTTGAATTTGTGTCTGGTTGTTAACAATGTGCTGTGAGTATTTTTTCTCTAAACTATTCCACTCAATTTGGAGGGAATCCCTTTGCTCAGTTAATTTTGCTGTATCAGCTTTTAATGTTGTGTAATTAAATTTTAGCCTCTCATTTTCTATTTTCAGTAGATCATTATCATTTGTAAGGTTTTTGTTTTTTGATTTACAAACTTTATAAAGTGGCTTAAGCTCTTCCAGTTCATTGCTAACAGTTGCAAACATTTGCAACAACTCACTAGTAAATAAAGATAACAAAGTCAGTTTATTTATTAACTAGCAATCAATATTTTATTTGGTACTTACTCAGTCCTGATAATTTTTTCTTTGGTCACTGAAAAACTAACTTTTGAACTCATTTTTCTACAAAACTACACCACATTTACATCTCAACTATATTAAATGTAATTAAGCAGTTTACACTGACGTTTTAAATCGTAAATTTTTAATAAACGTGCATACTTTAGTTAAAAGAACTTATAAACAATACCATGAAAACGTTCTTACACGTTTTAGAGGTTATACATAACTAACCTAAAAATGTATAACACCGACTGGTAGGCAACCCAGATAAGTTGTATTGGATAATTAGTCTGGTTATAGGCAACCCATTGTTGAAATCCATCCCTTTATGGTTTTCTATGTTGAAATGTTTATCTAATCCAAGAAGATTCACCAGTTATCTAATCATCTATTTTTTCTTCTTCGAGAATTTTTATGTAATTTATCGAAAATTGTGGTAAATCATTAGAATTATTGGATTAGAGCACAATGTTAAATTTGGAAAAAAATAAAGCAGTGTTCACAGCAACACCGGCGGATACTTAAAATTTTGCTAAACCGCCGCGGCGATACCTTAAAAAACATTATTAAACCGTCAGTTTTTATTATTTTCGCGCCCAGTTATTTAAGTTCATTTCACTGGTTCTGTGTAGGGTTTAGGTGTCTCTGGTGTTTAGTTTTCTAGGTTATGTTGGGCATGGTGTATATGTATTTATATTAATATATCAAGCCTTATATATAAGTGAAAAATGGAAGATATTGTGGATGTTCCTTTGGGGATAAAAGAAGGGGACATATTTGCAACACTAGAAGATGTCGAAAAGACTTTAAAAGATGTCACCAAACTTAACTATGTGCAATTCTACAAACGGGAATCAAGAACGATTGCGGCGGCAGCACAAAAAACCAAAAGGTACATGGACCCACGTCTAAAATACTATCAGGTGGCATGGACCTGTGTCCATGGGGGAAGAAAGTACAAACGTCGTGGCAAGGGAATTCGTCAGACGAAGTAAATATAACAAAAATTAATATTTTAAAACTCATAATCTTTTTTTTAGTACTTTAAAACATAAACAACTATGTCCGGCTCAAGTCAGGATAAAAGTTTCTTCGTCTGGAGATGACTTTGTTGTTGTTGCCGTGAACAATAAGCATAACCACAAAGTTTGTAAAGTAAGACCTAAATTCAATTAATTTTTTTTTACTTTAATTTAAGTGAAGTAAGAAAATTTCTTATATCCTACAGTTCATTTTTTTTATCTGGACTTGTGTTTTTTTGTTAGGTTGGTGGCTTATGCCAGTTTGACTTAGTATTTTTAGTATTTTAAAATGGTACTTCAACTAAATTTAAGAATTTAATTAAATACTTTGACACTGTCAAATTGACAATAATATATATTATTGATAATTTACTTGTCAATTATAAATAAAAAGATAATTATGCCAAAAATAATAGCAACGAATTCGAATGTAAAAGCCCTTTTGAGGGCAAAACTTCATTTTGATGAAATTATGCCAAATTTCACAATGGAAGAAAAAATACATCGCCTTATGGACATTTTTGGAGTAAATATTACATCACACATTATTTTCACATTATTAACCATTGGACAACATTTACGTTCACAATTGACAATTGTCAAGTTGGTCGCATTGATTAAAACAAACTAAGCTAGTTATAAATCTAATTGCGGTTATGTATAAATTATTGTAGGTTACATTGTGCAGTTGTCAAGTTGAGTTGTCGAAATTCGTAGTTAAAAATGCAATTAATTTGGCTTTGGTGATGCTTGGATGAGTAAAATCATATAAAAAAAGTAGTTAAATATAGGTTGCTTTACGGCCCAGTATTCCTAATGGATAATAATCTTCGCTTTGAAAAGAATTTATATTAAAGAAATTAAATTTTTTTAACTGTATTTACCAACCAAAACCCTAAACTTGCAACGTTGCCGCAGTCCAGATAAAAAAAATGAACTTTACCTACTATATATAGTACTATAGTACTATAGTACTACTATAGTACTATAGTAGGTAAAGTTCATTTTTTTTATCTGGACTGCGGCAAGTTTAGGGTTTTGGTTGGTAAATACAGTTGTCAAGTTGGTCGCATTGATTAAAACAAACTAAGCTAGTTATAAATTATAATTGACAAAACTTTTATAAATTTAGTTGTAAGTAGTTTTTAGTTGTAGTTTTATAAAAAATTAGGAGTTTATTGTTGAGTTTAAAGTATTGTATATGTTATTTTTTTGTTGATTTAATTTTATTTTATTCTGAATGAAGTTTTGTTATTGATTATTTAAAAAGTTGGCAACAGGGTTTTACGGGCTGAAGTTAGTGTTAAGTTAGTTCAGTTGTCAAATGGAAATTATTTTATTAATAAAAACCTAAAAGTATTATCTTTACTTTCACTGTGTAAAACTGATTCTATATTAGATTTAAACGGTTGTTGGTCCATTTTCAAGGGATAAAATTTGATTTACACATACAAATTTTACATTTTGTCCAGGTGCGAGATTTCCAAGTTTACTCTATTATTTTATAGATGTTGTTTTATAAAAATATTTAATTTAAATCATTTGTTAGATTATATTAAGTATTTGTCGTAAAAAAAGTATAGTATACTCGTTTTCTAGACACTCGTTTAATTAAACACTAGCTCGCAAGCTCGCCTAATTGAAATTCGTGACTAACCACAGACTAACAGCGTTTATGAAACTTGATACATAATATATATATTTAACAGAATGTGAAAATGTGTGATGTAATATTTATAAAACCAAATTCGTTACTTTTTAACTCCAAAAATGTCCAAAGGCGATGTACTTTTTCTTCCATTGTGGCATTTGGTATAATTTCATCAAAATGAAGTTTAGCCCTCAAAAGGGCTTTTACATTCGAATTCGTTGCTATTATTTTTGGCATAATTATCTTTTTATTTATAATTGACAAGTAAATTATCAATAATAAATATTATTGTGAATTTGACAGTGTCAAAGTACCATTTTTAAATACTAAAAATACTAAGTCAAACTGGCATAAGCCACCAACCTAACAAAAAAACAGTCCAGATAAAAAAAAAATTAACTTTATAAACTATAAAATATTTACGCTGTCCTCAATTTACTCAAATTTTTTAGTATCCATGACCTAAACATTTCTCAGTGTATTAAAATATTTATGGAATATTTGCAGAACCTATTTGAGTCATTGCCACGCCAAAAAAAGTTACCTGGTAAAATCAAAGAAAGTGCGAAATTAAGGCTAGGAGATAAACTGCAAAGAAAGCTGGTTAAAAAAAAAACTCTAAAAGATCTTACCAACTTGCAGAGCCAAAACAAATTGGAAAACAACAACAATATTAGAGAAGCTTGTGAGAAGATAAATTCAAAGTTTGGTTAGTTTCAGATATACCTACCTATACCTTCGACATTTAATACTTTTATTCTTTTGTAGATGCTAAAAGTCACTTGCTGAATGATGAAAATAATGTGTTTAAAGGGGTGATGTTTTCCACTAAAGCTATGAAGACAGCCATGGCTGCATACCCAGAAATCCTATGCATTGATGCCACATTTACACTATCAAGCATACAAGCCCATGTTTTCCTAATTTTAAACGAAGATGGAAATGGGGAGAGTGTTGTGGTAGCTGTGGGTATCTTGGTAAGTAAAGATGAAGAAAGTCTTAGATGTTTTCTTAACAATTTCAAAATGGAAAATTCGAATTGGACCAGGACAAGAACAATAATGGCTGATAAAGAACTGGTGGGAAGAAGTGTAATCACGGAATGCTTTCCAAAAGCACGTTTGAAAATATGTATTTTCCATGCCTTAAAAATATTTCAAACGGAAATTACCTGCAAAATATTTCAGATTACAGAGAAAGAGAAAAAAACAGTTCTTGAATATTTACAAAAGTTGGTGTATACCAAAAAGTATGGAGTTTTTCTAAAGACAATTAAAGATATGAAAAGTGAAATTCCTAGAGAAGTGTTTCAGTATTTGGATAATAACTGGCTAAACATTAGAGATGAATGGCATTTAGGTGCCCAACATAATAATTTTTTAAGTACTACAAACAGCATTATTGAATGTATTAAATCCAAGTTGAAGCAAGTAATAATTATGCACAGCTCAATTGGGGAATTTTTAGAAAAATTATTTACTACTTTAAAATTCCTGGAAGATGAACAAAACAAGAGATTGGCAAATTCTTTAAATAAAAGACCCACAATTCTCCCTGAAGCGGATAGTGCAGAGTACAAATATCAACAATTGATGACACCCTATTCATTCTTAAAAATGAAGAAGCAGCTCACAGAGATGCGTTTATTTAAAGTAAGTGTTATTATCGATGAAACGTTTTTGTGCTACTACTCGCCAAGCTCTACTTCCGAAACTTCCAACACCATTTCCGAATTCTGCACCACCATCAAAACTTGCCCTTGTTGTTTTTATGAATCCATGCGTCTACCATGCAGACATATTTTTGCTGTAAGGCAGCATGTCGGCGAAGATTTATACGACGAAAATTTAATACCCGAAAGGTGGAAAAAGCAATATTTGATGCGAAATAACTCATTCCTCAAAGACATTAGTTCTGATAAATGTAATGAAGATCAATCAATCAACAATATTGTGGTGAAAACGTTTAATGGTAAACCAAGAAAAGTTTTGAGTGAGCAAGAAAAATGCACTCTTTTACTTTCTAAATGTAAGATGGCAGCATCATTAGGCGCTAAGGCTCAAGGCTCCAATTTCATAAGGGTAGTTGGTCTGTTTGATAATATCGCCAAAATGCTTCAAAGTAACATCTACGATTTTCAATTTACCTATGCAAATGATGATGCTACTAAAGGGTTCAGAAGCACTGAAGAGCTTCATCTTGGAAGGGAATGTGAGATAAGTAATGAAATGGAAATTGAAGAGCCCAATACTTATCAAAACTCAGACTGTGATGAAGATATACCTAATACGACAAACTGTAACAAAGAAACAACAATAGTTAATAGAGAAACAGATGTTGAAGAGCTTCATCTTGGAAGAGAATTTGTGATAAGTAATGAAATGGAATACTTACAAAAATTTGCCTGTGATGAAGAAACACAACCTGAAAGCCTCATGTAGAATGCGTCATCAAAAGACGAACATGTTTCCATTAATTTAGGTTATCTTGATAGATAATATGATATTTAATATACTTATATTTCTATAATTGGTTATTTACTTAATCCAGAGTCTTACCCTCACTGAATATTTATACTTGCAGCTGTTCAATGTTTGTAAAAGTTCCGCCGCGGTGGTACAAAAAAGTTTTTATGGTTCCGTCGGAGGTGCAGTAGGCACTGACAATATTGTTCCGCCGGAGGTGCAGTAGGCACTGCCAATTTTTTTTCTTCGTATTTTAGGATTATACTGCCCTGCTAAGCTTAAAGGTCCTATCTGCAATATTAAGTAGTAAAGGACAAAACATATATATAGCTATTAATATATACACTTATCAACATTTATATTGCATCACCCAAATTTCAAACGATACTACTGACTAAATAATAATTTTACTTTAACCGAAAGTATCTCAAGGTTATTAATTGACAATGTTTTTTGTTCTTTTTTAACCACAGTTTGAACTAAAAGTATAAACATAAAATATACAGTTCTAAATTAAGAAATACAGGGTGATGCAGTATAAAAGTTGATGAGTGTATTAATAGCTTGCGCCATGTTTTATAACTAATAAATCATACCGTATTTTCACGCCTTAAAAGGGAGTGGGGGGAATCCCCACTACGAATAATTTAAAACACAACAAAAAATAAATAAGTTTATTAAATGAGCTATAAAATTAACAGTGGATTTTATGTCAAAATTAATTTAAACATTTCCAAATTTACAAAATTGTTTCTGTATCTAATTGTCTTGAATTTATCTTATGGCTGCAAGATAAGTACAAGATATTTGACTAAACTTAAAAATCGGTAAAAATAAAATATTCAATTCCTATAGTGCTACATCGTTGTAAAATCCTAAAAAATTATAGTAATTAATAAATTAAACTTTATTGTATTTTTAACATCAATAAAATAAACACATTTATGTACTTACTTACTTAGTTAATTTGCTTACGTATTAATAAATAAATATATTTAATAAATGAAATATGGCTGTATTTCATTTATTATTTTCAAGCCAAAGTTAAACTACACAGTAGTTAACTAAAGCATTTTATAAAATTCAGAACTTATTACACATATAAAATTTGATAGAATATATTTTCTTTTACATCTATTCACATATTCCAGGCTAAATGTTCTAGTTTGTATTAAAATAAGTGTAATTTAATAGGCCTCTTACAGCATCACAAATAAATATATAAAAATGGGTAAACTAAATTGAGCAAAAATATTGTTTGTGGCTTGAATTAAGAAAGAATTGTTACATTAAAAACTGATTTCATTGGTTTTATAAAATCAGTTTATGAGAAAAATTATTGTCAAACAACATCTAAATTTTTAAAATAGGTAATGAATTATAATTATAGTTATACACTATACTACTATTTAATGCCACATTACCAAATTTATTTTTATTTACATTATTAATTTATGCTTTTTATATTATAGTAGATTATTTAATTACACTTAATTAAAAATAACATATTTTATTTTTGGCATTTTGCGATTTTCTCTCTTAAAATCGCAGACATTATTTTTAATAAAAAAGAAGCAAAATATAAGTAACTTACCTAAATGAAAATGTACATATTTAAAATTGTATTTTTTAACCAGCATGTTTAAGTTTAGATTTTTTATATTGTACAATTTAACATGATTATTGGTATAATTTATATATAATTATAATTCCATAACAAATGGTTATAATATAATATTTGGTAGGTACCCTGGTAGAAAATAACGTTTGCATACATTCAGACAACGTTGCAAATTTGTATAATAATTTGTTATACTCATAACGTTGTCTTAGTGTATCATTTTAAGTGGAAAATACGTAGTTAAAACGTTGTCTTGGAAACGTTATTTTAATGTATGATTTTAAGTGGGAAATACGTAGTTAAAACGTTGTCTTGGAAACGTTGCAGAATTGTATTGCTGGAAACGTTGCAGCAACGTTCCAAATCCCACGTTTAGATACATAAAATTATTTCTAAGTCCCGACGAAAATTTTTCAATGAGGATTTTTTTTTTAATTTTTATACTTTATATAAATAATATTATACATTATTTATAAAAGTAAAATAAAACTCTTCAATTCATTTTCAAAGTCATAATATCAAAAATATGAGCGAAATACACAAAACCCACTTTCAAACAACGTTGCAGAATTGTATTGCTGGAAACGTTGCAACAACGTTCCAAAACCCACGTTTGGCTACATAAAATTTTTTCAAAGTCCCGACGAAAATTTTTGTACTGAAGATTTTTTTTTCAATTTATTTTTATTATACATTACTTATAAAAGTAAAATAAAACCCTTCAACACATTTTCAGTCATAATATCAAAAATATGAGCGAAATACACAAAACCCACTTTCAAACAACGTTGCAGAATTGTATTGCTGGAAACGTTGCAACAACGTTTCAAAACCCACGTTTGGCTACATAAAATTTTTTCAAAGTCCCGAGAAAAATTTTTTTACTGAGGATTTTTTTTTCAATTTTTTTTTTATTATACATTACTTATAAAAGTAAAATAAAACCCTTCAACACATTTTCAAAGTCATAATATCAAAAATATGAGCAAAACACACAAAACCCACTTTCAAACAACGTTGCAGAATTGTATTGCTGGAAACGTTGCAACAACGTTCCAAAACCCACGTTTGGCTACATAAAATTTTTTCAAAGTCCCGACGAAAATTTTTTTTACTGAGGATTTTTTTTTTAATTTTTTTTTTTATTATACATTACTTATAAAAGTAACATAAAACCCTTCAACACATTTTCAAAGTCATAATATCAAAAATATGAGCGAAACACACAAAACCCACTTTCAAACAACGTTGCAGAATTGTATTGCTGGAAACGTTGCAACAACGTTCCAAAACCCACGTTTGGCTACATAAAATTTTTTCAAAGTCCCGAAGAAAATTTTTTACTGAGGATTTTTTTTAAAAATTTTTTTTTATTATACATTACTTATAAAAGTAAAATAAAACCCTTCAACACATTTTCAAAGTCATAATATCAAAAATATGAGCGAAATACACAAAACCCACTTTCAAACAACGTTGCAGAATTGTATTGCTGGAAACGTTGCAGCAACGTTCCAAATCCCACGTTTAGATACATAAAATTATTTCTAAGTCCCGACGAAAATTTTTCAATGAGGATTTTTTTTTTAATTTTTATACTTTATATAAATAATATTATACATTATTTATAAAAGTAAAATAAAACTCTTCAATTTATTTTCAAAGTCATAATATCAAAAATATGAGCGAAATACACAAAACCCACTTTCAAACAACGTTGCAGAATTGTATTGCTGGAAACGTTGCAACAACGTTCCAAAACCCACGTTTGGCTACATAAAATTTTTTCAAAGTCCCGACGAAAATTTTTGTACTGAAGATTTTTTTTTCAATTTTTTTTTATTATACATTACTTATAAAAGTAAAATAAAACCCTTCAACACATTTTCAAAGTCATAATATCAAAAATATGAGCGAAATACACAAAACCCACTTTCAAACAACGTTGCAGAATTGTATTGCTGGAAACGTTGCAACAACGTTCCAAAACCCACGTTTGGCTACATAAAATTTTTTCAAAGTCCCGAGAAAAATTTTTTTACTGAGGATTTTTTTTTCAATTTTTTTTTTATTATACATTACTTATAAAAGTAAAATAAAACCCTTCAACACATTTTCAAAGTCATAATATCAAAAATATGAGCAAAACACACAAAACCCACTTTCAAACAACGTTGCAGAATTGTATTGCTGGAAACGTTGCAACAACGTTCCAAAACCCACGTTTGGCTACATAAAATTTTTTCAAAGTCCCGACGAAAATTTTTTTTACTGAGGATTTTTTTTTTAATTTTTTTTTTTATTATACATTACTTATAAAAGTAACATAAAACCCTTCAACACATTTTCAAAGTCATAATATCAAAAATATGAGCGAAACACACAAAACCCACTTTCAAACAACGTTGCAGAATTGTATTGCTGGAAACGTTGCAACAACGTTCCAAAACCCACGTTTGGCTACATAAAATTTTTTCAAAGTCCCGAAGAAAATTTTTTACTGCGGATTTTTTTTAAAAATTTTTTTTTATTATACATTACTTATAAAAGTAAAATAAAACCCTTCAACACATTTTCAAAGTCATAATATCAAAAATATGAGCGAAATACACAAAACCCACTTTCAAACAACGTTGCAGAATTGTATTGCTGGAAACGTTGCAACAACGTTCCAAAACCCACGTTTGGCTACATAAAATTTTTTCAAAGTCCCGACGAAAATTTTTTTACTGAGGATTTTTTTTTTAATTTTTTTTTTATTATACATTACTTATAAAAGTAAAATAAAACCCTTCAACACATTTTCAAAGTCATAATATCAAAAATATGAGCGAAATACACAAAACCCACTTTCAAACAACGTTGCAGAATTGTATTGCTGGAAACGTTGCAACAACGTTCCAAAACCCACGTTTGGCTACATAAAATTTTTTCAAAGTCCCGAAGAAAATTTTTTACTGAGGATTTTTTTTTTAATTTTTTTTTTTATTATACATTACTTATAAAAGTAAAATAAAACCCTTCAACACATTTTCAAAGTCATAATATCAAAAATATGAGCGAAATACACAAAACCCACTTTCAAACAACGTTGCAGAATTGTATTGCTGGAAACGTTGCAACAACGTTCCAAAACCCACGTTTGGCTACATAAAATTTTTTCAAAGTCCCGACGAAAATTTTTTTACTGAGGATTTTTTTTTTAATTTTTTTTTTATTATACATTACTTATAAAAGTAAAATAAAACCCTTCAACACATTTTCAAAGTCATAATATCAAAAATATGAGCGAAATACACAAAACCCACTTTCAAACAACGTTGCAGAATTGTATTGCTGGAAACGTTGCAACAACGTTCCAAAACCCACGTTTGGCTACATAAAATTTTTTCAAAGTCCCGACGAAAATTTTTTTACTGAGGATTTTTTTTCAATTTTTTTTTATTATACATTACTTATAAAAGTAAAATAAAACCCTTCAACACATTTTTAAAGTCATATTATCAAAAATATGACCGAAATACACAAAACCCACTTTGAAACAACGTTGCAGAATTGTATTGCTGGAAACGTTGCAACAACGTTCCAAATCCCACGTTTAGCTACATAAAATTATTTTTAAGTCCCGACGAAAAATTTTTCAATGAGGATTTTTTTTTAAATTTTTATCCTTTGTAATAACATTAGTTATAAAAGTAAAATCAAACTCTGCAAAAGCTACATAAAATTATTGTCCCGTCGACAAATTTTCGAAGGGATTTTTTAATTTTATTTAAAATGATTTTTAAATAGAAAAAACAGTTAAATAAAGCCCCAAAATAAAGTTAAAAAAATTGTAAAATAAAAAATAACATTAAAAATTAATAAATTTATTGACCATGTAAAAATTTTACAACAACATCTTCTTTGTTTATACTTTCAATAAACACTCCTCTACATAAAATTTTACTTAGGGTAACTGTATATTTTTTAAAACTACTTTTATCAATCCTAAAAACTCCAACAACCCTGGAATCAAGGGGTTTATTATAAAAAAAAGTTGTATTTTCAAATAACTTTCCTGAGGCTGCTGATTCTGAAATAGTCTCAATAAAAAATATGGAATCGTTTTTTAAAAATACAACATCTCCAGATGAATATTTTTCAATATTACTTTTTTTTTTATAGGTAACAAAACCTCTTTGTTCCAGGGTTCTTTTGATAATTTGCTGAAGTTGCAAATTAGAAGTTTGTGTCATTTGTTTAATGTTCAACATAAAATTTTCATAAGGAAATGCACTAAATTCGTCCAGTGAACCATGTTGCATAACATCATCTGAAATATGTATAAGATTGTGTACATTATAGGAAATAGTACCTTCTCCATAAAAATTTTCAAAATTTCTTACAAATTTTAAAATCAATTTTTTTGCAACATTATTGTGTAAAGGATTTTGACACATTTCCTTATTACACAAAATGCGTATGGCCACATGAAGAAACAAAAAATGAATATACTGCTCATTTTCCAATAACTTGTACAATAATGCAGGGCCTGTATAAAGTAAAAATTGTCTAAACTCAGTTGCCTTCCAGTCACTTATTAAGCTGATGGATCTCTGTTTTCTGGCAAATAATCTATGTGAAATATTCAGTTTTTCAATCCTTAAATTAATTTCCTGTTTTACTGTGTCAACCAGTCTTAATCCCATTCTTCCATTCCATAAAGTGTTTAAAATTTTTTTTGCAACACCTAAAAGCACCAAATGCATGTAATCAAGAGGAAAATTTTTGATCATATCAAAATTTAAAATTTCTTCCAATGGGGAAGGTCCTTTGTGGTATTCCGGATTGTGCCTTTCTCTAAAGGATCTATCAGTTCGTAATGAGCTATCCAAAATGGGAAAACTCATTGCATTTATAAATGTACCTTCTGTAACACATTTATTACATCCCGTTGATGAATTATGTCCTTTAACATTTAGAATGTAAGCCTTTGCTGGTGCATCACATATTACATTGTTTAAAACAATATCAATCTTATTTCCATGAATATCCATACCATCTCTTTGTAAACGTTTAATTTCCTCCAACAGCTGTTTTACGTATAAAGCAAGGTCTTCTGGTTTCTTGTTCCCATGATATAAACCAACTAAAAATGGTTCTGAATATTGTTTAACCAAGGCCAGTATTGGCCAAAATGTTGTTGTGTTCGTTGGAGCCACCCCATCAAAGTTCAGGTCTATTTTTATTAAATTTGGAGGATTTTTGCAGGAATCCAACACATACCTAATGCCCTTCTCTAAGCCAATGTGACAATAATTTCCTGGTGACACTGAAACAATTTTACAAGGTCCTGGAGTATGAAGTAATGTCTTGCTAGATTTTGGCACTTCTAAATGTTCTTCCCTTAGTATGCACAATAACTTATCAAGATGGAGATGTGCTATATTACACTCAATTGCCCATTGAGCAATTTTATCTTTAAACAAAATGGGAGGTAATTCTTCGTTTGTATTTACTGTGTGGACTTCAGTTGAACTGGTTGTTATCTCACCCACTATGGAATCTGTATTTATTTCGTTGATATCACTTGATTCATTCTGAAAATCTTGAAGTTCTTCTTGAATTAACCTTACTTCTGAAGCCACTAGCCTATTCAAGTGACGTTTTGAATAATTCATGTTCGTTAAGCTGCAGTAGACACAGGTTTGTTAATTGTGATGATTTTTGTTGCTTTATATATGCATTTTAGGTAATTTTAGTTAATCTTCAGTAATAATTTTTAGGTAAGGTTATGTTGCAAAACAAATTTTTTGTAGGTAATATTATATCAGAGACAAACAAGTGGATTAAATAATCTTTTTAGCTGTAGGTTTTCTCATACCTTAATTACATTATTAAGGTAGTATCTGCATTTGAAGTTTGATAAAGAAATATAACCTTAATAAATAACCCAAATAGCACCAAGCGGTGCCAATGTGGTAAAAATAAAATGTTGTAATTTAATTAAAAAACTACTAGTTTATTAAAAATAAAAGTATCATTGAAAACTAAAAACGCCATACAAAGTAAGTGAGTAACAATATAAATTGTTAATTTGTTGTTAAAATTGCAAAATTAAGATTTAAAACTGAAATATTTTTGTGTTTCTTATGTTGGCAGCACGAAATTTGAAATGAAAATATTAAAAAGTGCTAAAAAATTAGATAAAAAATATACTGAAATAATCAATTTCTAAGCCATGAACAAATTTTCTTTTGTTGCTCGAGTTTATAGAAACAAATTTTCTATGAAAAAAGCACTTGTGCTGAAGTTTTAATTCCCACAGATTTTCCATAGATTATTTTAAAAATTTGTTTCTAAGCTCGAGAAACAAAATAGAATTATGTTGATTACACTGCGGCGTATAAAAACAAATACCTGTCTATAATAAATTTTGAAGACATTTTTTAAATCATTGTGTAATTTTTTTTACATAAAACACTTTAAAAAATCGCAAATTAAAACGTTTTATTGCAACCTGGCATCAATGCTTAAGATTTTAACCAATAAAATAAAAGCATCATAATTTGATGCTATCATTTCATTGGTTTGTGCCTTCTATAAAATCTATCGTTCTTTGTCTTTTACGTTATTAACAATTTAGTTCATATAATTTTTGTTCAAACTGACAACACTGCTTGGAGTTGCGCACAAGTTTTCTTTTGGTTCCATCGTTGCCTGACGTGATTGTTTTCTTCATTCGACGTTTGTTCCGACAGAGTTTGTTCGTTGGCTTATGTTCTGTGTTTATTGTGTTTGAGTTATATTTCAGCATAAAATGGAAGTGTACAAGGTAAGCATATTTTAATATACTTTTAAAACTAATGCCAAAAGAGTTTTTTTCATTATATAGGTACATACCTATATACCTAGTATAGTATTTATTATGCCATTGCAAAAGCGAATAGGGGCCATTTTGATTTTTTAGGAAAATTACAAAATTATATATTATTATATTATATACTTAACATTTTGAATGGCCACGTTGTTTTGTGGTTATTATTAAATTGTTTATAAAATAATAATTTTTAAATGAATGTATTATTTTGTAACATTTTAAAATTTGTTAACAGAAGTAGGTATAATTAAGGATTACCTGAGGGATTACCTGCAAAACTTTTATTATAGATGTACCTGCCTCGGGTACAAAATAATATTTTCAAATACCTAATTTAAATTTATTTTATAACAAACCTAAAATTGTTCAATTATTTAACCTACTGTTTTTTTTTAATTATTTTGGCACGTTATTTTTTTGTCTGGTAAGAAGTTAAAATTATAGTAAAAACAAGCTATTGTACTTAGGCTACTAACTTTTATTAGGTTTAATTTTTATTGGTTTGAAATGTGTTTTATTAATGAAATCAATTATTATATTTTAGCAAAACAATACCAACGTAGGTAGGGTACCATTGTACCATGTTGTGCAATATTTACCCGTAACTACAAAGTTACTTGTACCCAATATCTGTTACTACAAAGTTACTTGTACCCATTATCTGTAACTACATAGTTACTTTAGATATATTTTGCAAAGAAATATGCAATCTAAAAAAAATTATACAGGTAAAGGAAAGAGTAAGTATTATATTGTAAGTACACACTTATTAAGATTGTTTTTTTATCACCAGATTTTTATTCAATACACTTTTACATTTACATGTTCAATCATACTTTAGCATTCCTTAATTTTTTGAACAACCTGCAAACTACATACATATGTAGTTATCTTATTTTTTTACTGACACTACCCATTTTAAATAACTTGTTGATAATTATTACTATTTTTTTTAAGGAATTTTGCATAGTGGAATTTGATTCTAAGCAGGTGGAAGGAGTGCACCAATCGTGGTTGCAAAAGGTTGGACACACCACTTATTGCTGGTGGCCACCAAGTGGCCATAAATATATCAATGTGTCTAGATTTAAAAGCATTAATAAATACAACTTGGATGGATGGTTCACCCTGGAGGTTAAAGTTATAAACGATTATGGTAAATTTAGTTTTATTTTTACCAACATAAAATTTATATATTTCATTCCAGACACATTACCAAAATGCCTGGCAAAACTGAGGCACCTTGAAAATAACACGTCCTCATCCAGTGAGGGGCAAAAGGGCAGAGGCTACAGGAAAATTAAAAAAAAAGTTTTAAATGATTCTGATTGTAAGCATAATTATTTTTTAAGTTTATAAATTCTAAATAAATTCTTTTTTAGCCAATGAAGACGAATTACCTTACAAAAAACCACGAAAAGGTTTATATTTATCTTTTGGTGTAGGTACATATTATTAAATACATTTATTTCTTAATTTTTAGATCTTCAAGATAATATTGAAAAAAGAATGGAGGATATTCACCATCAATCTTCAGCAAGTGGTAATTAGTTTTTTTGAGTGTTGAATGCATCTAACGATACATTTTTTCTAGAAACAATTATTTCGGATCCAACAATTCAGGAGAAAAATCAAAATTTAAATGCAAGCGAACATTTTAATGAAAGTGAACATGAAAGCATAAATTTATTGGAACCACTTAATGATGGTAAGTACCTATTAATATTAAATATTATTTTATATTATTATCAATGATTTATTTTAGTAATTAATGATACTCGTATAACCTTTGAGTCATTAAGGGCAGAGCAGGGCTCAGCCAATACGGAGTTGGCTCAAATAAATGGTATGTATTTAGTATTTTTATTTAGGTTTAGTTAAATAAAAATGAATAGTGTTTAATACTTTATTTACAGATAGGATGAATGCAATGGACAAAAAAATGGACATCATATTAAGGGAGGTAAAAAAGGTCCAAATTTTATTATCCAACAAAAATTATAATAACAATCCTGAGGTATACTCAGTGTTGGAGGAATTGCCATTGAAGACAATCGAAGAAGTGAGGCAATTTGATATAAAATTAAATGATCCTATCAACAAAGAAAAATTTGTAAGTATTATACAATCTACCACCTTTACAGTTTTTCAAGGAAATATTAAAAAAGTTAAAATATTTTAAAATTAATTTTGCAGATTGGCCACGTTAAATATTTTATGGAGACCAAACCAGAATCCACAATCCGCAAAATATTGAAGTCGATCTACACTGACGAATTGGCAATAAAATTATCGTGGACTGGGAGGAAGGAAACATTTGGGGTAGCCAATACCCTTCAAATAAAGATTATGGAAGGTAAGTTTTACTAATTATTATTATTTATTGAGATGTTAATTTAATCAATTTTAGGGGTACTTCAAACCTCACTTCCACGCTTTGTGAAAAGCGTTTTTGTGACAACAGTCCAAAATTGGTTCCGATTTGCCAAGTCAAGGGACCAAAGAAGCCACTAAATTATTTTTTTATTATTATTATTGATTATTATTATTGATTAAAGGTGTTGAACCAGTTGGGTTGCTGGATTTTGGATAGCCTCACCAGCCTTGTGCCCCCCCCCCCAAATTAAGATAATTTAAATTCAATTGACTTAATTTGTAATTTACTATAGTTTACTAAAACATTTTAAAATTTTTGTAAAAAAATAAGTTTAAATAGGTACCTATTTATTATTTTTTTTGCAAAAATTTAAATCATGTGAAATTTAGTATAAACTATGGTAAATGATAAATTGCACAACATTAAATTATTTTAATTAGAAGGGCAGGAGGTTTGCCAGGAACTAACTTTTTTTTTGCAAATCTTAATGTAAATTTTGCTTTACAAAACTTGCTTATTTAATATCTGAGAAATATGTACATCCAAAATCCACCAACCTGACACATTATTGTTAACAATTAGCTTCAAAAGTAAAAAATTATTTACGTCCTTGTAAGAACGTAAATAATTTTTTCTACAACCACTATGTAAAAGTTACATTGCTTAGAAAATGAATCTTTTCATTGGCAAGGCAAAACTCAATTGTAAAGTGACATTTCTGTGTAAAAAGTGTGAAAAGAAATTAAAAACAGAATAAGATGAAAGTAATTTTAACAGCTGTCAAACACGTTTTTAGGTTATTTTGTTTTGCATTTGAAAATAATAAAAAATAAAAGGGTCGTAGAAAGCTTTCTTCAGCAATTTAAAACTTGCATGAAAAAGTCGCTTTTCAACACTTGTTAAACAAACTATTATACATTTACCACACATTTTTTGTATATGTTTTAAAATCTTACTTTTCTAATCTACTGTACAATGGTTATCATTGCTAACCAAAAATCATGTATTTTTTACTGAATAATCAGTAGCAAATTTTATCCATGATTTTAGGTTTTTGGTTAGCAATCCATTTACTTAATTTTTTAAAATGATACTTTTCTCAAATAGTACACAATGGTTACCATTGATAATGCACCATAGTTACCATTACCTACTAATGATTATAATTAGTAAAAAATTGTTTACATGATTTTATATTTTTACTTAGCAATAGGTTTAAACCTTAAGGATATTTAATAATAGTTTTAATAATAAATTAAAACCATGTAAATCAATTCAAAGCATTTTTTTTACTGCTTGTGCAATAGATTTTTTAATAGAAATTTTTTTCCCTATATGTACATTTGTAATTACTAAAATTTACTTTAATGAAATGTAAAAATTTCTGACCTAATACTCAACTTTTTTTAATATTTTAATTTTTGTATTTATTTTCATATTTTGTATTATTTGTTGTAAAATAAATTTTTGTAATGTTTTAAATATTTTTTTTAAAAATATTCTACAAATCCTACCCAAAATAATTAAAAAATCCAACGTTTTGTAATACAGAAATCCCACATATTTCTAACGTTTTATAATACATAAAACCCACGTTGTATAATACACAAAACCCACGTATTTGCAACGTTTTATAATACATAAAAGCAACGTTGTATAATACACAAAACCCACGTATTTGCAACGTTTTATAATACATAAAAGCAACGTTGTATAATACGTAAATCCCACGTTTTTTATAACATTAAAAACTAACGTTGTCAGATAACGTTATAAACCGGGACATTTCAACATAAAATTATACATAAAAGTTAGGTTTTGCCAACGTGGGAAAAACGTTGTTTCTACGTAAAATTTCTACTAGGGTACATAACATTTTAACACCTAAAACTACCACATAAACTTTACATTTCTATTTACCATTTATGGGTGTAATTTGACAACAAAAAAAAGTTTGTCATCAAATTTTTAAAAACTATTTTCAACATCTAAAACAAACACAACCTGCACGTCGACCGGGAAAAATATGGCTGATATTTTTCTCGGCGTTAAACTACCTATTTACCACATTTTCTATGATCTAGATCTAAACTAACCACTCTATAGTATAGGATCTTGTCACTCCCCCACTCTCTGGTCAGACCTCGGTCCCACCGCAGTAAGTCAAAGCACTGTTGTCTGACGAATGTTCAGCTTTCCAGATCATTTTCCATCTCTAAAACATAACCTTGCATCAGTTTGGTTAGCACCTATGTAGGTATATTTTATTTGGAGACCAAGCCAGCCTGAGCCACTTATAAAACTTTATTGATAAGTTTAGTTTAATATAACCATCAAAACCGCTCGGGCAAACTTAACGCCTGGTGCCTAATCCACGGTCATAACCCAAGTATGTTTAAAAGAAGGTAATATTTGATATTCTTAAAGAGATCTTTTTAAGGGAAAAACCAATGGGACATTTTTTTTCTGATGAAGTAGTACATAATTCTTTCATATTTTAAATGCGCTTAAAAAAAGTAATAAAAAAAATATTTTTTCTTTGTTTCGTTTAAAACTGATTTAAAATACTTTTTAACATTAAACATTTGTTTAAATTACCTTATTTTTGGAATAAAACAAATTAATAAAATTAATGGCATTTCCTTTTGTTAGAATGGAAAGCAAACGATATAACGATTTTAGGATGCTTTTAATTATTGGTTATAACCAATATAAATTAACCTGTAAGTTTATTTAAACCATTTGGTTATTTTACTGTGTTTAATTTAAGTACTTTATTTACCTACAGAGCTGCAACAAGTCAGTTTTAAAAAGACTTAAATCTTAAGTCTTAAGTCAATTCTAAAATCAAAATGATTTAAATCTTAAGTCAATTCTAAGATAAAGTTCAAATGATTTAAGTATTAAGTCTTTGAATTAAATCATTTTCTTTCAAGTCAAGTCATTTTCGCAAATTCTTAAATCAATATAAAGTGATTTAAGTCATCTTATGACTTAATTCCTTTAGTAAGTCGTTTTTATGACTTAAGTCTATATTTTTTATTTAAATCGTGATCTAAGAGTTAAGTCAATAAAATGACTTGAATCAAAAATTGTGATTTAAATCAAAATAATTACCCTTAAGTCAATACAACGATTTTAACATAACTACGCACGAACATGACGAATGTTAGCAAACAAAATAACAAAATTATAAATCCCCACTTTTTTTAATTCATTTTAGACAGGACATTTTTTAATTTAGCCGTCAAACGGTTCCAAAAAGCTAACTTTACCGCGGCGGATTTTTTATCCACTAGCGGTAGCAATTGTAGGTAGGAAATTAAAGGAGTTTTTGATCTGCTGCCGCGTAAACCCCTGGCAGTTTAAAAGAAAATGCCGCTGTTAAAAATTTAAAAAAAAATATTTGAAAAATTTGACTTAAATATTTTCTAAAAAGACTTACTTAAATCTTTTTCAAAAGGACTTTTTTTGACTTAAATCGTTTCTATCTGACTTAAATCGTATGTACTGATTTAAGCCTTTTATAAATGACTTAAGTTTTTTCTATTTTGAAAAAAATATTTAAGTCACAAATCATTTTGAAAATTACTTAAATTTTAAGTCTTAAGTCAGTTTTAGAGAAATGACTTATTACCAAATGACTTAAGTCATTAAACCGATTTAAATAAAAAAAACGATTTAAGTTTTCTGAGAGCTTGCAGCTCTGTTTACCTATCGGTAATTTGTAACTCCTTGGTTTTGGTTAACTAGTTAATAGGTAATATTACCAATAGGTTTCTTTTATTACTTAAATTATACTAAAAAATAACCTTTGAATTAACCTAAAGGTTATAGCAACTGTAGTTGGTAGTTGGTTGGTTATATTACCTGAACTAGACTTCCTGGGGTTACAGCAAATTTGTAAATAATATAAAGAGGAATGCACATTAAAGATGAAGCTGTAAGGGCATAACCAACTAGCAAACTCCAGTCTGGATATGCGTACTCAGTACCCAGCATTTCCTCGTGGCTTAAAAGCGAAAATACAAAGATCACCTATAAAAAACATGCGATATTGTAAAACAACTTTTTATTTTTACAATTTAACATACCAAAAGAAAAACAGGACTGATGTATTTCCAGCAAATCCTCCAGAAAAGTCCAGGCCTTTTGCCGATCATTTTCTCGATATCTCTGGCAAAATTATCGGTGCCATAGATCCAACAAACTCCAGCCGCTTCCACGAAAACCACAAACAAAATGGCCAAACCTGGACCGTACACGTTCAACATATTAACCAGATAAACACCACCCTAAAAAATAAACATTTACAAATTAATAATAACTCGAAAATCAAAATAAAAAGGTTTCGAGATATGATTTTGTATTTTCGATGGTACCGGTCCATATGTTAAAACTAAAGTCTCATGTTCTTACATATGTAGTAGTTGGCAATGCGCAGATGTAGATTCCGAAAAGTAGAACCGCCACGAAAATTTCCCTGTGTCTTCCCAAAACTTTGGGGTATTCGTCACAAAGCGCCGTAATCATGGCTTCCAAACCCCCAAAAGTGCTGTCCAGACCCAGGGTTATGAGCATAAGGAAGAATATTATGGACCAAAACACTGAACCGCTCATCATTGCTATTGCTTCTGGATACACTATAAAAACTAATCCAGGTCCTGAAAAAGTTTGTGGTTAGTATACACAGCAAACGGAAAAATATAGAACTGTATAGGATGACTCCGCGTTTGAATATTAAATCTTAAAGTTTTATCAGAACTGTATTGAATCGTGCTTTGTTTTTATATTTTTCGGCTCTATACCTATGCACGACTATATTTAAAGTCAAACTCAATGGTGTCTTACAAGATACATTATTTTGATTTTCTATATTCAACAGAGAGGTAGAAACTCGACCCTGTCGAATGGTGCAGTCATTTATGTCTCTAGAAATTATTGAAAAAGGGTTCAGTCCAATGGTGCAGCAACTTCGGATTCCTATTCTCTTCAGAGACATGGAAACTCAAGCTTTTCGAATTTTACTGGCAATGATTTTTGTTAATGTCCCCGAGAATTATACAAAAACAGCGCAATGCAATGCATCGCAACGGTTTCGACTTCTCTTTACTCTACCAAGTTATAGAAACTGGAGTCTCTCTAATACTGTTCTAGTCAATATTTCTGAGAGTATAAAAAGAGGGTGTAATATTGCAAGAAGTGTTGATCTTTTAATGGATGCAAGTAGTTTGAATTTTCTCATTTCCGCATATGATTTTGTTGAAAATAGTTCCTTTCTTTGGTTCCTTTGTCTGATTTTTATTTACCGTAACAACTCAGGTATGTAAAGCACAGAGGATATGATGTTAAATATATTTATGTATTATATAAAGTACCTGTAAAGTATTTGTATTAAAAATTTCAGAGGTTATGTTGAAAAAATTATCGATATGCTATTAAACTTTAATAATTTAGTAATGAGGTCTGTTGGTAGACCCTGCACTATCTCCACTGGTATATGTTAGTGCAGCAATATTTAAATCTTGTTGATGAAAAAGTACACACCAGTGCAGGTTATTGTAGCATCTACGAACAAATGAATTAATGGCCCATTGGCAATTATTCCTTTAGGAAAAATATTCAACACAGCTTAATTAATTAATAAATTGAAAAAAATCACAATCATGTCGTATATAGTTTTTTTTAAGCATAAAATAATTTTTATATTAATACCAGTTCAAAAGTGAAATTACGACCTCTATACTGTGGAGAGTATTGAAACGCTCGACTGACGAATACAAATCTATACCGTGGGGAGATTTAGAAAACCACATTCAAACGTGGCGTCATCCTATACACTTCTATAATTTTCCGTTTGCTGTGTAATGCAATCAAAGTGCTTCTTTACCTTCCAGTCCCACCTGCTCGATGCTCTTGTTCTGCACGTGGGCCATGTACCCCAAAACGGAAAATATGACGAAACCGGCCAGGAAGCTGGTCAAGCAGTTGATGCTGCTGGTGAGTAGCGCGTCCCTGTAGCAGTTGTTGTCGAACTTGTTGTAGCTCGAGAGGGCCAGGAGCGTCCCAAATCCGGGCCCGAGCGAGAAGAAGATTTGGGACGCCGCGTCTATCCAGACGCGCGAGTTGTACAGCTTGTGCCATTCGGGGGTCAGGTAGTAGCGGATTCCCTCGGCCGCCCCAGGCAGAGATACGCCCCTGAACAGCAGGATGATGAGGACCACGTAGGGGGCCAAGGCTGTTATCCATACTGCCTGATGAAGTATAATCAAATATTTTATCCACTCCCACATAGGGCTTTAAAGTGTCGGAAAAAAACGGAAAAATTTCCAGGCCTTGGATTTTTTGGAAAAATTTATTTTTTATTTTAATTTAAAAGTATCCAATGAATTAAAGTTAAATTACAAAATTATAATTTTATAAATCAAAGTTTCAAATATAACGAAAGTTATGTTAATACAGCACCGAATATTTTTTTTGCGGCCTTCCAAAATATTCTTACTAAATTAAAGTAAAAAGAATAATTATTATAAATAATCTTAATATTATATGATCAGCGTCGGAAATTTACTTTTTATCAGTGTATGGATATTATGAGTAAAAATTTGGAAATTTTCAGAAAAATGTTCTTTTGCATTTTACGCAGTCAAATTTTCGGCAAAAAAGTGTTTTTTTTTCCACGGCTCAATTTTTCCGGAAATTTTAAATTAGGGTTTATAATTGCAGATGCAAAAAATGCTGAATGATTATAACGCATTGTTTTTTATTAAAGTTGTACCTGGGTGAATATATTGAGATGTCCCCCAAGTGAAAATGATTATTTTTTATTTTTGGTTGTTTCACTGTTAGTCTAGAATGGGGTTTTTGGGAAGCCACCAGGTCTAGTAATAACATAACATAAGTGGTTCTCCACTAATGCAAGAATTTTAACAAATCAAACATTTTAAATATTAGAGCTTCACGGAGGTTAGAATTTCGTATGTTTATTTTTTAAACATCCCTTTGTGTATTTGAAATAAGTTATTGTATGTTTTGACACCTTAATATTTAAAAAAAATACTACTTACTGAGATATTACACTTCACGGTGGATAGGTTTTTAAATATCAAATTAATGAACTTAAACTTTTGAATTATAAAACAGCAACACTCTCATCTGCATATAAATTCTAACTGACCTTCAGGAATCACATGCATCTATAATGTCGTAAACAGAGGTTTTTGCCTATAATTTGTTTTTGCTTTAAATTTTGTGCAAGGGATGGCGCTTTAATCATTTTAAATATATTTAAAATGATTAAAACGCCATCTGTTGCACAAAATTTAAACCAAAACAGATTCACGGAGGATATAATCAATTTTTGTAACACTTACATAAATGGTTATAAAAATTATTTCTTTTAATTTTTAATAATATTTTATATTTGATTCGATTGCTTTGCATGTGTTTAATTTACTAAGTAAACTGATATTTTTAGTATGCTTTTACTACCCCAGATATTTGAAAACAGGTTAACCTAGAAAGAGTAACAGTCACGGAGGATAGGTTTTAGACTTTTTAAACATTGTAAAAAATAATTAATTGTGGTTAAAAATCTGGAACCTGAGCTGTAATATCTACTTAATTATGAAAGATCAAAACACAATAAAAGTGTAGGTCAAACTCATTTAGTTTTATTAAATATCACGGGGTAACACCATCGGGGGACATTTCGTGAGATTCCCCCACATATCATGTTTATTATTTAACGACTAAAACTTTTTAAATGCGTAGATTTTTGAGGTCTAAATAGTTCGTGACATCTAATTATCATCTAATCATCTTATTATCTATATCAAATATTCTAATTATGAGAAAATAAATTACACAGGGCCTTCAAAAGTATATTTATTCTTCATCTAAATTGTGTACTATATAAGTTATATAACTTAATGCAAACTTTTTTTGCATATTATTGGGCAGAATTTGATCATTTATTGTTGGCCAGGCGATTGCACAAAAATCATAGAAATATTACGTCCTATATTATACATTTATTGGCAAAACTTTTCCAAAGATGAAAGGGCAATTCTTGGCCAAGTTTAACCTGATATGGTTCTCTGGGTAAAATGGCGTTTATCAAACTTGATACATCATAATATTCTATTTAAAATTTATCACAGAAATAAAAAATATCTAAATGCGGCAATCGTGACAGTGGAAAAGCTCATTTCTGCAAAGCGTAAGGATAAGGGGATGTCGTTGAGCTTTTTAGGACGCGCGTCCCTAATTAGACCATACTTTTCTCGCGACCTAAGATGCGTTAAAAGTTCTTAGCTTTCCCCGAGTAATTGTTTTTAGTTTGGAACAAAAAGTCTTGTCGGAATAAAATTTTAATTAAATAATATTGAAGTAATAATTTAACCTTTTAAATGCAATTTTTATGGGCCCATAAATATCGCGCGGGATACCACGAAAATGATTTTTAAATAAAGGTGGATATTTATTGATCAATTCGTTTTTACAGCATTGGCTTTACATTAAACTTTTGATATATACTTTTTAATATGTTTACACGCAACCAGAGATTATCTATTTTATATCGCCATAACGAGATTATAATGGGATAAAATAAAATCCACCGGCAAATTTTATGTGTGAAGCAGGGTCGGGCTTACCTTTCCAGTGCTCCGCACTCCTTTCCACAACGAAAAATACACCAAAACGAACACGGCAAACACGCACAACGCCAGTGCAGGTTTTATGGGGCCCATCCTGTTTAGGCCGTCCGATTTTTGCTGCTCCAAGACTTCCCTCCTAAAAGCAACAATTTAAGTATTTGTTACGTATTGAATAAACTCTAAAGTGTTTTGCGACAGTGGCCGGTCTCTTTATATTACTCTTTCATTACTAAGTTACAACTAAAGTGAGTTCCAAAAAGGTAGCAAATATATCACTATAGCTATAGCTATAAACCCTGCTACTATTTGGAACGTAGCTGCTACGTTACTAGAACGTTTCAATATCGTTGCTAGAGCCGCTTTAGTAGAGCGTTATAATTACTTTTATTTATTTGTTTTTACTTCTATATTAACTGTCTTTGTCAAACTTATATAAGATTATACTATCCCTCCTTTTTTAAATGGAACCACTACGGACTTGGCTTTTCAATGTCGTCGTTTATTAAGTATGTACTGGTAGTTTATAACTTCCAGAATAACAATATAATGTTTAATTAGGCAGGTAAATTTATAAACCCTTTAAATTTTACTGTTGAACTTATGAATTTATTTTTTGTAAAATAAATACGCTTCATCAATATTTAAGTATAAACAAATTATTTATTTAATAATGTTTATAAATAAAAAAATCTTAATGTTTATTATTAATTTTTTATTTAATTATTAATACCGTGTATTACGAACAAAATTACTATTTATTAAAAAGTAAACAACCATTTACAAACAATTAAAATAATTTATTATTTACATTACCACGTGGTACTGTACAGTAAAAAAATGCTGATAAGAAGCATTTTCCTTTGAAGTAGTTTTCGCAACTTTAAAGTTTTTTCCACCTTAATTTACTTTACAGTAGTTCTGGATAGTACCATAAACGTTCCAAATACTAAAATAATAACTTTTAAGTTATTAACTTTGTAGTTTTTAACTCATGTTTCAGTTTCTAGATTTTAACTTGCAAAGGGACTACAAAGTAAAAATAATTATAATGTAATCTTTAGGTAGCAACTGAAAGTAACTGCTACAAATTAAATTTGTTTGAAAGTTTTTTTTTACTTATAACACCTTTTTTAAAGTTGCAAAGTCTTCTTGGGGGCAACAAAGTTTTACTTAAATGTTTATTACTTTATAGTAACCATTTAAGCAAATAATGAAGTTTATTTTACAAAATATTGCTATTTAAAAGTTAGAATTACTTTTAAGTAAAAATTAAAGTAGCTGTTTAGTATACTTAACTAATTTAAAGTTATCACCACTGTGGTAATGGTTTTTGGAACCAAAAATACTGCTTGGGCATGGGTTTATAGGGTAATTTAAAAAATGCTTATAATACTTACTCGAAAAACTCCCGTGCAGGACTGTTGTACAAAGTCGAATTAGAATACGAATCGGTCACTGGCCTGCAATATGGGGTGTTCCAGCTGTTGTGGCACTTGGTCCAAGGTAGCTCTGTTTGGAACGATGCTATGAGGTAATAGAGGGCCCATCCGATTATGGTGTTATAGTACATTCCCATGTAGATGTCGATGAGACAGATTGCATATCCAACACCTAGAAAATATCATTGTTATTTTTTTTTATTTAGGAAATTAATTAATAAAGCAACGTTTTTTATTAAAATTCTTTTTAGTTAACTATGGTTTCGCGAAAGGATCGAACGGTCGATTTGCAAGGGTTCAAGAAATTGTTTTAAACTTTTTTACCTTATTTTTACATCTAAATGCAGTATTTTTTTCAAAAAAAAAATCTCGTCCATTGACAAATTTGTGTTCATTTATATTTTTTAGAATGCACCATTTAGATGTAGAAACAAGGTTAAAAAAATATATTCAATTCTGGCATCACTTGCAAACAAATGTCCAAAATTTGTTCGATTTTTACGCGAAATAAATACTTTTGTTAACAAATATTTGTTACTGTGTAACATTTTGAAATAGCACAGTGCGAAGCCGAAATATGTTAAGTGGATATTGGATAGATAGATTGAAGATTAACTGTGGTCGAAATGGTGAATAAATACTCGAGGGGAGCAATCCGCGGGGATGAAGTGCCATAAATTTTTGTATTCCATTAACTGAGTGTATCTAAACAATTGACTTAATCAATCGTACGGTGATTTGAAATTGAAATCGGCCCGGTTTATAAATATGTAGTGCGAAACGGGCGAGGCCATTTATACTGAGCGTGTGTCAAAGATAAACTGACTAATGAATTGAACATGAGCGAAATTACCGATCCACTCTGGACTAAAAGGTTTCTGTTGTTTGGCCGCATCTTCGACTTACCATCGGCGGTTGAAGAAAAACGGCCCGCCGCAAGATTTAATAGCCGCCCGATGCTAATTTGTAATTCTAAACTAGGTTTCGATAAAAGTTTTCCTCGACTTTATAAATACGCCAACGAAAGATCTCATTTCAAATTGTTATTGGGTCTTCGCAAATATCCCAGATTTATTCAGTATCATCGACTGTAATAGATGGGAATGCAATTTTTTTTATTGCACTTTTGGAATCTACTCATACGATTTGTTGTTAAAATCCTACGTTTCTCAAACTTTTTTTGAGAACGCCACAGCGTTTTGAAAACCGCAACATTCAAAATGACGATGACCCTGAAGAGAGATCGTGACGTCACGATGTTATAACAGATTTGTCAAGAATTACGAATGAATCTAACATCTGTTTCTAGCATGGTTTCTAGGTTATGTTCAATATTCTTTATTTAAATCCTTTGAAAATCAAGGAAAAGTTATGTGCTAATATTAAATTTTCACTTAAATACCCTGAAATGGTTTTATAACAAATAAAAATATTATATCTGTCAAAGAATTTGGTTGGGATTTTGTATGTATATACAGTGTGACCAATTTGTTTGCGATTCACCCCTGTAAAATCTTTATTTATTCTGCGATTTTAAACGGATTTGTTTTAAAGTGTAGATCCTGATAAACTGTGTTTTTGAAGCAAAAGACGCTATATTTTTACAAAATACAAGGCCTACTATGTTAGTTTTTAATAGTAAATTTTGAAGAATTTATATAGCGATTTTTTTAAACAAAATCAAAGCACGGCACTGGATTTACCACTCCTCAAAACGACCCTATACTAAATTTTATATGTATTTATATATTTTTACAAAATACAAGGCCTAATATATATTACTGACTGACTGACATATGTCAGTTTTTAAGAGTAAATTTTTAAGAATTTATGTCAAGTTATCTATGAAAAAAACATTGAAATAAAATTAAACTAATAGTAACATGTAGTAGTAATAGTAACTATTACCAGATATAAGTTTAATTTTATTTCAATGTTTTTTTCATGGATAACTTGACAGAACTATTTGTTGTACCTAGTTATTATTGTGCTATTTTTTTACTTAAAATTTTTCAATAAAATTTAGTAAAGGGTCGTTTCAAGGGGTGGTGAATCCAGTGCCGTGCTTACATTTTGTTTAAAAAAATGGCTAATATAAATTCTTAAAAATTTACTCTTAAAAACTGACATAGTATGCCTTGTATTTTTGTACTAATATTGCGTCTTGCTCCAAAAATACAGTTTATCAAGATCTACACTTTAAAACAAATCCGGTTAAAATCGCACAATAAATAAATATTTTACTGGGGTGAGTCGCGAACAAATCACACTGTATATATATATACCTATAATTTTAAAAACTAAAATTCAAAATCAACATTATAGTAATTTTTTAACGCTTGAAATAATACGAGATTTATATGGAAAAATCCTAATAAATAATGGAAAAGATAAGCCTAAACAGCGACTGCGCGGACTAGGCAGCAGAATCACTGTTAGGCACACTGATTCTGTCAAAAATAGTAATAAATATTAGATGATCAAAAATTATTATTATATAAAAATATTAAAAATTATAACATCAACCAAAAATTGTAGAATAGTTTTCATGTAATTAATGTGATGGGAAAATTATTTTATTTGATCTATCCATTTTTACAATACGGTGAAAATAAATAAAATAGGTACAAAAGTGATCGAAATTGAAAGGAGACAAAATAGGTTTACCCCTTTACGCATGCATAGGCAGGTATCTGTTTCATTTCGACTTAAACTTATCATTTATCAAAACAAAATATTTCATTACTTTCGAGTCGAAATTTTTAACGTTTGAGTGTAGGGATTAGTTGGCAAGTATGCGCAATCCAAAGCAGATGCCGCGTCTTAAACAAACATACCGGCGCAAAATTAAAAGAATTCGGCCTTAAAACATCTAAATTACTTTTGCTATACAGCAACCCTGTTTTAATAAATAATATTTTATTCGAGAGGGAGTTTCAAAAATGGCGAATGCGCCGGGATTAAATTTAAAACTACCATAAACTGTATTTTTGGAGCACTTACTTAAATAGGCATAACGTATATTTAACGTTAATTTAACTGGTTGTCCACTTGGGCTATCTCCAAGTCAATTCTAAAACATTTTTAAAAAGATTTTTGACAAAAAATAACCCCATAACAATGTTACAACCTTATCTTACCAGGAAATGGGTTAAATAGAATAAAAACATCGATTCGGTCCGATTAATTGCGAAAATATTGTTTACTTAGCGAGCTTAGAATAAAGCTCGGGCAATTACAATGAGTGTGCATGCAAACAATGGCCCCGTCAAGTGGGAATTGTGTTCAATCTGGCTCTCTTTAACCAACTACTTAATTCTCCATTGGTTTGTTTGTAGCTCCCACTGTCGCTCCCAAGACGCAGTTCGACGTTTTTGTTTCGCAATCAGTCGCCACAATACCGAATCCTACAGGTTGCGTGCACTGCATGATGTACAGTGCGAACAGGTTTCATTAAAATGTCGTCTTTTTTTGGTGATTTATAAAAAATTGTATTTTTTTTAAAGAATTTATCTTAGCGATTTGAAAAAATCTAAGCACGGCACTGGATTTACACCCCTCAAAACGACCCTATACTAAATTTTATTCAAATTTTTTTAAGTAGGAACGATTTTGTGGCTAAATTAAAAACAAACAATAACCATTTATAAAAAAAAAATTGTCAAGTTATCCATGAAAAAAATATATAATAAAATTAAACTAATAGTAACATGGTATAAATTCTTATGCTTAGTTTGGACAAATAAAAAATGCAATAGAAACTTTAAAGAACAATAAAACCAAAAATACAGAATTCCAAATCATTTTGTCGCACGCGGACAATATAATATGGACGAGTGCGACAAAAGGTCTTATGCCATGAGTTCTTTATGCTATTTTATCTACTTTGCAAAAATTCTATAAAAAAAAATAATTTTATACCTTAAATTTAATTTGGTCGAATTTTACTTTAGATAGTTGGTTTGACAGTTAATGTCAAAATCGATTCGCCATGCCGTCCTTAATTTACTTATTACAATAAGCGGCTGTTAATGTTAAAGAAGAAAAAAAGGATTTTCTTTGGTGTTAAACAAAATGTATTACCAGAAAAGTCTCGTAAGTACTAAAAAATCATAAAAATATTTTAACCAATATGCAAAATATTATTTTACTAGTATGCTGTTTAAAGTATAGCCAACCTATAAAATCAAAACTACTTCTATGTCGATTGTTAGTCTATTTTCAAGGAATAAATTTTGATTAACACAGAAAAATTTGAGATTTTAACGCTGGTAGATTGCCAAGTTAGAAATTCTTTTCACTTTTTGTACCTTTAACATTTCCCGTGTGAGAATTTGTAATACTTTGTAATAATATTTTGCAAGTTTAATTTTATTTCATGGATTGAGGGGTCGTGAATTCAGTGCCGTGCATAGATTGTTTTATAAATCGCTAATATGAATTCTTAAAAATTTACTCTCAAAAACTGACATAGAAGGCCTTGTATTTTGTAAAAATATGGCGTTTTTTGCTCCAAAAATACAGTTTATCAATCCTTTTAAGACTGTGTAATTGTTGCAGAAGAAAAAAAATGTTTATTCTACACTCACATGCAAAATAATCGATCCACACAAATTTTCGATGAATTTCATTTGCAAATAACTTTTTTATTTGATTTCGGATTTAAACAAATATTAAAGAATTTTGTAGATACATTAGTGGAGAATCGCTCACATTTTAAAAATTATTAAAAAATACACGTACTGTCTGTCCACTCTAAGTTGGCGGAACTAAGGAATTTTGTAGTTTAGATATTAAAAAATTGTCGTACTGTGTGCTTTTAAAACAGATTTTATATTATAAATAATACTAGTACATATTATATACTAGTATTATTTATAATATAAAATCTGTTTTAAAAGCACACAGTACGACAATTCTTTAATATCTAAACAACAAAATTCCTTAGCTCCGCCAACTTAGAGTGGACAGACAGTACGTTTATAATATACAGGTTTAAACAAAAAGTAAGAAGACCTTAAAATTAACACATTAATTTACAAAAAACAACTTGATAGCTTTTGAAAGCTGTATTTATATGACATGTCCAAGTATGGAATGATTCAACAAAACTGTCACTGTCATTCTCCATAGCCTATGGATGGACCATAGCAACCTTAGTTCTTCATACAGAAAAATTTTGAAAATTGCAATGTTTTTTAAAAAAATCCATATTTTCCACAAAAATAAATATATCGAGGTGAACCAAAAACAAAACTGTTAAGAATAGATGTGACTTGATAAATAAAACTTAATTTAGAACAATATACGGTTTTGCCACTCTACAGAGTGTCTTAAACTTACGGTAAAAAACATCTTTTTGTTTAAACCTGTATATTATAAACGAACGTCTATTTTTTAGTAATTTTTTAAAATGTGAGCGATTGTCCATTAATTTATCCACAATATTCTTTAATATTCGTTTAAATCCGACATTAAATAAAAAAGTTATTTGCGATGGAAATTCATCGAAAATTTGTGTAGATCGAATATTTTGCCTGTGAGTGTATGTAAAAAAAATACATAAAGATTTATAAAATATTATAATACTAATTGCCTTTTCATTGTTATCCAAAGTAGGATTAAATAAAGGATGTTAAGACAATAGTTTATTATCTCCCAATTTGAATATCCTTTAGGTAAACGTTATTTTAAACCTAAATACAAAAATAAAAATAACCCTAAATAAGCCATTGTGTAATTAATCTGAAAAACCTTTGAGAGCTTAAATTATCTACGGGAAACGCAAAAATTGATTTAATTTTTCTTTGACACCGGTTTTTATCCAGTCGGTCAACAGCCGCCGTTCAATCGGTGCATTGTTTGACGAATCTCTTCTCAACAGCTATTTCCTCTCAAATGGGCGTTTTGTAACTCTCTCTATACTCTCCATATGATTCACGTGTGTGCGAGATTATTGAAAACTTCCGAGAACCCGGCCATAAGCCGAATAATGTGCGTTTTTTACGCCACTTTATTTTGTAAATAAAAATCCAGTTGAGTCCCATTTTTTTTCAATATTCTACATTTATTTTCTTTTAACTGTCTCTCTGTTTTACGCGATTTTATTAACTTTTATTTCTTCTTAAATTCTAATTACCGTGAAGTTACTGGGTGATTCCATATAAAATTGGTTGCGTGTATTTATATGTATACAGTATTGCATTACTTAATTTACAACACATTATAATAGGGTTTCTTAAAATCTTAAATTTCCCATTGCATTTTCTGAATAAACCTGCACTAAAATTATTTGAGAGAACATCCAGGCAATTTTCCTAAATCACGTTAGGTTCAACAATTTTTCACCATAATCGCCTGAAAAGTTCAATTTAAATAGGTTTTAAAAGAAACGTGAGCTCTTTTATGCCATTTTACAGCATTTAAATACCTAACTGAAAATATTTTACTGAAATCTTGGTAAAACAGGTAGTGAATTTAAAACAGACCAATATTTCAATAAAGTAAGTGATTAAACTGGACAATTGAAATTCATAAAAGAAACCAAGTTTATTCGTTGAACAATTCGAACCATCGAGTTGTGTTGACCTTTTAACGAATCAATAACCGTTTTTTATCAAGTTTTAAGAGCCTTTATCGAATAAAAACATTCAGTTCAAATCTATTTGCAGCATTTTATGATATTTATAACAGAGCTGACAATACAACGTCTATATATATATATAAATAAAGCTTACCTTTTAACGCTGGACATATTCTTTTCCATATGGTTAAACAGCCGCTTCTGTGGAACTGTCCGAGGGCCAACTCCATGTAAAAAAGTGGTAAACCTCCAAAAATTAACATAATCGTGTAAGGAATTAAAAAGGCACCTGAAAAAAAGCAACCTTGTTAAACTACAACAAAAATTATTTACATTTTACATTTTTTATTAAAAAAATGTTATATCTAGATTATTAAATAACATACAGGGGTTTTGTTAAACGCTATTAAAATATCAAAGGAATTACCTAGTATACTCAACAGTTTCATAGAAAAACAAATATCCTTATTTTGTACGTAACATTAATTATTAATTATTTCTGAAACTGTTGAGTTTTCGATGTAAGTAAAAATATCAGATTTAATTTAATAAGATAATTATTACCAAAAAAGTGATATTTTTATAGAAAAATTATTGCAGAATGAAGTATGAAAAAATGTTTTAGACAAAATCTACCTATTTTTAGTCGAATGATCCGAATCTGCAATAAAAAATAGGGTGTTCCGGTGGAAATTTACCCCCTGTTCCCCCTATAAGGAGGAGAGTATAAGGACCAATTTTAGTACTGATTGATTTCCCCCCTCGAATCATTTAATTTTTATTTTTAAATATTTGTTCGTAAAAGCATACTAACTGAGATATTTCAAACTTTAAAGTTAAATGTCTTACCCTGTATATGCATCCAAACCTTAAAAACGTAACTATAAGTATCCCATCGTAATAAACCCCTTATATATTTTTTTAATTCTGTTCCAGTAATCTTTTTTTATTTAGGTCCTAACAACCTTGCCCCATTAAAATTAAAATATGTAGCGTATCGGTGCCAATAAGTCAAAAAAAGTTGTAATTGCTATATAAACGTCACCGCTTAAAATTTGCCCCTTAGCTGAACAAACAAGATAGACAATCAAAAGTGCAAAAAGGAGATTAAAAGCCGCATGCACAACGAATATCTACTCAAATGATATTGGACCCTTCTGAAGCAATCTTGATTATGATTTTTATTCCATAATTTGAATTTAAAGCATATTTGATCTCTCTAAAAATGAATTAGTCAAAAATGACTAATTTAATAGTTATAAGTGGCTGCTTTTTCACTTATGCCATGGTTAACCATGAAATATCATGGTATGTCAAAATTTAACAGCCAAATCTAATGTAAAATTGTCTCCTGAATTCGAAAAAATTTCGTCAAAAGTAAAAAGAAGTAGAACAGTTTTTGTGATATTGTCAGTTTTCCATTTAATATAGAATGGACTATATCTCAAAAACTGCTCCACTTTAATAATTTTTGACGGTATTTTCGGATTCAGGGGACATTTTTCAATAAGAATTGGCTGTTAAATTTTGGAATACCATGGTATTCCATGGTTAACCATGGTACAACCCTGATAGCAAAATTTGATTTTAAGAATCTTCTAAGAAGATATGACCCAGAATAATGGAATATTCTTAGAACCTTCCCTTATTGATAAGAATGTTCTTAGGGACTTTTAAAACATTCAATAGATACCCTTTTAATGATGCAATTAGATTCTTAAAAGCTTCTTAAAACCTTCCTAAAAAGCATCCTAAGAACATTTTAAGAATACTTTTTGGAATGTCCTTAGAAGGTTTCTTATGGAGCTTCTAGGAAGCTTTTGAGAATATTTCCAAATATGTCAGATACCCACGTTCTAATATGTTGTATTCTACATTCGTGAAATTCTTCAGGAGACGACAAATACGCCTCACTGTCATAATATGACAGTGAAATGTATTTGTCGTCCCCTTAAAAAAATTTGCGACATATTAATATATATTTATTTAAAAATATTAAATAAACAATTTGACCTCTAAACCATAAGTTGTATGACATTATTTCATAAAAAGTAAAATTGGAAAATTTTGTGGGATAAGTCAGATTAGATTGAGGTTGAAGATAGTTAGGATTATTATACTTACATAAAAATGTTAATTCAGAAATAAAAAATCGGTATACAAATTAATAAATATTTATTTTTAACATAAAATAAAAAACCTATAGTAAAAGTATTTTTGTTATCGAATATTGTTTTAATTTGACAAATAACTATAAAAAAATATTTTGGATTGTGTTTTTACTTAGTATTTAATACTAATTACTAATTAGGTACTTAAGTATAGTACGTAGTTTATGGTATATTTTACTATTATATAGGTAACTGAACTAAATATGCTTAACAGGAATACTCCTAAATGAACTTTCTATAGCAATTACTTTCTTAACATTCTAAGCATATGTTTAGAGTAGAGTTATTTTTACCAATAACACTTTGCACATTCTAAGAACCTGCCTATAGGCCAGTAAGAATATTCTTATAATATCTTTTAAGCATGTTCTTTAGACGAAATATATATATATATATGCTATAGCATTATCCTAAGAATATTCTCACTGGAAGGTTTAAAAACATTCTTAGAATAAGGTGCCACTAATGACTATTAAATTAGTCATTTTTGACTAATTCATTTTTAGAGAGTAGATAACTCTACAAATCAATCAATTATATTTTTTAAAAATTGCATAGTTTATTGCGACAACTCTGAACTATTTCACCCCCAATCTGAAGCAACGTAGAGATGCAAAAATCGTCACTTCCGGCTTCGTTTCGCTTACTCGAGCTATAAAACGAATTAATTTGTCGGATTTGATTCAATAAAATCGAATCAACCGATTTCGCTTGCGCGACATGAATACAAACTAATGAATACGTACTAACTTAATTGGTAAGTTTTGATAACTCTCGCTTCCAATCCTTCGTCGCTTCTGTTGCAAGCAAATCTCATTACGATGTTTAAATATTTATTTGTTATTGCGACTCGCAAATATGGCGATAGTCTGCCTTTGGATCACATGAAAGGATTAATTATGCTGAACGAAACTCTTGAAGGCGAAACATATAAAAATAGTGTTACGTACTTTATGAACGACATTAATCTGATCAATCCGAGTACACACTGTATAACCTCAAATATAAGCTCATGTTTTTTGGTTGAACTATTATTAATTAATTATACCTAATTGTTTAATGAACTTATTAATTTTTATTAGAAATGTTTTTTTAGATTTTAGATTTTTAATTAGCCTAATACATATGGCCTTTTTCTGCAAGGCGAGGCATGCATGCAAAACAAATTATATCTTTTTAAATCAATTAATTAAATTACTAAGAATTATTCTCAAGGTTGTTTTTGCATTATTTAAAATTAACTTACACGACAGAACAAATAAAATATATATGGGTGATTCTACAAAAGTTATAGTTTTCGGAGAAAATTAAACAGTATTTTGTTATGAGAACATAGATAATATAATAAATTTACTGTTCCAGAACGGGCCAGTCACTTTTTCAAACAGTTTCTGAAATATCTGTGTTTTCTAAATTTGAATGCAAGGGAAGTGACGAGTATGCCAGGGTACTAATTAAATACATAATTTATTGGAAAATATAAGATTTATTGCAACTTTAAGCATATTATAAATTAAATATCTTAAAATCAAATAATACCACACATCAGTGGCGGCTGGTGGATTTTGGGTATAGCGATATCTCAATTATTAGATATGGGACCCACACCAAATTTATATGAGTTTATAATGACATTAAATAAACAACTTCTGCGCAAGCAGAATTTAAATTGAAGTTTGCGAAAAAAAGATAACCGAAACATCGAACATGGAACTGATGAATGGGATACAAATTTGAGATTATAATTCGGAATGAAGTATTTTACTAATATTTTTTATTAGTAGATGCTATTTATCAATAAATCACATATAGCCTTATATAAATTACAATGAAATATATATACGTAAGAAAATAACTATCACCACAGTACTGAAATTTTGACTGGAACTATACGTGCATTCACCACAACTTTGTCGCTTGCATTGTTTTCAAGATGACTGTCGTGCAAAGGGCGGGCTCTGTAGGTAATTTTTTACCAACACTTGAGTTAAAACGAGGACGTTTAAACTTCAATATTTCGCAGGAATTTTGAATTTTAACATTGGACACAGAACTGACGGGTAAAGGTGACTACAGAGATTATAAATTTTTAAAAAATTTCTATTATTCGAATCTATGATAAAATATGAAAAATACATTATTTAATGGTTTATAGTTTGTAGTGTAATTGAAAAATTTAAGATAAATTAAATATATTTTAAAATAAAACCACTCAAATATCTGATTCAGGAGTTGTCACACGCCAAGGTACTGATGTTTTGAATATTTATTATGTTTTTCTACAAACGTGCTTTTGAAAAAATACATTAAAATTGGGTGGACAAGTTAAAAAAACCTGGATCTTTTGTAATATACTAAAATATTTACAAAAAATATTAAAATACCTACTCTATTGACTGATGACATCACTTTGTCCAACTTTTGTAGAATCACCCATATTAATTTTGACGTTTTTATTTATATTATAGTGGTATTAATATCTCATGGCGGGTGACCTTGAGAGACGCTGACAGACGCCATTCAATTTAATAAATAAATGGAAACTAAAAACATCGGCCACTTCCATAGACCTTTAAGTTAACTTAAATGTCTATGGATGCTTCCCAAATCTGTCATCTGTCAACTAATATAGTAAAGCGTTTTTTTCTTTATTTTATGAAATATATTGTAACATTAGATAATGACTGCAATTGAAGACCCTGCTGCAAAAAGGAGCTAACTCCATAAAAGTTATTTTTGAGTCATATTTGCATTAAACAATGCAGAATAGTCTAGTTCACAGTTGTAAGGGTGTAAAAGTCACTTTTGTAAAAGTTACCCCCTTTTTGCAGCAAGGTCTTCAAATGTTGAGCAATGATCTGTAAAATATATAATGGATTTCAGTAAAAAAAAGAATAGAATCTGTGTAGAATCCGAATTTTGCTGTAAAAATGTACCTAAAGGTTTTTATTTAATATTTTTCTTGTGTATGGCAAAATATGTTGATTTACTGCTAATACAAGTATATAAGTATCATATTATGAATAAGTTCTAAAACTTCTAAATGTGCTTTATTTCAGACAAAAGGCTTACATATTTTAAAAATATGTAACATTTTTCTTCTATAATTTTTTTTTAT